GGGATGAATTTGCTGCTATGGATCTGTTCTCTGATCGGATGACGTCCCGCCTTGATGGCGAGAGTATCGGTCAGCTCTGGCCTGATGTACTCATTGTTCGTTGCTAGCTGAGCAAATGCCCCGAGCATGTCTAGCATTGCAATTGCTTCACTGACTCGAAAAAGCCCGGATACTTCGGTGCACACATCTCGGAGCAGGTCCTGGATTGTCTGGTCGTTCATATTGATCACCTCGCTGTGGGCATCGGTGATCTTTTGGTTTAGTTTGACCAAATCCAATGTCTGGCACTCGATGCGGTTTCGCTTGCGGTACACGTTGATGAAAACATCCGGCAGTGGAGCTGGTTCTGTGGCAGGAATACAAATGTAGTATTGCCGGGCTGTGTCATACTTCAAGTCCAAGACTATGTCGCAATTCTCTGAGATAGGTCAGAATCATTCATGAAACTAATAATTTCCGACGTGCCTGCTAATTTCTCAATCAGCTCTATGGCATCTGCATTCGCCTCCTTATAGGTTTGCCTTGCAACATCGAGCAGACTGTTGACGCCGGCCTAATCATGTTAGCGATCTTTATCCGGTGTAGAAGTACACAATTCTGACCTTGACGCAGTAAATGCGCTGGTTCCTCAGATCAAGTGGCTTTGACTGGTAGGCTACATGCTCATTCAGAGTTGTGCCAATCAGCTCCTCAATTGAACGATGCCCCTCAGGAGCGCACAACTAAAGTGCATTAGTTTGAGTAAAACACCAAAGGAATGTAGAGTCTACTTCGCGTATGGTAAGCAGCAAATCGCTTTGTGCTGCTCCAAGCGCTTGGAAAATCTTTTTGATCGCAGAGACATAAGTCTTCAGCATGATGACATTGTTGACAGACTGTTCGACGTATTGGATTGTCCGCTTGGTGGGAACCAAGATGTTCTTCATAATGCGTTAGCACGAGTCTTCAATACTAGCTAGCCTCGGAGACTCTACCGCGGTCAGCACTTTATCTGCATCAATGAAGCCCTTGAGCGCCTGCCTCACAGACACAAACATATCCTCTTTGGTGGTCAGATCTTCCACGGCATTGTATCTGGCCGTCAACTTGACTCGTTCTGTTGAAGGCTGTAAGATGCTAGCGCGGAGTAGTCTGGCTCCCATAGGCGTCAATGTCTCATTCAATAGTCCAAACAGACTTTCTTTAGACTTCGCATTTTGCAGGTTTTGGATAAGCTCCAGGGAAACAATAGTCGCCAAGTCAATTGTCATGGACCCCTGGGACGGTTCGAAGCGTATCCGAAGAGAATGCGTGGTAAAAGATCGCTGAAGTTCGACCTCAACATACTTGAGGACCTAATTCCTATATGAGTATTTCCTTTTGGCAACATTAATTGTGTTCATACTGCGGCAAAGCAACACGCTGCGAAATAGTTCCCACCCAGAGTCACCTTGAGCGAGTCGACTACCTCTGGGAAAGCCAACCGCTCAACATAATCATGACCTGTCTTTTCAGACCACCATCTGCGGTCCAGAAAGGTGAAGATAGGATCTGGCAGATTCTCTTGGATAATATAACGGAGCTTCGACTCTTTGGCAGTGTTCATAAACAGAATCTCGCTGGGTTCAAAAACACCAATCTTGATGATTGTCTTGATGTAAGTCTGACTGTCACATATCTGACAGAGCACTGCTTCAGCTGTCGCAAGATTGATAAATGCGAGGCCAATGGTGGATGAGACGCCCCGCGATTCACTGACAGCGCAGATGATGTCTTGTGCTGCGACACTGGTGGCTGTTGTGGTTGGCCTTGCCGTTGGACGTCTACTTGTGCCTCTAGAGGCCGATGGCGAAAAAGAATCCAGAGAATTCAATGAATTCAATGAATAAACCGACATTGTGAAGCCCAATTCTCATGGCCGAGATGGTGTAGATGGATAAATCGATAGGGCCGATAAGATAAGCGTCGAGATATTTTTGCTTGTCAAAATTTCTCTTCTTCCCCCATCGACCTCAAAATCAATAACAATGGCGACCCTCTATCCTCCCCCCAGCAAGCGCCAAAAGCTCGTCCAGGCTGATAAGGCCCGTGAGCAGCAGGAAATCGAGAGTATTCCGTCCGATTTGGGTAGTGTTCGAGTTCAATTCTACGACCAAGCAACCGGGCAGCCCACCGGGCCTGCGGTCTCGGTCCCAGTCGCCGATGCCAATGTGAAGAACCTTGAGACTCTGCTGAACACATTACAAGGAAATGTAAGACTCGAACCTCGTGACTACTTGACAATTGAATGTTGTATTGACGGCGATTTCTTTCTAGGAGGATGATGGACGAGTACCATACCGATTCGCTTACCATTCCGAAAAAGAGGAACAAACAATCGACATTCTCCGCGATGTGTACCACTCGCTACTCCAGCCCGGTATCAAGAGCACAGAAGATACAGTGTCGCTCTTCTACACACCGCAAGCGGTTTTCCGAGTGAGAGCCGTTTCACGATGCGCGGCCTCCATCGCGGGTCACGGCGAAGCAATTCTAGCAACATCCTTCTCCCCAGTTTCATCCTCCACCATGGTCTCCGGAAGCGGAGACGCAACTGCTCGTGTTTGGGACTGTGACACTGGAACCCCGAAACACACGCTCAAGGGCCACACCAGCTGGGTGCTGGCAGTCGCATACTCACCGAACGGCGCCATGATCGCGACCGGCAGCATGGACAACACCGTGAGATTCTGGGATGCAAAGCAGGGCACAGCGCTAGGCACTGGCCTCAAGGGCCACGCAAAGTGGATCACGAATCTGGCCTGGGAGCCATACCACGTGCAGGAGTCCGGGCGGCCGCGCCTGGCATCCGCCTCTAAGGACTCGACTGTGCGCGTGTGGGATGTCGTCTCGAGAGTAACTGACCATGTTCTCACCGGCCACAAGTCTTCAGTTACTTGTGTGCGATGGGGTGGTACTGGCAAGATCTATACCGCGTCCCACGACAAGACCATTAAGATTTGGAACCCGAAAGACGGCACCCTGCTCCAGACCCTGGCGGCGCATGCCCACCGTATCAACCACCTCGCTCTGTCAACAGACTTTGCTCTTCGCACCGCCTACCACGACCACACTGGCAAGGTCCCCGTGACCGAGGCTGAGAAGGTCGCCGCTGCGCGCAAGAAGTTTGAGGAGGCAGCGACAGTGAACAACACTATCGTCGAGCGGTTGGTATCTGCCAGTGATGATTTCACAATGTATTTGTGGGAGCCGTCCACTTCTAGCAAGCCTGTCACACGGATGCTGGGTCACCAAAAGGAGGTGAACCATGTCACCTTCTCGCCTGACATGGCTTATATCGCATCAGCTGGATTCGACAACCACGTCAAGCTGTGGAACGGTCGTGATGGAAAGTGAGTGTTTCCAATCTTTGATCGTTGTAATTTATAGCTAACATCGCCCCAGGTTCATTACCACTTTCCGTGGCCACGTGGGCGCAGTCTACCAGTGCTGTTTCTCGGCAGATTCTCGCATGCTGGTGTCCTCGTCTAAGGATACTACTCTCAAGATCTGGGATCTGCGCACCGGCAAGCTCAAGATGGATCTTCCGGGACACAAGGACGAAGTGTTTGCCGTCGACTGGAGCCCCGATGGACAAAAGATCGCCAGTGGAGGCAAAGACAAGGCGATTAAGATCTGGCGGAACTAGATCTAGTCGCACATGACATCAACTTGCCTAAAACATGCTCTTGACAGACAGCTAGTCTGGTATAGGTCTTTGCCGTCTGATGTTGCCTGCATCCAAGACGAGCACAATGTCCAACGCGCGTTGGCAGTAGCACTTTGTGTGTACCCTCGAATTGAGGGAGTCATGGGTGCCTCAACCCCCATAGTCAACCCTTCGTGGGTTTGATTCACATCATAAGTCTATAGGCTTATCTACTCAGTGGCAGAGACCCGCAAGGCTGCCTTACTGCATGCCATGGTCCATGGCCTGGATAAATGAGCGAATCATAGCAACTCCGAGAGGTGTTTCCGTTTCGGACTAGATCTTGCAATATAGATGCATGGAAGTTAGATGGTGGTTTAAGTGTGTGGATTGATTGATGAACCCTGTCCTGCCTACTGCCTGGGGCATAGGCTACAAGAGGACGCCCTTTATGTTACTTAGTTGCACTTTTATGAATATCATTTTTTGCGTATTGACAAAATTATTTCACTGTGCAAGACCAAATCCAGCTGATGTGCCCGAATGGTCCTTTGTAGGGCAAGAGCAAGTGTCCGTGGGAAGGAGCCCACGGGTGTACTTGCCAATGGACTCTATGTAAACAAACGGTATGAATGGGAAGGAGCAACCGCATCCATGGATGTGATAGTAAACAAACACGATGAGGGAAGGTGCAATAGAGAACCATTCTAGGAAGGTGCGACTGCTAGGGGTATATAAACCCCCCCCTCGCTCCCATCTTTCTTCCTCTTCTTCTTCTCTTCTTCACCCCTCTCGACCATCTCTCCGTAGCCCACCTGAGATGTAGGCGGACGTCGGGAGGGTTGTAACTTACCTACACAGAGATATCAACACCAGTTGTTGAGGTCTACTGTATGGTCCGCACCTAGATTGAAGCTCTAGTTCTCGTGCGAGTCGATAAATTATGGCCGAGCATTTGGGCTTCATGGCCATGAGCGGTCCCACGGAATACAATATGATTTTTACTGTGATATCTTTGTACTATCTTAAGTAGCTTAAAGTGAGACAAGTGATACCCTCCTCCAGTTCAACCCCTGCAGCCGATGACATACTAGAACTTAATTTCGAGTCTGTAGATTTTGAAAACGTCCGGGTGTTCCTGAAGCTTCTCGGCCCGTTACTGCAGGAGGTACATGTTTATCAAGAACCTGAAAGATAGAGATTGTCACTTTATTAATTCGAAGAACCTGTATCCAAATAAACAAGGAGCGTAATTATGATACATTGCATATCGAAGAAAGCAACATGAGAAATTCAAAACAAGCTAGAAAATAACATCGACCACATCATTAATCTAGATATACTGCCAAGCAGGAACCTCCCCGTCATAAGTCAAAGCGACAGCAGAGAATCCAAGACACTCGGCAACATTGCCATGTGGCACAGTAGCATTCTGAATGGCCGCAAACACCTGCCAGCGGCTATCATCAGTCGGGCAAGCCATGAAGCCAGTGGCGCCCCAACCAGCGAAGGAGTAGTGAGCCCAGGGCTCATCAGCAGCGTAGTGGAATGGGCCGCGCGATGATCCCTGGGGGATATTGGCCGAGTGAGCCTGGGTGAAGCTAAGGGCACCGTTGGGGTCAACGTAGACCTGCTGGCCGCCTGGAACCATGACGTCCTGTTTATTGTTAGTGAGGGTTGCCTTTTGCAGGATGTGAGGATATAGTGTGACTTTTGACTTACCAGAGAGCCGCCGCCGGGAGCGAAGACGGTTTGGTTTCCAGGTGGGCAGTTTGAGACCTGCGCTGGACAGTAGGAAGCTGTTTCTCCGCCGAGGTAGAACTTCTGACCTGCGGCGTTCAGCTGTGCGAAGTGGATGGGCGATGCGGAGCGCATGGCCATCACGCTGAACGCCGGGTTTGGGATGGCGGGTGGCTGGCTGGTTGGCGCTGAGGCAGCCAGGAGGGGGAGGGCTAGGGTGGTGATTGTGAACTTCATTGTGGTTAATAGGGTTGAAGGCTGTTGTTTTGTATCGTTGAATAGAAGCTTGATGTGAATAGTAACAAGAATGGGCGGTTGTTGGACCTCTTTATATAGACCGATCAGGAGAGCAATATAAATAGAAGCTGCACATTCCGGGGAACTGGATCAAAGGGACGCTCCGTCATGACTGTCGGATTTGACCGCTAGGGAGGCTAAGGTGGCGAGAGTCTCATTCATTGGATGGCGGATGATGGATTGTGAGAGTTTGAGACAGTGTCGAGGTACTGTATACTCGATATTCCGAATATACTCCTGTTCTGCATGGTTTATGCAACGGTAGGAGGTTGGGTTACTACCGAGGATGCTATTTTCCGTCGCTCAGACGAAGATATGTGAGACATGGAGAAGAGTTCGTCTGCCAAGAATGAGGGAAAAGCTCTACGCGAATCCAAGTGGCTGACACATACATAACATAGTGGATTGAAGATGATTAGAAGTGGATTGGATATCGTTAACATTGGAAGAATCGGGGGGTTCGGGTGAAGATCTTCTGCCCTTGTCTCAGTTTATAATTGGAACATCATCACTTCACTACTTCACTACTCCAATGCGATATTGTCTCTCGGTAACAGTCGGCTTAACCCGCAAATATCCACTTCATTCTATACGAAAGACATCTACGTTTGATGTTATTCGTTACTCAAACTCCTAGTTGACCTCGGGAACCTTTCATCTAACCCCCACGCCCCCATCACCGTCATGAACACCTCGTCTCCCATTCCCCGGAAAACCCACTCAGCCCACCAACTGACCGATAAATTAATCCATCTCTTACCAAAAAAAAAATTACAAAGGGAACCTTGTTCCCGGGGAAATAATCGCACACCGACCAACGCCACTGACGCCCTATCTGCACCGGCGAACATGCAGGAATATTCCATGTCTCACCGGACCCTGCATCCCATTACAGCCTATACCGGCTAATTTGGCAATATCGAAAGCCCTGGCGCAATCCGGATCTTGCGACTGTGCTAGGGTTGCTACGATGTAATACTAATGTCCTGCAGGGACGCCGCAGCGCGCATACCCGCGACCTGGTCTACTTGTACCTCGCATATGCTAGTTCGGCGGTGGCAGAGGGCACACTGCCCTACTACAATGGCGTGGAAGCTTCCGTCTAGAAGTTTCTACCTGTTGCCCTGTATCTGGATGGCGTGAGAATGGGCATGACCAGTTGGATGATTGTCGATTATCTAAGACGAGGTTTCCTGGCACGGTTAGGTGATTGGAATCAGTCAGGAGAGGGGTGAGGTCAGTCGTTCCACGGTGTTGTACATTGTCCGACGTGGATAGTTCGTTGAGGTTGGTGTTGGTGTTGGACAACCCGGCGTTGTCGGCATTCTGTCAGGTACGGTGTGACGTCTTCTGTGGTTTATGTTGTGTGGCAATGGCGATGGGCTACGTTTTGTTGACGTTTGCATGTGTGTGATATGGATGTGTACTACGCTGGGTATGAGATGGTATGTACTATCCTTTGCAGACCATATGTTGTGTAAGGGGTCTCTTGACTTGCTGGAAGATGGGCATAAATTGGGCTGAAGATTCTTGAGCTGAAGAGTGGGTGCTATTTTTGATGGGCATTTGGTTGAATGGATGGTCTGACATGTGAGATATGGTAGGTTATACTGACCGGCTAGTATATATTGAACTACAACTATATTGTATATCGTACATGGACTATATATACACTGTGCGCTCATACAAGACCACCTGAGACAAAACTACGATCTACAGGACCCACTCGACACATGTGGATATTACAGTCTCGAGTATACAATATCTGGACAGATAACTGGAAAGCCTCGGTGGATTTGGATATCAAACGACTTTTTTCTATGCCGGGCAAACAGTCTCAGCACTCAGCAATTCAAACCGGACCTCGATTCGCCGAAAAGAAAAGTGTATGTACGTGCGGCAATCGGCCGCGAAGGATATGGATAGACACAGCCAGAGGCCAACAAAAGAATAAATAAAAAACAATGGGAAAAAAGACAGAAAACCCCCCAGCACCGTTCCGTGTAGCAATATTGAAACCTGCAAGCCTGAGTCTTGCCCAGAACACCGTAAGCCACGCGCCGTTCTCCCCCACGTCTTGATTCATAGCAAGCGGGAAAAAGCAAAGATAAGAAAAGATGAGACAAATACGCTGAGCCAAGTTAGTGCACTATGGATCAAAGAATCGTTCTTTTAATAGTCGCCTTCATCATCGTCGTCTCCATCTCCACCTCGGCGAGATCCCTTTACTCCGTCCTTGCGAATGGGGATCTTGATACCCTGTAGCGCAAAGCACTTGCTGAGCTGGGTGCTCTCAATAACACCGGGGAACTTCTTGGCAGAGAAGACCTGGAAGGGTTCGGAGAAAACCGACGCTAGAACGGGTGCGGTTCCGTGATTGATGACCGGGGCGCCGTTGGAGGTTTCAGCAGACGAGGTGCCCACGTCAACAAAGCTCATTTTCAGACTGGATTTCCATTAGCGATTGTGTGGAGTGATTTCCATTCTCCGATTTGACTTACCGGAAAGTGCCTTCTGTCCGTACACTCAAATCTTGCAGGATAAACCACACACCGATTTTGTTGTCTGGGTCCGTCAACCGGAAAGCACTGGCGCTGAGACTTCCGATCAGATTGCGAGTGAACATGCCCCCCGGCCCACCAGAGACGGGTTGCGCAGCGGGCGACATGGACGGTGGCATTTGACCACCGGAGTAGTATTGTGGGTACGTCACTGGCTGACCGTATTGATTTTGATACGCCACCTGCTGACCACCGTAGTAGTTGTTCATCTGCGGAGGGTAGCCCACGGGATACTGGTTCTGGTTGTAGCCGGGGTAGGTCGGAGAGACGCTCTGAGGCGGGGGAGGGTATGAGGAGGACATGGCGGTAGAGATGGAGGGGGAGGTGGCGGAATGCTTGACGAGGTTGACTTCGTTGGTACCGTCGGCATTCCAGAGGTCGACAGTGAGTACGTAGAATGAGGTATCGATTTCACTACAGAGGGGTGGTTAGGAAGCCGGCGGGTAGAGAGCAGCTGGTCGGACCTACTTGATATCAATTTCCTTATCCGTTTGCGCGTCGCGCACAATCAGACGAATGCATGGCGGAGGAGTGATGGGTCTCCGGTCCTGATATGTGTTAGGTGGAAACAATTGCAATGCGGAAAAATCACCCACCTTGTCACCAAAACCACACATACGAGCCCGGATGGGCTGTTGCACCACTTGTAATGACCAGGAGCGTCCGTCCTGATAGTTTGTCACGGGTGCCAAGTGGTCGGATTGCCGTAGGGAGTTGGGCCCCGACGGGTACTGGACGGACGGAGCAGAGATGCGATCCATTGAGAGCGGAGGTGGGACGGGATGATGTCTATCCTCGACGGCGTACATGGTACCGGATTGGAAGGAACCGAGGATGACTGATAGATCAAACGACCCTGATTTTTTTTTTTATAGATCTATTGATAGATCTCAACTACCTGGTTGTTCGAGGAGAGAGAGAGGGGGTTATGCGACATGCGAACCCCGCGGGATGTTCAGACGTCACACTTGGAGCATCGACTCCGGGCTGGAACAGAGTAAAGGACAGCGAACAGGCAGTTTCCCTCCAAATTACACCCAAGCTCCAAAGCGCTTTGAAGAATCCGGTAGAAAAGTGAAGCGAAGGGGTTAACTCGGAGAGTTTTGTTCGCGAACCACAAAATGAGCTTGGAGGACGGGAGTGGCGATAGAGATTACTGTTCTTCGCAACAGACTATGTTAGCATCATCTTCTGCCTTGAGCTCTGCCTTGAGAGTTTTTTTTGGGTCAACCGCACGATGACGCTGTCAAGGTGCGGGAGATTTGCTGGGTGCCACGGATAGGGATAACATACCCGAAGAGAAAAAAAAAAAATTGGGGAATTAATAGTCGAGACGTTCTAGGAAGAGAAGAAAGAGAGAGAGAGAGAAAGAGAGAGATACAAGTGTTACTCTCTGCAGGAACCTGGACCCAAACCGTCGGGTCTCAACGAACGAATTAAGACCATCCAAGAGGCTCTTCAAGTCCGCATTCGGGGATCATAGAACCCGCAAACGGTCTTCATTTGATTCGATGAAATTTTCAATTCGACTCCATATTACCAGAATATTATAATCGGCCCGGATGATTCTCGGGGCCGTTGTACATCTATAGATATTTAAGCTAATACAGAATATTTTTGACCTTTGTATATATAACATTATTCCAAATCTCCAGATGTTCGAGTACACGCATTGTAAATGCCCCTTACAGTCTCCCACGAGGATGACACGTTCCGATCGTGTGGTAACCCCTAGAACCCCCTAATCATATGTACTGTTACAGACTCCGTGCGCCGTACGGAGTACAGGAATTGGAACTAATATGCCCTTACCTAAAACATGTGAAATGCCGAATCCAGGGAGCATTCCTAGACTACCCGAGCATCGAAACAGAAACAAGAGCATCTCTACTCAAGGGGCTAATGTAAACGCGATACTCAGATCTCAGTAATCCTAAAGTCTGGGGTATCTCACTGAGTACATCTCTGGAGGAATTGCGATAGGTGAGGTATTTAAGCCCTGGACTCCCCCGAAACGAGATGCCATTTTAGACATGTCAATCTCAGTTTCAATGTGTGTTGATGCACTGGTTTCAGCACTCGTTGAGCCCTCGTGGTGTTGGTGATTCCCTTATTATCTCCCAGAGAAGCGATCGCTTATTCCCCAATTAAGCCGCTGTGATATCCATTGGCGATGCGGAGTACATGGTTCCTTGATGCAGGTTGATCGGCAGTATCTTGCCCATAACAGACCCTAATCCTGGGCAGGCAATGATCTGATTTAGTCACTGCTGGCGTGGACGGCGTCGCGTTGTTTGGCGTGCACGTTCCCATGGTACCAAGTCCGGCACCATCCTACACCGTCCTTCTACGCCTCCACTCCATCTTCACCATCGAAGCCAGATCGCGGACACCGACCCTCAATTAATTATCCCCGGTCTCGCCCGAAAACTACCTGTGTTGATACCATTCTCCTACTTCACCATCCGCTGCGGGCGACTCGACCTCAGTCCACATCTACGCCGATATCGATTATAGCTGGAGGCAATTGAAGCTGAAGCTAGTCTACGAAAGACACAAGGGGTTTCTCGGATTAAAGGCGTTGATGCCTGGACATACTTGGAAAATGGAAATGGATAAGCGTTGTGGGGTACGCCACCCGCTGACTGGGGAATCCTTCCACGGCAGCTGGTCAGCCTCGATGCGTCAGACCTTCATCGCTAAGTCGCAGTGATCTTTGCACTCGGTTATGTGCGCAAAGAGTCGATCGATTACCGGGTCATAACTTAGAAAGGCTACTACCGGCACGCTGAAACACTAGACGCGGTATTTTGTTTCTTGACAGTCGACACATACACCAAGAAGTACGCGACGCATGAAATCGGCGCAACTACCCTAAAGCTCTAGGCCACCACTCCCTCGAGAAGAAAGCGGCAACATAATCATCAGTCTAGGCGCCTATCAACTGGCAACAGGCAACACCGACCTAGCTACAGCCTACGCATTTACACTGAATATCTATACCGCAGTAAGGACGCCTGGCGAGCAAACCAAACTAACGAAGCAGCGAAAGCTGCTATGGGTCCACCTTCGGCGCGCTCATAGACTCGCCTAAATACTGAGCGGCAGGCAAGGACTCCGCCCATAGAATATCGCCTGAACACCTCGGCACCAAAGCGGACGGAACCAACTTCCTCATCCAGCACAGCATTGCCCCCTGGCTCCTCGTCTACACTCGCTACCTGGGACTCCCCTTCAATCTCTGTATATCCCCAGACGAGGCCTACAGCGCCACGGGCAAGCTCTGCCCAACGGTTCACAAAGAAGCAAGCGTGCCGCTCGATGGTGACCTTAGCTAGGGCCAGACGAATTGGCAGTCGGTGTATTTCTGTAATATACATACGTTTGGTAGTCATTTTGCCTTGGAACCTTTGGCAGTGGCTAAGCGAATACTTGGGCTTCGTGAGGACTTTGTATTGTTATTTGAATTGGCATTGGTAACAGCGTCTTTGATATTATATACTATCTGGAATACAATATTGCGTCGTCGGTGCCAAGTTCAACCCGAACTACGCCGTGACGCTGGAATCAAGTCATACGACCTCCTCCCGAACCTTTTTCGGTCGATCGTGCCGTCGCGGGAGGTGTCAACCAAGTTGTGTTACACGGCCAATCGTATATCGGCAACTATTACGGCACAACCTGACCGGGCTGCACTGCCCTATATGTTTTCCCTAATGTCTACTCTGACAAATAGTATGGAACTATGGCTTCAGCGACGGGCTAAACTCTATTGGTCGAGTGCAGTATTTCGAGCAGGTTCCTCGCATCGACGTTGCTCTCTACGATAAGATATCAGCCATAGATTCAAACTTCATACGTCAAGGTTCAAGGTGGTACCAACAGCAATATCAATCTTGATGGTGTGCACTATATTAGAAAATACGCCCTGATTACCCGCCATCCTCAGTGGCGCCGGCCCGGGGTATATACAACTCAAGATGTCACAGATATACGCACCGTCGAAAGGGCCATTCGTGCGTTCGAAGAAATCCAAGGATGTCTAAAATGCATCTGCTGACCAGACCGCCGCCAAACTTCAATATCTCAGGCTTCAGCCCAAATTGAGCGTGGGGACCAATCGTACTTCATACAAGCTTAGGCGGGACGAACGCCATGAACCACGCCTTGTCCTCCAACACCAAAAACATTCAGTGGCGCTGTTGGTACCATTAGCACCAATATCCATTGCACCCCCGAACCGGGGGAACAAGGCTTGTGCTCGGTTATCAATGCAAAGGCAGGCAGATGGTCGTACCTCTCATCTTAGCAGGGAACCAAGTGGCGATCACCGGATTCGCGGACTCCGGAAATCCGCCCAGAGGTGGATATCACCAGGGATCAGATTGTTGCGAAGCTCGGCTTTTGAGGTCACCGAACTCCGTTGTAATCCTATACATCGCAGCCAGCCTAAGCGATCAGACAATCGAACTCTGGAATGGATATATGAAACTGTCGTCGAAGTCGCCAACCCCACCCGGTTAGCCAACTAGACCCTTGCTGCAGGGAACATGTGATCTGATGCAGCTACCATTACCGCCAAGCACAACTCATCACCTCACATCCCTGATTTCCTAGGCCTAGATTGACGGTGTTAATAAAGCCTTGGAGCGTGGATACCTACTATACCAATAAATTTATCTTGCCGCCAACTAGTAGATCGGTCTTTGCGGACGGTACCTTTTTCCACCTATCAAACGCTCGGCGAGGCGTTACCTCTCTCAATGCTATCACGGCTTGATCTCACTGCTCCCTGTGCTGACCGCGCTCAGTTCCCCCGAAACCCCGAAAGGGTCGACGGCAGATGACCTCCGACGTGGCATTACATCCGTAGCATCTTCGGTCAGATCTAGAATATCGATGAGGGGGCGCCGCTTAACATCCCAGTATCGACGCCAGGCAGTGAGAATGTGCTTATCGGCAAAGTGAAATGTATCAGGCTCGCGAAAGGCAGGCATTAAATAAATAGGGTGCAGTTGAACTCTCCACGATCTACCGATATTGAGGCACAATAACTGCTCTCTTTATAACTCCCAAGGAGATCCACTACGTACAATTAGCCTAAATCCGGGAGTTTCACATCCACAAAATTCGATATGTGGAAGTTAAGTGATCCTAAAAGTCGATAAGCCCCTAAAGTCGATATAAGCCCCCGAGAAAATCGCTCGTTGCCCTGCATCTCCAGATTCACGGGGCCAAGCACGCCATTTACTAAGTGACGCTAAAGCCCAACATTCTAGTCAAAACAGCAAGGGTTAGCAGCAAGACCCAAACAAAGAAAATAAGGGCGGCTGAGCGGATGGCGAAGTCAGCCCGAGGCCTGGAATAGATTGCGTGCGAGCCAATACCCGAAAACTGGGAAGCGCGATTATCATCCTATGGGGGGTGAGCGGATGAGTTCTTTGATATGCCTCGGAGGGATCTGGGCCTAAACACACCCTCAGGGCTCCATTGACTAGAATCAGTAAAAGGGAAGCAAAACTGACGGATCAATACAATCTAGACCTTTCAATCCTGAATTCGAAGTCTCGTAAAGCCCTATAAGTACAATGCCGAGCTGGGGGGGATTGTCCGAGCTCACGGGTATCTGGAAATGAGATGCGATAACCAATAGCGGCTTTGGCAAATATAAGATATGCTGAGCGAACACGAGCTCGGAAAGGAGCTTAGGGCATGGAAAGATCACGGGCCATGAAGATACCCGAGCAGGGGTTCCAGCGTCTTCCCCGATCGGGAAAAAGCATCGCTCGTCAACTGAAACTTATTTCGGATAGACTTGACCGGCCCCATTTTGCTAGTCCTGAAGGGGATTTAGCGTCTATGGTGGGGTTAGTGGGTACTGTAAATTGGTTTCTTTTTGTATCAGAATGTTGTCTTTATACTCTAGGATAGTCCCGAGCATCTCGCATGGGGTTGTATTTTTGATATTTTTTATATTCATAGTTAATCCGGCTTGCCATTTTGTTTTGGAATATGGGAATATGGTTTGGAATACGAGATCGGAAGTTAGAGGGCATCGGACCTTGAGGTAAAAACAAACCGGCAACGGAGGTATCGGGGGGAGATTATGTCATTTGAAGCACGAGCCATCCTGCATTTACCGATTTGGGACACAGCGCCACTCTTACCTCTTTTGGTGTTTTGAATGCCGAGATGAGGAAAATGGCAAAATGGATATATCAAAATATTAAACCCCGGGGGCCTGAGATGACTTTTTTTTTATTATATAGAAACCCTTCCTGATAACTAGCTTGTTGTTGGGTTATGATTCAAATTCACTACCGACAAATAGGCCTTACACCTCTACAATGCAATGCGAATCAACCTGGTCGAATAAGCGACGCCAGACAATTATGCAAACTGACCGGCGCGTTAGAGTATGACACCCCCCTTAGGGCTTCTACCCCGACTCAATTGACAGTGGGACTGGGTCCAGTCCGCATTGCTCATATCATCCTTTTGAATATTATCACCTCTCGCAAATGTCCCCACTGACGCAAGTCTCACAGTATAAGGAGCAGAGCTCAGCCTGTGTGCATTGTCTGGATCGCAACATGCTCAGCCAGTATCCGCCTCGGCCCCTACTGACCCGGCTAGACAGCAAGCATGGATCTTTCGCCTCCTCAACTAGCATGTCCTCATCATCTCCTATTACCATGACCGAGTCTTCCCCCTCGCGGTCAAATCTCCAACCCCAACACGACCACCCGACAACATGCCTCTCAACCCACATCGAAGAAACTTTTGACCTCAAAGACCTCGAATTGATGATGCACTGGTGCACAACAACCTACAAATCCATGGCAGGGGACCCCGCATCCGAACAAATATGGCAAACAACCATCCCTCAGCTCTCCCTCCGTTACCCAGCCCTTCGTCAAGGCATCCTAGCCCTCTCAGCGCTGCACCTCGCCTCAACAAGCACATCCTCTCAGCGCTGGCGATATCTCGACACCGCACGCTTGCACCAAGCACAAGCGCTAGCAGGCCTCCGCATCGAGAGTGACGAAGGCGCACCGGAAGCAGAAAGCCAAGCGACCTTCGCGCTATGTTGCATAATGATCGTATTCACCTTCGGTTTCTGCCAAATCGACAGCGAAAACGACTCAGATGAAGAGCGGCCCGACGTGCTGGACGAGTTCTTCGAGGTATTCCAGCTCACCCGGTGGCTAGTCAGTATCATGGTGACCTCGAAGGAACATATTACAGCGGACGAACTGAACCCGCTCTTCCACCCCGAAGACCCGCCCCCAACAATGCCGAATATGTCGCGGCTGGTGATTCTCTCGCTACAGCGACAGAATGACATGGAGGCTATACAGGATGCGACACACGAGACGGATGTGTATGACTCGGCCATTGAACATCTCAGCCAAGCGCTCGAGCAGCTGATGAAGGGCGGCGAGCCGAAGGTGTTTTCGTTTTGCTGGAGTTTCCGTATCCCTGCAGAGTTTTTGGAGCTGCTTGAGGCGCGCCGGCCGTTTGCGCTCGTTGTTCTGGCGCACTATACAGTCATTCTGCATCATTTGAGGGGTTCATGGTGGATGGGCGATTGGGGGAATATGATTCTGCAGGAAATCGGGGATCTTCTTGACCCGGAGTGGCGAGAGCTTATTGGATGGCCGATTGATGCGACGGGATGTTTCCTTCCGAGGACTGAGGTGCAAGTGCGAGTGATATCCCCGCTTGGATTTTGATGAGTTTGCATTTCTTGATTAGACATGGGCGATGCATCTAATGAGACATGAAGCGTGTAATTAGCATAGACATTTTTATTATACATAGCATAGTTCCTTCAATTAAGACCAGGATTGTCATGAGAGTACATCATTTCTCGGTGTTGAGGAAACAATTCCAACACAGATGATTGCACACATCGAAACGTATGTCAACAGAGGAAAATAAACAAAACACAATCCCAAAAGTATCCCAAGCGCCGTTCCTTTTCCCGGTATTCCATGATAGGTATGAAGTAATGCCCGAGTATGTGAAGCCATGCGGATTGGAGAAAATCGTGCAAAAAAAAAAAACAAAAGTAAATACCACAAACCCATAAGTATGACTGAAAGCTCGATGGGGAAAAAAAAGAAAAGACCAGACTCCCGAATCGAAGCAGCCACTGCCCGCAGTGATTTTTGATTAGTTTCTGCTCGGACAATCACCTCTCCCCGGATCGGCACTGCAGCTAAGAAAAAGCAAATGTCTTCTGCAGCCAATTCCAGAGCGAAAATCAGCCGTCATCGAGCCTTCTCAACGGGAATGAATCAATCGCAAACACCCCCTAACAAATAACCAGCTCAAACAGCAGAAGGCGAATCCTTCCGCAGCTCCTGTCTCTCCTGTTCAAGCTCCTTTACCCGATCCCTAGATTGCGTGCGCACGCGAAGAAGCTCCGCCTCCTGCTCCTGGATCTTCTTCTCCCGTTCTTCCTCTTCAGGGGTGGGGATGTAAGCGTTTGCCGCGCCGCCTGTCGAAATAACACATTAGCCCAGCTGTAGCTTTAACCTCGCAAGCGTGCGATGTTGCATGCGCTCCGTATCTTATGTCTAGAACATACCTCGACCTGTGTGGTGGGGGATCTGCTGAGCGCGAAGGGGCGGTGACTCGACGTCTTGGCTCTCGCGCGCAATTTCTGGTCGCTCCGGATCATTGTGTACCATGTTTCCTGAGCCACCGCGGCCTGTTGTATAGACTTCTTGCTTGATTGTTGGTGTAACGAAGTCTTTGGGCGAGGGCGTGGTTTGTTGCCGGGTTATGTTGCCTATGGTATAGTGGGTTAGTGGGCTGGTGGCGCGTTGTGAGGGATGGGGAAATGGCGCGCTTACCTGCCCCTCCGCGGCCGTAGGAGATATTTCTTGACATTGTGTAGATTTTATGTGAAAGCAAAGACTGGTGAGTTGGGGAAGCTTAGATGTGGTAGTCGGGGGAAGGGAAGCTGGTGGGAGAAATTCGCCAAATGACGACAGACTTTTTTTTTTCTTGGCTCTTTACTATATGTTACACTAACACCCATATAGATTGGAGTTAGTTTCTAGGGTCCATTCTTATCTCTAATATAGGTATTGGATTTTATATTTATTCTATACTCTTTGTTATGAGATATCTAAACTCATTTCTGCGCTAAGCCAATCCTTACGCCTCGTATCCTCTTAAACGCCATCCTGCGGGGATAATTTAAGCGAAACTATGGGGAAATATATTCACTTTCTATTAAACCCACGGAAATAGGCATCGAGATCCTTACTTCCTTGCCACAGCCTCGCCACCAGCCTTCATGTCATTCCACTTGTAATATGTAATGGCAAAAGGAGATATTGCATCACTGGGATAAAGTCTTGGGTTGCCCTGGTCAGTTCCTAGGTTGAGGTCAGGACTATCTCGGTTTGAAATCTTGAATTAGATGGTCCTGCCAGTCTTGATATGCAGACTCTGGGTGCTCATAGCATCTGGTGCTAAACTAGTACGAAAATGTGATAGGATAATAATACCACCTACCTTCTAGAAAGTAGTATATATTACAATATCCTTAAATGTTTGCCTTTATCTTCTACTATTTGTATCCTCATCATCTACCTATCAGTGCCTTCCACCTTCCACCACACATACCTGTTACTATCCTCTGCTTGCCATCAAGGCCATTCCAAGACTAGCTCTAATGTCAGCTAACTAGTGTGGAACCTAACCTAATGAACTCAATCGAGGAGCCTATCTACCAGCCGATTCTACCAAAGATGTGAGCTCATTTTCTCCTGTTATCTTAGATTAATTGTTTACTCGATCCATCTTCTGTGACATTCATTGTTTCTCACTTAATATCCCGCTACCATCTTTGTTTAGCACCGTAATAATCGTCCCAGCCCGAGTTGAGACAGCCCAGCATGGCTTGGCTCATGGCCTTACGAGTATCGGTCATATGGTGAGCACGATGCCACTATACTCGCTCTAACTCCTCATCTTCAATCGGAGTCTTAAGCATTATCTACCTCTCGGCGAATTCGGACTGAGATAAGATACACCCCCGGAACCAGCCGATGCGGATATCGAAATACGCATTGTCGCAGGTTATACATGGAAAAGTCGTCCTCTTTCCGCTCCTTTCTGCTATCTACCTACCTCTGTTGCATAAGACGGAGAAGGGTGACAAAATATCTTTGAAAAAAGACATCTAAACAGAATATCCAAAAAGACCACCGAAAAGACATCACAAGATCACATAAGCGGCCAACAATTCTTGTTACTATTAACGGTAGAAGGTAAGCTGGCACTCCTGGTCGCAGATGGAGACAATTTGCACCTTCTCCTGCCAAGTGAAAATCCCATCTGTGTGGCCCAGTGCTTGAACATGATCTCCAAAGCTTTCCAAGCGATTTAGTCATGTCGTCGGCAGCTATTTCTGCTTTTCGGGACTTTTAAAAAGCGGACTGCATGAGGTGCAACATTATCACGAAGTTGATAAGAATGAATTGCAATGTGCGTTGTATTTGCGTGGAACTCGAGGTTTGAAGCAAAAGCAATAGGCCCATTATTGTCAGCATCCATTGGCACTGGCTTCTCGAGAAAGTTATCGATATCAAATCTACTAAGTAGCTGGATTTGAGTGTGAAATTGTTGACTATGAAGTAAGAAGCCAAAACTGGAGTTGATACTATGAAAACTAACATGATCTTTTTTAGGATACAGTTAGTCCAGTTCAGAAATAACAACAATTCCCTTCATGTGCGCCTTCCTCTCCCAACATCTCTATCTTTCACCTTGCACCACTTTATATACTACATACTCTTGCTACGTCACTCAACCATCATCTCTGTTCCATGACTGGCTCCAATGTCAGCTAGCATGGAAGCTGACCTTATGAGCTCCTCGATCGAGGAGCTCTCGTACCCGGCGCTTCTGCCGGAGAAGTAAGTCGAATTTCTATTACCTCTGGTTACCCTTGTACCATGCATCACTTTAGTCTTCACCCTTGGAGCGAGAAGCTCTCACATCACATTCCTCTCACTTCACATTGAAACCTACAGCTACATGGACTTTCTACGCAGTTTACCTTGCGTGGCATCATCTCCCTCTTGACATACTCCTGACAACTTCGTTTAGGAACATCGCAGTGCGAAGCGTCCCGGCCAAGCTTGAGCCTGAGCTACGCATTGTATGTTGATAGAATAGAATATGAAGTGGTTTCCCTTGCCGGCAAATCGAAAGCACTAACAACATTTCGAGATAGAAACCTGCCCAGGTGACTACCGCGAAGTCAACCCAAGGTGGCCCTCTAACTATCCGTTGGGCTAACGGCCTCGAGGATATCCGTGACGTGGCGGATGCGATTCCTCTTCACTCGATAACCTTGTACCCACTTGAACGTCTCCTTCTTAACCGGGATTATCGCCTACCTCTTAGCCAGTTTGGACTGAGATATATCCCGGAACCAGCCAGTGGAGAAAGCCACATGCGCACTACTAAGGTAGTTGGACTTCCCGCGCACACCACCATTGGTCAGGTCCTTGCCTCTGTGCATGGTGGACCAGTTTTCTCTGCCGTGATGTGCGATACTGTTGCTGTCACCAGCCCATTCGCAGCGATGGTCCTAATTTCTTCCAAACACGATATTTGCCCTAAGAATACATCAGGCCTCAGCTTGCTATAGATAGCTCATTGTGTTTTGAAGAATTAACTCTTTCTTTTCATCCTCCATTTCTCGCGCAATACCCTTGGATCAGTCTAGTCCCCATCTATTTTAAGTATTTTGAAGTGCACATTGATCGTCAAACGTATTCCCTAAAATATCAGATCGTGATGATGTCGGTTGTCGCCCTTCCAACCTTGGAAGTCGCGGGCCCACCCGATTACATAACCTGGCTCCACCTCCAGTGCTCCGATTCTCACTTCACCTCTGCATGACTTGGAGTCTGCAATTAAACCAACTCCAATTCCTCACCAAAATGAACGCCAATCCCGTCAGCATGTCCATCCGCACAGCCATGCTTCTTGGCCGACTAAACCCCGCCGCGCCCTCGCTCGCCGGCGCCCTCCGTCCCATCCACCAGACCACTCCCCGTATGGCATCCAAGCAACTCACACGCCTTAGCTCCACGACAGCTCGACCGGCCACCGCAACACTCAATCTAGACTCCCGGCCACACGTCAAGGCCGCGTCGCCATCACCTATCGCTCTGCGCGCAAACTCGACCTCAGCACCTGCCAACAACGAAGTCAAGCTCGATTGGGACTCCTTCTTCAAGCTCCGCGCTTCCCGCCGCCGATACTCCCTCGTCTCCTCAGTTGCCAGCTCCGCCATTAGCACCAGCGTTGGCGTGCAGGTCCTGTCCGGTCAGGACCTTGAACATCTCGGTGCGACGGTTATGGGCCTCGATCCGTTTATTGTCCTGGGATTGGCGACGGCCGCGTGCGGTGCTATCGGATGGCTTCTTGGACCGGCTCTCGGAAATGGTATTTGGGGACTTGTGTACAGGAAGTACAAGCCCTCTGTCAATACGGTGAGTAGTTGCAAAACAAGGGAGCGCCGGTTTATGTCTGGTCTGTGCTAACGAGTTTTGTTTCCGTTGTGCAGAAAGAGAAGGAGTTCTTTGATCGCATTCGTCGGTTCCGTGTCGATCCCTCAACCAACTCGATCGCTAACCCCGTTCCCGATTACTACGGCGAGAAGATTGGCAGCGTGGCGGGCTACCGAAACTGGCTGAAGGACCAGAGGGCTTACAACCGCAAGCGCCGCAACTTCATTGCTTAGTTTCTCTCCCTCTCTCTCTCTTTTCTCTCTTGTGATATTGGAGCATTTCTTTTTTGTTTGTGTCAATATGGTTGAATCTCTTGGAGCTTCTGTTCAAACCCAATTCTGGTGACTTTCTTTTTTGTCCGGGCCGGTGTTTATTTTGTTACAATATCATTAGCGGTCTTGGTAGCTGGGGCATTGCAATGTATTGGGAATGACTTTTGATAACGCGGTTGATTTATAGCTATTTATCATGGCATTTGTCAAGACTTGCATCCTTCGAATGGTCTTGTGTGCACTGAATGAAACCTGAAAGTGCTATCCTCAATCATCAAGATACATATTCCTCCCGTCTTTAAAAAAGCACTGGCCTCGCCACTGTCATTTCTAATGTCAGGCTTGGATTTACAGCTTCGCAGGCACTTTGGCTTTAGGGTTCCGGCCAGTATCAATCTCCGTCCACCACGGCATATTCGGCGGCGGGTTATCATCAAGGTTAGCCTTGAAGTTCGGCTTTCGCTTCTCAAAGAACGCCGTAACGCCCTCCTTCTGGTCCCTGTCTGACAGTAAGTATCTGCAACTAGCTTCTTCATATGGGTTTCACGTACTCCGATCCAAACATGTGGTTGATGACTTGCGATTCGATGAGATGAGCGGCCTCTGCCGAGCCAGTATCACGCCACAGAAGCGCCCGATTGAGGTACGACGAAGCCGGGCTCACATTCTCCGCAATCTCAGTGGCTAGCTCGAGAGCGCGCGGCAGGACCTGCAATGGGTCGGGGAGGGTCTCATTGAAAAGGTCGCCGAAGTGCTTGGATGTAGGCGGGAATACCCCTCCCGTGCTGACGAGGTAGCTCGCGTTCGAGTGACCGACGAGCCGGGGGAGGAAGTATGAGGAGCATGATTCCAGGACTATACCTCGACGGCCGAAGACGAACCCGTATTTGCCTTTTTCATAGCCAACCCTAGAAGGAGAAGAGATATGCATGTTAACAAAAAGCCTTTGGCAGATTTATATATCCTGAATACGGTTGACATACCGGATAATCGCTGGAAGAGTCATGGTCATACCGACACCAACGGCTGAGCCTTGCATTGCTACAACCGTTGGCTTGCGGCATCTATAGATAGCCAGTGCGACTCGTCCACCACTAGGTTGGGTTTTAGCGAGAGTACACAGCAAGCTATCGGATGGACGTTCTCTTACCCGTCACGATGGTCCATCATCCTGTCCTTACCACCACTGAAACCAATATCAAGGTCTGCACCCGCGCAGAACGTCTTTCCCGCGCCCGTCAAAACGACAACTTTCACGCGCTCGTCGACATCGAACATGGGGAAGAGCTTCTCGAAGTCCAGGACCATTTGTCCCGTGAATGCATTATGTTTAGCAGGACGATTCAGCGTTACAATGACAACTGGGGTGACTGTTGGGGCACCCTGGGGGTAATGAGAGACGACAACATGGCCGGTTGTTTCAACCTTTTCGTAAGAAGATGGAAGCTCGATGGGGGTGGGATCGAAGATCATGATGGTGGGAATTATACGGTTTCTGTTCAAGTGGATATAGTCCCTGTGTCTAACTCCCACTTCTATATACCATCTCTCGGTTATATCGTTCATAATCATACACAGCCTATATCATAAGCCGCGGCCTCGGCCTCGGCTGGACTAGCTTGGCGTGGAGAAGCTGGGAGATCAGCGACCCCGCTGCGGAGTGGATTGATATTGACATGCCTTACACGGTCCATTCGATATCTCGGGATAGTAGAATTAGATACAAAGATATATACATATAAGTTATGACTAATTGATCCGTGCAACTTGGGATTTTGACCTGTGTAATAATGCAAATGCAAATGCTGGTATAATAGACATGATGATTTAGTTTGCCGACAGAAGATAGTAGGAGGTATGGGTAGTGGAAGTTGGAAGGTGGAGGTAGATGAGAGGATATAAATAGTGGAAGAGAAGGACGAACCTGACACGCCAAAGGGCAAACCTTTAAGGGCATCGCGACATCTCGCCGTCTTCGAAGGCGAGGGAGGCCCTTCATACTATATACCGCTGCATCCTAACTCAGACCATTGCCAGACGTCGTGAGCACCTGTGATCTGTAAACCAAGGCTGGCAGGATCACCCAATTTGAGATTTCAAACCGAGAAAGCGCTAACACTAACTAACCTAAGAACTGACCGCTAGCTAGGGCAATCCAAGGAAGGTTTTTATCCCAGCAGTGTTGCATCAATTGACGTGCATTTTGAATCTAGTGAATACTTTGTCAGTAAATCTCTCCAAACGAATCTCTCAGAGTATAGAAGCGTACCTGTTTCATGCCCGAGCTCTCTAACACAAAGAACCGGTCCAAAATCTTATCCTTTTGAACTGCATCTCTGGATTCACAGCCTGCCGTGAAGAGCGGGAACAAGGAGCAGACTTCAGTGGCTGCACCAGGGCGCATGCATCCAAGGGCGTCAATGAGCTTGCGCAAGACCTCCTTCACGGGAAACGAGTCAGGCGGAGACCCAAGGACACGCCGATGGAGATGTAGAATACCGGCAAACCGGAATGCTGACTCGATGGCTATCATATCCGAGGATTCGAGACCATGATGATGTTCTGGGATAGTATGAGGACCCTCGCTGATCCCGTCGTCGATATCACCAAGTAAGGATTGCCCTTCCAGGACCATTTCCGAAGATGCATGCCAGTCATGTCGGAAGTTACCCATTTCGTCGAAGCGTTGATTGTCACATTCCTGCACCAGCTGTGCGAGACGGATCAGAAATACTCCAGTGCGGGGAGTGAACCCTGTGAAGCAGTCAACACCGAACTCATCATGACCGTCGGGCGCGGAGCAAGCTGTTAATATGGAATGGTAGATCATCAGTGGAGGACCGGCTTCGCGACATGACAGCGATCCCATCGTGTCGAGATAGCCCAACCAACGAGCGAAGAGCGCCCCAATACGGTTCCCAGGCTGCGCCATGCTCTCGCTCCGTGCAAGAAATAAATCACGGGCAAGCTTAAGGTGAGTCTTCCAGGTGATCGGCACTTCAAATGTCCCCGGAGAAACAATCTTTAATGACAACAGCATAATGGCCGTGGCCAAGTGGCTGTCAGTTATATCTTCTTTTGATGAATCCAGTGCCATACGCAAAGTTGGGAAAACATTGCTAACCCAATGAGCGATTCGATTGGCAGGTTCGGGATGACCTAGGTATCGAGCACGATGACTAGCGGAATATGCAAGCAGCAAATTGAGGAGATTGGAATCACCGATTGCCACTGTTCGGTCAGCTCTCTGAAAGATAACATATCATAGAGGGGTACAACTCACTTGATGGCAAAACTGAGATAAACGGATTATTATCGCAGTTGTGGGGGACTAGCATCCGAGCAGTATGATTCAGGAAATGATGGAAGTACATCAAATTGATGGGGTTCTCCAGCAGCGATGACGGAAGCGGAGACAAGTATCTCGGAACATTGATGGGCACCGGGGAAGCATAATAACCACTACAGAACTGGACCTGTGGTTCGGGGTCAGGTTGAGAGGCTTTCGACTGAGCGGGTTCCTCGTTGCGCCACCGAGAACTGATCAGATCCAACGCATAGTTGATGTCTATGGCAGCATGGTCGTTGTTGAAAGTCAAATCCTGATCAGGGCGCCCGGAGTCCAATCCATAATTGTCCGTCACATTATTCAGATATGTTTGCCATTTGTTCTGGGCCATCGAAGAATCGTGGGATGTTTGATCAGCTTCATGATTGCTCTCTCCCAATACCTGATGATCCGAAGTCAATTCATTGTGATAGTCATGTACAGAGCCAATGTTGCTGGTTGTCTCGTGGAGCCGCGGAGACGAGGTTGCATCACTTTCAGCGATCGACACTGGGTTTGAATCGAAAAGCATGGACGACAGGCCTCCAGGATCCTGCGGATTGTGTGAGGATCTGTTTTGCTCTGTCCGAGACCCAGCACTAAGATGCATGCCCTGGTCATCATGTGACTCTCGAGAAAGATGCCCTTCATCGTGAGAGTGGAAGATAGATGGACCCGAGCTGTTATTGGAAGCATCTACAGAGTGGCGCAGATATGAAACTGGCTGCGACACGGGATTTGTATGAAATGCGAAGGCAGATAATGATCTGAGACCGGATGTCTGATCCATGGAGCCCAAATATGATGGGGTATCAAAGCTCTGTCCAAATTGATACTGTAATAAAGGCGCCGAGGATGCTGATGTTGTCAATGGAGGAGATTGTTCCGCCCAAGTTGTGGAGAACTGGGACTCTAATTGACCTGGCGATGTCACTCCTTCAGAGCCTGAACCGAGTCTGGGGGATTCGAAAAGGCCCACTGGTACTGGTGTACTCGGAGATACTGCGCTCGGCGAAGTCAACTCCCCGGGATGGGTGTTGATAAATCCATCTGCAGGGTTGCTTGTTGGAGTGGGGAACGAGATCGGGCTCACGTTGTTGAAAGCGAATGAGTCTGAAAATCCAATCACAGCTCCTCCATACCCACTAGATTGTGAATTCGGCGAGTCAATTGATATGCGTTTCGTCCTTCCTCCCCAGTTGAGACGAACGCTATAGTCGCAAGGGTCGCCTTGTCGCTGGCAATTAAGACATGCTGGTTTCTCCTCGCCACTACAGGAATAATTGTTAGCTATACGGATATCATGCAGGAATTGTGCTTCTCACCATTTTACCTTGCGTGCTTTGCATGGCCTAGTGCGATTGTTAGCCTTGGCAAAGCTTGGGTTGAGATATTAGTAACGTACCAACATCCTTTACGGCTTCGACGCTTTGGTTCTGGTGCACCAGGTCTTCTAGGCCGAGGCATTTCACGTCGGAGGGCGTCTGGTCGAGTATCGATGCCTGGAAAGAGGATACGGAGGCAATTCAAGATAACAGAGGCTCGAAATAGCCAAATATCGCTATGTACTGTCCCTCCATACAGATTTGGTCTTTTCAAGCGTGTATTAGTCCAATCGGAGACTCCTTACGCTGAAAGCAGGTCAGAGTTGGCACGCTTTCTACGTTTCGATCCTGGTTGACCCCAAGTAGCGATGAAGCGATAATCGACCAGACACCCACACCTAGTATACAAGCACATCGAGGTATGGGAGGGAGATGTGCCAGAAAGAGTTCGAGTCCCACTGCCCTTCAGCAATGGGAGGGCAAATAAAGCCGAGAGTAACCAGGGTAGTGTCAATCTTGATAACCTCAGGTACGGAATAAGACGTCAAACAGAAGATTTTTCTGTAAATATGATCAATTGATCCACTAGGTAGTGAACTGATCACACAGACAAGCACAAATTCACAGCCAAAGTCATGCAAAGAAGAAAGTTGGCTTTGGCAGACTAAAAGTGTGGGGAAGCACATGGCCGAGATAAGGAACGATGAATCAGCCGGGTTATGTTATAATCCGAGATACCCCCTGCCCAAGTGGAGTCTGGCCCGGCATACCGCGGGAAGCCGGCATTTCCCGACGAAAGCCGTTCAGCCCCGATCATCACGTGAACTATCTTGATAACGTCATAGCTTCTTTGGATGCACATTGGTTCTCGAACGCTTTGGTAGCAATTTCTGGTGTTACTTTAACGCATTATTGGAGCATCTTAGAGTTGTGTCCTCTTTATTTCCCGATATGGCCAAGTCTCTCATCATTAAACACCCACTTCAGTGGATGTCGAGCCCTTCACGGGGCTTGTCAGCCTTGGTTCATGTACCGTGGTCCTTTCACTTGTCATTTTGGTCCGGCACTAACGGGTTGTTTTCCAGTTGGTTGGACTAACAAGCTTTTTATGGTCATTCAAATAGTATGGATCCTTCACTAAGTACTTGAGAGTTTGCTGACATTGTCGAAGCATGCACGAAAACCCCAACCAAGCGTAAGCATCCGTCTACTTTTGATATTGGGATTTTGATATTGGGAACCATTCTAAACTTTAATTTCGACAGTAATCAAGCATATGGTTGGCACTTTCAATTTTTGACCGTGATTGGTCTGTCATTGTCAACACTCACTTTCGCGGTTGCACTACTAGCAGATATTACCTCGTCGCGGCGACTATTCCTGATCAAAAACATCCTATCAGTATGCAGTGCTCCCCTTGAAGTTGTGATCAGTGTTTTGTACTGGGGTCTTCGCGTGGTGAGTAGTTCGATGCTAAAGTCGACGTTTATCTAATCCACATATAGATTGATGAGCGCTTGGTGATTCCCCCGGACATCTTTATCCCCGTTCATGCCGGTATGTCTATTAAAAATACATTTGTGTGGGATACACTTAATAACACAGTTATAGACATTAGCTTCCACGCAACCCCGTCAGTGGTGATGTTGATCGACCTGTTGCTCCTGTCCCCACCGTGGACAATCACTGCACTCCCGGCACTGGCGTTGTCTGGTACCATCGCCTTCGGCTACTGGTTCTGGATTGAGCAATGCTTCTCCCAAAATGGATGGTTCGTGTATGATCCAGCACTTTCGGCGTCACTCACTAAGTAGTCTAGGTACCCATATCCTATCTTCGAAGCACTGCCCACATCAGGCCGTATTGGCCTATTCACTCTTAGTGCCGTTGTGATGGCACTGAGCACCATTACACTCAAGTGGCTCCATGGACGTGTTAATGGATTTGGTAACCCCATGAAGCCGGAATCCCGTTCGGGTGATATCAAGCGAAAGAACGGGCTTTAGTCGGGGATGGTATCACAACAATACTCTCAGCTTGATTGAGATCAATTGGCTGTTGTATCGTCTCATATAAGAGATGGGTTCTAATCCTGACGCAGCCTCGGCAAGGAAAAATGGGCGCATTGCACGAATCATAAGCGTCTTGGTTCTCGCTTTTTCGGGGTACATCAATGAATTTCGAGGGTCTCCATCATAACTACATTTACATCTCACAATATCTCAAATGCAAATTATTCTGGCTATAATACTATCACTATTCAAATTAAACCCGAGAATAGGCAAATCATCCCGGGTGTTCCGAAATCTTTTCACGCCAAATGCCAAGAGCCCACCTGCGCAGATGGGATATGTTCATCACTCAACAATTAGTACTTTCAACCCAGCGCTTGTTCCGCGAGGCGCCTATCGCAAATCACAATATCCCAATTGGCCCTCAGGTTATAGTCGTAATTTAAACATGGGCTGCTCAGACAACTTGGTCATGTGCGATGATCACCCCATACAGGATTAAAGCCGTCCCTGTCCGTGCATTGAATTTGAATGCGGGGCTTAGCGTGACAAGAGAAAAATCCAGGGTCTTCGGAGCCGCTTACTATAATGGCTAGATATCCATTGGCACAAAATTCTTCGGGGCTACGGAGCAGGTCATCATCCGCGTAGCCAATGTCTAGATCGGGCATATTAACCGCCACACTTTCACTAGCTTCGGGGCTTATGACAGCATTCGCCCGGTCCGACACCAATTTGCTATCGGCCGAGACGCATACATAGGAAGTTGAGCAAAGCCGAGTGTCTCAGGTCAATCTCAAGCGGGCCGTTGCGGACTTGGCAACACCTGAGAAGATGGGGACGGGAAAAGCTTGGGGTTGTGGAGCCCGGGGATATGGAGCCCCGGGGTATGGGGCTGGGCCTAATTCCCCGGACGCCCAGACTCGGCCTATTTTATCGTCCAAACAGGAGGAGCCTCAATATCAAATTGAATCAAATTGCGTACAATGATGTTAGCTCTTTTTTTCTCTCTATTTGATCTCACTTCCATGGGATCTCTTTCTGTACTGCATGCCGATCATATCCTCAAACCACTCAAATCCGTGCCGATCAACCCGGGGCCCCAACAATCAGATCCAAGCTAATGCGGAAACCCCTGCACACGGGCTAGGATGTGGCAATCATGCCGTCCATTAGACCCTAGCGTGCTATCTCGCACCATCTGACGGATATAAGCGTAGCGTCTTTGCCCCTCATTAGTGCTGAGTGGCTTGGTTTTTTCTGGCTTGGATTCTTCCCCTGCTCTACTTAAGAAACTTGCAGGTCGGCGAAAAGTAGTCGCACATTTCAAAGAATTCGTTCTGCTGATCTGCTTGATCTTGCATTATGGCCTCTGATTCCTTTGAGAAACCAACTGACTCCCGGTCAGAAGACCCTGAGGGCATTCTTGATCCCAAGGATCCCCTTGCTGCAGCTGGATTTGAGGATCCCGATGCAGGAAAGAGTGATGAAGAAAGGGCGGAAATTGTGAGTTATCTCTGACTTTGTGTTACTTCAAATCATTTGCAGAGACAGTAGCTAATCAAGCCACAAATCCATAGGATCGCAAACTCTTATGGCAACTTGATTTGCGCCTCGTGCCATGGCTGAGTCTACTTTATCTCGTTTCCTTCCTTGATCGGTAAGCAAAAGAACAATTGCTCGCGCAATCCCTTTCGACGAATCACAAGCTAATCTTATCTCGTTCCAGGACAAATATCGGCAACGCGAAACTTGTCGGTCTTCAAACAGACCTGCACATGACAAATGCCCAATATAATGCAACACTTACTATATTTTTCGTCTCATATTCAGTCTTCGAGCCCGCGACTAATGTCCTGCTCAAGCGGTTGCGGCCGAGTATCTTTATCCCACTTATCATGATGGCATGGGTATGTGAAATACCCCCTTCCTCTTATATACCATTCTTCTAATCAATTCTAGGGCCTTTGCATGACATTCATGGGCTTCGTAACAAATTACCACGGACTAATGGCCGTCCGTTGGTTTTTGGGGCTATCCGAAGCCGGTCTATTCCCCGGAGTAGGCTATTTCCTCTCATGCTGGTATAGACGCTCAGAATTCGGCGTGCGAATGGCCATCTTCTTCTCTGCAGCCGCGCTGGCAGGTTCCTTTGGTGGCCTGCTAGCAGCAGCGATTGCGAAGATGGACGGGGTGGCCGGTAAGCCGGGCTGGTCTTGGATTTTCATTCTGGAAGGTCTTCTTACGTTCATGATTGGTGTTGCCTCGTTTTGGTGTGTCTATGACTTCCCTGACCAGGCGCGATTCTTGTCGGATATCGATCGCAAGCGCGTTCTTAGGAGACTCGCTATGGATCAACAGTCGAGTGCTGAACATGAGGAGTTTAAGATGGATTACCTTTGGGCCAGTCTGAAGGATTGGAAGACTTATACTGGGATGATGATCTATATGGGGGCTGATGGGTCGCTTTATGCGTTTTCGCTTTTCGTGCCTACTATCATCAGTGAACTAGTGAGTTGTCAGATCGCTAGATTGGAGATTTTGGAGCTAACTTGGTTTTTCTAGGGTACATATTGACTTCGGCTGCTGGGTTCGGCATATCTGAACGGTTTACTAACTGGGTGTTTCTATAGGCTATAGCTCGATTCGCGCACAGTTGCTGAGTGTACCGCCATATGCCGCCGCCGCCGTTTTGACAGTGACAGTTGGCTTTGTTGCAGACCGTACAAGACAACGTGGTCTCTGCAATATGGCTGTCTCGGTCCTTGGTATGGTAGGTTTCTCTATGCTACTGGGCTGTCAGTCTGCCGGCGCCCGCTACGCAGGAACCTTCCTCGGGGCCATGGGCATCTACCCAGCGATTGCGAACACGATTTCGTGGACTAGTAACAACACCGAAGGTAAATTCCACCCTGGATCCCATTTTTATGTTATACATCACGAAATCCAGGACTAACTCGATTGCTGTCTAGGTGTATACAAACGAGGTGTCTCCCTTGGATTTATCATCGGCTGGGGAAATCTCAACGGCATCGTCTCATCTAACATCTACCGCGCGGAGGATAAGCCAAGATACTACCCCGGTCACGGAGTAGTACTCGGCTACCTGGTCTTGTTCCAATTTGGTGGATCCGTGTTGCAGTACATTCTGCTGCGTCGTGAGAACGGCAAGCGCAGACGCGGCGAACGCGACCACTGGGTCCAGGGCTTGGACCAGAACCAGATCGAGTTGTTGGGTGACAAGAGACCGGATTTCATTTATACGCTGTGAGCGAGATGTCAGATGGGGTGGAAGGAAGAGCGGAGCCACATTGAGATAGTGGGAATAAATGAACATGCACGATCACGATCATGATTCTAGCAGACGATTTCATGTCTTTTAAGGTGTCTAACAGAACCGGATCGTAGCTTTGCGCGAGACGCATCGCAATTGTAGGATGCTTCAGATCCCATCTCATCCCCCCTTCTCATATCGATTAACAATCTCCTGTCCCTTCTTCGGGCCTCGCACAACATGGCGACTAGCCCAGCTAAGCACCTCCCCGGTATCCAACGCGATGCGGAACGCATACGCCGTCCGATACATATCATTGATACAGAGGTGGTTGCCCCTGGCATTGAGCACAGTAGTCTCATTGCCGGTCGAGACAGCGGGCGGCATAGGCGGCGCGACGAATTCTCCTGCATCCTTCTGCGCAGATCCAGACTCGGACTCTAGCAGTGCACCAGAACCCGAATCAAAGTCGAAGTCGTGGAATAGGTAGTCTGCTTCTTCCGGGCCCGGCGCGACTTTGACGAACCAGACGCTGACGCGTCCGCTATCGCTGGCTAGACGCCATATGTATTTCTTTGTCCACCGTAGTCCCGGCTGTAAGGCACCTACACCGACATTGCTAGGTATTTCGCCTTCTTCACAGTATAGCCAGTCGCGATCGGGGGTTGTGGTGGGGGGTTGTGCGGTGAAAGTGGCGGTCCCGCGGAGCTCGCCGTTTAGGTCGAGGGGGTTGTCGCTTCGGAGGGTTCGAGTTAGGGTCCAGCGGGTGTTGCTGAGGGAGGTTATTAGGGTTGAGAGGAGTTGGCGGGAGGGCATTGCCATGGTGAAGGTGTTGGGAGGAGGGAATGTGGGGGGAGAGGAATAGGTGGAGTTATCCAATCATTTCAGTGTTCTCGGACTAGTCCTGAGTTTATAGCTTATTTTTGTTTATTGCGTATTTACGTACAGTCAACTGGTTGATAACCCCGTCAATACACGGGGTAAATAGCCTAAAATGGACATTTTCTCTTTACCTTCCACTTCAAAAGTGTACTTTCAGTCACATGTCCAGGCTATGACCTCTTTACCTGTCAGCTGTATTCCCGAGGTCTATGGTAAATAATTGAAACCCAGTTTGATATGTGTTATATCAGATTTTATGTTTATAGATTATAAGTGATATATGCCTTGGGTCGAAACGAAATCGGCAATCGTACCTGACGGCCCTGGAGGCAACCTTGGAATTCAAGGGTACATAATAACCGAGCCGAATCTGACTTACTGAATTTGCGCAGTAAAACGGACGCAGGTATGAAATAATTATCTTTAATCTTCAACATCCAGATCTATATTGTACTCCATATAAAGCCTATACAATCTTAGAATCTCCACTTGAAAAGAGATTGAAACAGATCCATCTTCCAATTCGCGACTGCCGATCGTGGGCCCTCGTTTGGAGTTGATGAAGGGGACTCCATACAGTATATTGTGTGAGAAGAAAATACATCAATTCCTATATCCTACATACATTGATATGATATAGAGTGCGATATCCATAATATCTCCTTGCATGGGAAAAGTATTGATCTTCAGCCAAGGCAGTAGATCAAAAATAGCCTTAAAACGTGGGACTTGGTCAATCATTTACTGCATTCAGCCATGTCAGTGAAGATGATCTCAAGACCTAGAAGAAGATCCGAATGAGAGAATAGATTTCCGTTTGCGGAGATTAAAAAGACGGATGCGATCATTAGGTACTAAATCATACTCCGTAAATACAACCTACATAAAGGTACTAAACATAAGGTAATTAAAAAGAAATTAAAACCAATATTAAATAGTCCTTGGTAGAGCCAATTAAAAAAAAGAGAAAAAGGAAAGGATAACTGTATCCGGCATCGTTCGGCCCTGACTAGACCCAAAACCCTCAGGTGTCTTTTCTGGTCTTTTGACTCCTCTTCCTCTTTAACCTAAGCAACTATGGACTGAGAAATCCTATTCAGACATCAAATCGAGCCTCAGGGCCCTCTTCAACATTCGCTACCCAAAAAAGATCTCACCATGTCACTCACTACGCGCCTCTCAATTTTCATCACCCTTATCGCCCTCACAATCTCAGCCCTAGCCGCCGACAGCATCCTCCCCACATCAGCCTCCAGTAAATTCCCGCAATGCGGCCTGGCCTGCACCACCCTGACAACCGCGCAGACCTCCTGCGAAGCAGGCGACCCCTCAACCTGGACATCATGCTTCTGCCAGTCAGCTTTGCTCACCGGCCTTAAATCCTCCGGCAGCATCTGCTCCTCCTGCGCCGCCGCTGACCAAACCACTCTTTCAACCTGGTACAACAGCTACTGCAACTCCGGCGGCAAGGATACATCCGACACCGACACTGGCGCTGACACCGGCACCACAACAACCAAAACCTCAACCGACCCAGTCTCTACACCTGATACCTCGAAATCCGAGTCCGGGTCCAACGCAAACACGAATAAAACCCCCGCCGCTGCAGAGAAGGAAGAGTCATGGTACGTTTGATCCCAACATCGCGCAAATCGGGATCCCGACAACCCCCATCCAGATCGCTAACCAAATTCCCCCAAAAAGGTGGAGTTCCCACTACCGTTGGGTCATCATGCTCATTGTCCTGGTCATCGGATTCACCATCATCGCCGTCGTTGGTGTATGGTTCAAGCGTCGCTACGAAGCCAAACGGCCCAATCTCTACGGCGGCGGTAGCAGCGGCATGCTAGCAGCTTCCCCGCCCGCTCCGCGCGATGCCGCCTGGGGTCCGGGTCCGGGTCCGCTGCCTGTCTCGACCGGCCTTACTCCTGAATCTCTCGCTAGCAGCTCCCGCTCTACTATGGCGAAGACTAGCACTCCTGTTCCCGGGGCTCGGACACGATTGACGAAGATCGAGCAGGGCTCTGGGGATGTGGAGATTCGGCAGGTTTAGGTGCTGCTGGGATTCTTTTGGATTCTTTGGGGTTTCCTATGTCTTTTATTTCTTTTATTTGCAATGCGCTACTTCTATACCATATTACCTGGCTATGGTTGCATTTCTTGGTGTTTGGTACGGATAATGGGCTTAACGCTGTGCGCTGTTTTTTTCTTGTTGTCGGTCTTGTTCCTCTTCTCTCTTTACCTTTCCTTTCCTTGTTCTATTGGCCTAAAGGCCCTGAGTATGGCAGAATGATTGCTTCTGACGACTGCGTCGATTTTTCTTTTTATGCTCCTATTCGCCAGGTTTCTTTTTTTCAAACTGTTTGATCAAGTCACAGAGTACATAGTACAACGCGTGCGCGCATTTCATGATTCTTTATACAAATATTTTGTAATACCTCTAGATTTCACTCGGGGTTGATATATCACGAGATGCTAATACTCACAATCTTAATATCAACTTCCGGTTTCTCCTTATGTGTCCGCACATTCTCAATCTTGTGCACGATATCCAAGCCCTGTACCGCACGTCCAAACACAGTATGCTTATTATCCAACCACGGCGTCTTCTCCGTGGTAATAAAAAACTGACTACCATTTGTGTTGGGTCCGGCATTGGCCATCGATAGCGTATACGGCTTATCGTGCTTGAGAACGGAGAACTCGTCTGCGAATTCCCCACCCCAGATAGACTCTCCACCCGTCCCATCGCCTTGTGGGTCACCACCTTGGATCATGAATTTGCGGATCACACGGTGGAAGATCGTGTTATTGTAATAGCCATTGCGGGCATGTGTGACAAAGTTCTCCACAGCCCGTGGCGCAGCCGAGGGATACAGGCGCAAGTGGATGTCGCCGAAGGTTGTGTGCAGGATGGCAGCAGTGCCAGTCTCAGCAGCTTTGGTAACTGCTGTACCCGTGCCGGCCATGGCCTGGGTTGGCTTCTCATTCTGGACGTCCCGGGTGGATTTCGAGATCTCGGTTTCGTTCGTGAACATGTAGAAGCGCACCTTGGCGAACCCAGTGCTAAAGAGGATCGGGTCACGTTCTTCGGCTTCCTGGAGGAGCGGGTTGCTACTGGCTGCCATTGAGACGGTCACAACGCCTTTGCGTTGCGGTTGTCCTTGGTACAATGCGAGGTTGAGGGATCGGAATGGCTCCTCGCGGCCGTAGACGCGGACGACCCGGTTTGTGTAGGTGTTGATGCATTTCACGCCGTAGAGGGAGCCGTAGAGGAGGAAATGGCCGGATTCATCGAAGCAGACGTTTACTTTGCTGCGGGTTGCTTCGCCTTCGAGTTCGCGCTCGACGCCTAAGCGACGCCCGAACTCTACTTCGTCAAGTTCGTACGGTGCTGTCCCGGCTTGTTGCATCTCCGTGATGGTGGTTATTGATTCGTCGTATGTGCGGTAAAGTTTCCCGGTTGCGAAGTCGAATACTCGGACTTGTCGGTCTGGGAAGGAAACCGTGGCGAAGTGTTCGCCGGACGGTGAGATTGTGATGGCTGTCGGGACGGATTTGGCTTTTTTGAATGCGAAGAGATTAGTTGATGATTTGAGATCGAAGACATTGTCGGGTTTCTCGAAAGATCCGTCTCCGGCTCTCCAGTATTCGATCATTCCTGATTCGTCCGCGGAGACGACGCAGTCGAAGGCGTTGTTGAATGCTAGTGAGACCACGGGGCTGCGGTGGATCGACTTCAAAGTGTGCAAGGGGTGGGGGTTTTCGCCACGTCCGTCGAATACGTGAATCGTGTTACTTGACTCGTCTGTCACGGCTAGCAGGGGTAGCGAGGCTCCGCGCGGGTGTACCCAGCAAACACATCGAGGCACAAAGTCCAGCGTATACATCGACAAGAGATCTACTAATGTCAGCAAGTCACTAAACTACCAGAGTCACACGTTCTGCGCCTACCAAATGTAATAACATCAAAGATCTTCACAGTCTTGTCCATTCCCACTGTTGCGAAACTGCGGCCGTCGGCGCTGACAGTTACGCCCCGAATCTCGCCTGGGTGAGCAAGGAACTCCTTCACGAACTCGATGCCTTCGGCCATCTTCTTCCAGAACTTAACGAATCCATCGACGGAGCAAGTAATCACAAAGTCCGTATAGGGCGCAACGGTCACAAATGACAATTGGTCCTTGTGCATAAGGGACTTGGAGTACCGCGCGGAGACTGGTAGCGCATTGATGTAGACTTTCTCAAAAGGCAGCTTGCGCCGCTTCTTCTTGGGAGCAACCTCCGAGGGCAGTGCAGGGCCGAAATCATCGTCGGAAGAGTCGTCACCTAGCAATCGCATCGAGTTAATATCTATTACGTGCCATTCGAGGGAGCGGTCTGGACGGTATCCATGATGCAGGGGACTCACTGTTCTCGGCCTCGACAGCAGAGTGAGGCCGCTTGTTCGCGGCAGCCTGAGCGAGTTCTCCGGAGTCAGCCATTGTCGAAATTGTAAGAAACAAAGTCAATTCCAGCGAACGGGATCGTCACGACCGAAAGGAAACGTCTAGAGACATCGCGGGCGGTGATGCAGTGCAGCCAATCACAAGCTCGGGCCAATCGTGCCGCAACTTTTCTCCTTTCCCACCCCACTGTTGACAGGAGAAGTCGATTCAACCTTTCCAGCAAGACATTTGATCATTGGTCGATTGCCTTATTTAGCTGGTCATCATGGTATGTTATTCCCAACTTGACCCGCGAGAGCGGCGGAAAATATGTGCACTGGCTCACCTCTGCCCCTCCTAGGCATCCTTCGGCAATCCCACACAGATCTTTGGTGACGATGTCATTGAAGAGAAGGGCGAGAATGCCCGTCTCTCGGCCTTCGTCGGTGCTATCGCCGTCGGAGACCTCGTGAAGAGTACCCTTGGTCCCAAGGGAATGGACAAGATCCTACAATCTGCGTACGTGGGGGAGTTATCGATAATGCTATGTGCTGATATGACCCCGGAAATACTGACATTACTGTTCTCTCAGATCCACAGGAGACATCCTGGTGACGAACGACGGTGCTACGATTCTTAAGTCCATCGCTTTGGATAACGCTGCTGCTAAGGTTTTGGTCAACATCTCCAAGGTTCAGGACGATGAGGTCGGTGATGGAACCACATCAGTCACCGTTTTGGCTGCCGAGTTGCTGCGCGAGGCCGAACAGCTTGTTGCCAAGAAGATTCACCCCCAGACTATTATCGAGGGTTACCGGATAGCCAGCAAGGCTGCCCTCGCCGCTCTCGAGGCCACCGCAGTCGACCGCAGCCATGACCCCGAGGCTTTCCGCAAGGACTTGCACGCCATTGCCCGCACAACACTCAGCTCGAAGGTTCTGTCCCAAGACCGGGACCAATTTGCCAAGCTGGCCTGTGAGGCCGTTCTGCGTCTCCAGGGATCCACCGATCTTTCTCACATTCAGATTATCAAGAAGGCCGGTGGAAAGCTGAGCGATTCATACCTCGATGAGGGTTTCATTATGGACAAGAAGGTCGGTGTCAACCAGCCCAAGCGGTTGGAGAACGCCAAGATCCTTGTTGCCAACACAGCAATGGACACAGATAAGGTTAAGATTTTCGGTGCACGAGTCAAGGTTGAGTCCACCGGCAAGCTTGCTGAGTTGGAGAAGGCAGAGCGCGAGAAGATGCGCCAAAAGGTCGAGCGTATCAAGGCTCACGGTATTAACTGCTTCGTGAACCGTCAGCTCATCTACAACTGGCCCGAACAGCTGTTCACCGAGGCCGGTATCATGTCCATCGAGCACGCCGATTTCGACGGCATTGAACGTCTGGCTCTTGTCACCGGTGGTGAAATTGCCTCCACCTTCGACCACCCCGACCAGGTTAAGCTCGGTGGGTGTGATCTGATCGAAGAAGTCATCATTGGTGAGGACACCCTGATCAAGTTCTCCGGTGTGGCGGCTGGTCAGGCCTGCACCATTGTGCTGCGCGGTGCCACCGAGCAGCTTCTCGATGAGGCCGAGCGTTCGCTCCACGATGCTCTTGCCGTCCTCTCGCAGACTGTCAAGGATCCCCGTGTCACACTTGGCGGTGGCTGCGCCGAGATGGTGATGTCCAAGGCCGTGGAACAGGCGGCTCAGAACACGACCGGCAAGAAGCAGCTTGCTGTCGACTCCTTCTCTCACGCTTTGAAGCAGCTGCCTACCATTCTGGCTGATAACGCCGGTCTGGACTCCAGCGATCTGGTGACTCGCCTGCGCTCGGCCATTAACAACGGTATGACCAGCTCTGGTCTTGACCTGTTGACGCCCGGTGGTGGTATTGCGGATATGCGTGAGCTTGGTGTGGTGGAGGCTTATAAGTTGAAGAAGGCGGTAGTTTCGTCTGCCTCAGAGGCAGCCGAGGTATGTAACTCACTGTTTCTTATTCTTGATACTGGAATACGCGCTGACTCTCTCTTAGCTTCTCCTGCGGGTGGACAACATCATCCGTTCGGCTCCCCGCCAACGCAACCGGATGTAATGGACACGATTGTGATGACATGGATGAATTCATCTCTGTACTCTTTCTACAAAGGGACTAAAAAATGTGCAATAGAAGTTCAACTAAGTACATGATCTATCCATCTAGTCGTTTGTGTAGTTTGCCGAGTAGATATACGGTGCATTATGAGCTGCGCCCTGTAGTGTCAGGTGCCTCAGACATACCTCATAGCTTCCTAGTCATTTCATAGTCCTTGGTTAATGTTCTAGGTGCATATGTTCTTCAGTATTCTTCTGAGGTTTAGATCTTCAGACAAAATGATCGGACCCCAAGACCGATTTATTGAGCCTTGTACTTTGTATGCATTATTCAACTCCTACATCATTTGCACAGCATTCAAATTTGTGGCTTTTTATGCGGGCCCCATTCTAATACGCATCATCGTAACCCCAAATTTACTAGGGGATATGTGAACATACACCTGGGCACCTGGTAAGGCCAGTAAGACCCCGGGTACCTGAATAATGAGGCACCAACTCCCAAAGCGGAAGGCTCAAAGCGGATGCTGACGCCCAGGTTTGAAAGCTTGGTATGAAGCCAAGGCGTAGCCAAGGCAGCAGCATAGATCTATTCCGGGTGTGGAGTATAATGGAGTGTCTGATCATGTCTTATAGTACTTCGTAATCTCTTCATATCCATCTGAGTAGATATAGCAATAGCCATACTTCATACATATGTGCTCTTATGTGCTCTTAGATTTTACCATCGCATTCCCATCCCGTGGGTCATAAAAGTGGACGATAGACCAGATCGGCATTGCTTGGACAGTTTATCTAATTACTATGTATGTAAATAGGGTCCGTACCTTAGAAATTATATTAGGCACAATATCAAGGGATGTCTCAAGCGCTAAGCTTAATGTTTCAATTTCCTAATGCAGGACCGGATTGCCGCCAGGGACTGAGTCTAACCGTCATCGCTTTGATTTTTAGGGGCAAACCAGCAAATCTACCAATCCACCTATCTAATAATCCAACCTTGGAATAATCCAATAATGTGTAAAAGGGGAACGACTTTGTACCTAGTACTATGTATGAATAAATAGAATAAAGTTAATAGAGTGCAACATTCTTAGACGGAGACGTACCAGGAACTGCGGTACTGTTACCGGGTACTCCCCCCCGGTCACCTTTTACCCTTTACATTCTCTCTCTTCCACTCTACAACTCCCCTATGCCACTGGCCTTTACGCTCGTTTGAGATTCCACACATGATTTTGTCCAAGTGGCTGGCCACTCTACTGGGCGGCGCATTCGCCGTCCAGGGTGCCCTTGCTATCGAATTGAACATTGATGACGAGAGTATGTTTCCACTCCTCGATCGCATTCGTTGGCTAACTCATTGCTCCTCTCAGGCTCCCTTAAAACTGCGGCGAAAACGGTCGCCACCAGAATGATGAAATTCTACGACTCTCGCGAATCCAAGAACATCCCCGGTAAACTCGATGGCACTTGGTGGGAGGGCGGTTCCATGTTCATGACCCTTATTCTGTACTGGTTTGTGACCGGTGACGACCAGTTCAACCCCGCCGTTCAGGAAGGAATGTACTTCCAGAAGGGCGACAACAATTTCTTCCCCAGCAACTATAGTCAGTACCTGGGAAACGACGATCAAGTCTTTTGGGGTCTCGCTGCTATTACCGCCGCGGAATTCAACTACCCCGAACAAGACGGCCAACCTTCCTGGGTATCTCTCGCACAGGGTGTCTTCAACACCCAGTACCCCCGCTGGGATACAAGCAGCTGCCACGGTGGTATGCGCTGGCAGATTTGGCCGTATCAGGACGGTTACCTGACGAAGAACGCGATTTCGAACGGAGGATTGTTCCAACTTTCGGCCCGCCTCGCCCTCTACACCGGAAATAAGACATATGCTGACTGGGCTGAGCGCATTTGGGATTGGAGTGCTACGACCCCGCTGCTCAAGCAGAAGAACTGGAACATCGCCGACACTACCACCTGCGGCACGCAGTGCACAGATCATGGCGATTTCCAATGGACCTACAACTATGCCACCTATATCAGCGGTGCTGCCTACATGCACAACTACGTATGTCATGTTCTGCTACGCAAGGATTGATACTAACTTCGGACTAGACTAATGGCACTGAAACGAAATGGAAGGAGGGTGTCGAGGGTCTCGTCAAGACCTCTCAGCAGTTCTACCCGACCACAGGATTCAATGGAGCCGGTGGCCAGATTCTATCGGATATCACCTGCGAACCCCTTGGCAACTGCGATCGCAACCAGATCACCTTCAAGTCCTATTTCTCCAACTGGCTTGGAGTGATGACAACGATCGTCCCCGGTACCTCCGACCTAATCTTCCCTCAGCTGAGAACCTCGGCCCAGGCCGCTGCAAAGCAATGCTCGGGTGGTGATGACGGTGATTTATGTGGTATTCGCTGGTACAAGCAAGCCGATTGGGACGGGAGCAAAGGTCTCGAGCAACAGATGGCTGTACTGGGTGTTCTGTCTGCCAATCTGCTCCCCTTCATGAACAAAGCGCCACTGACTGCAGAATCTGGTGGAACTTCCAAGAGTAACCCGAATGCCGGCACCAATACCTCGGACAATAAAGTCCCCGTGTTGAACACCATCGGTACTGGTGACCGTGCAGGTGCGGGCGTCTTGACGGTCATCTTCGTCGGCGGTTGGGCTATTGCTGTGACCTGGATGATCCGTGGTGGTTAAGGTCTCCCATTTTTAATATCTACCTATTATCTTTCTTGGGATCATACGTGATCCTTCTTTTTTTGTGTAATAATCCTTTTCTCCCCTACTTCTGTGGCCACATCCTTCTACACTTGTATCTATCTTGATTTTTCTTGTGTGTCCTTATTTCTCTTTTTTTCCCCCTCCCTTCACTGGCACTTCCGGCGTGTACTGCACGAGGATGGGGTAGCGGCGTTGGATGTGCTGATTTGATCTACATAGTTCTTTTGAAAAAAATACTGGGTAATGGAATTATTTCTTCAAATGATACCTTAGGTGCATACTAGTGTCTCTCGCCCTTGATTGGTACCCCCTGACGGGGGTGCCTGACCCACCCTGAATGGCTGGGGGTTCAAAGAGATATGAAAGACTCGAAATAGTGTAACCTGGAGAGTCCTAATATCAAAAGCTGACTGTGTTTATAACATGGACATCTGGACAGACATGTAACATGTAAAATATATGCAGACTCGGCATATACACCAATTTCTATTAAGGGGATATGGGGATATGGGGATAAATCACTCTCGAATGTTCTTATTGTTCTAGGCTAGAAGGCGTGCGTGGACAAAAGTACCATACCTTACTGTTACCGTTGTGGGATAAACTCGTAATGACCAGTAATATACACGTGTATTACACACAATCTCTCTGCCTGCATACTCTCCAAACTCTCCCTTTTCATCTCTTCAACATTGCATGACATTATCATCCCTTCTGCATTAATATTAGACTATAAGTGAATTTCCTACCGTTTTCCATTCATTTGTGGGTTGGGGATGATCCGCAACCCGGATTTGCGACTCGCTCCACACTGTCACTCGACCCGTTAAACCTTTCTTTTCAACATCGGCCCATGACACGCCCTCCGCTACCTCATTCGCTCCCTCGATCGTCCACCTACCCTTCAATCTTTGTGCTGACAGCTCCACGATGCGGTGGCGGCTGCCAGGCGCCCGTACGACACTCCCCGCCAGTGTCGCACTCCTCCTTCTCCCAGCTCTGGTCGCTCCGCTGCAGCAATCAGATGGCCATGACTCCATCTCTCGTGTCTCTGTGCCCCTAGCACAAGAGTCATCAAAACACCATGCGGCCCATGTAGCCGCACCACCCATCGTGAAACCCAACGATGCGAGCGCCCTTGCTACTCTGGCTCTGGCAGGCTCCGGCCGCGCCGTTCGAGCCCCTCCTGTCCAAGCCAGCAGCACCGCTGCAGGCTTGGCTTCGCAGCTTCACGCGCGGTCCTTGCAGGACTGGGAGGTTGAGGATTTTGTGCTGCTGGCGACCGTCGACGGAACTATTCACGCCCGTGATCGCAAGACTGGAACTGCTCGATGGGCCCTAGAGGTCCCGAGCAGTCCTGTGGTCGAAAGCACTTACCACCGAGCGAATCGTTCCAGCTTTGACGATACAGAGCCCGAAGACGACTTTTTATGGATCGTCGAACCGAGCCAAGATGGCAGCCTATATATCTACAGCCCCGCCCCAGACGCCGGCTTGCAAAAGCTCGGCTTAACTGTGAAGCAGCTTGTCGACGAAACCCCTTATTCTGGCACTGACCCTGCTGTGACTTACACTGCTCGCAAAGAAACTACATTATACACGATTGACGCCCGGACTGGTAGCATTCTGCGTGTGTTTAGTTCCCGTGGTCCAATTCCCGCTGCACCTGAATGTCGGAAGGTCAACGGAGAAGATCCGGACTCCGATGAGTGTGAGTCGTCATCTGGTACTTTGGTTCTTGGTCGGGTTGAATACGCCGTGGCTATACAAAACACCGAGACGGGAGATCCAATTTGCACCTTGAAATACTCAGAGTGGGCACCGAACAACCGTGATATGGACCTACAGAGCCAGTATTACAGGACAATGGATCAAAGCCACATTTATAGTATGCATGACGGCGTTGTGCTGGGATTCGATCACTCGCGCATGGATCGGCCTCGCTATACCCAGCGGTTCTCATCTCCTGTGGCGCGAGTCTTTGACGTGGTTCGTCCTGCCCACAAAGATGCACCAGATGCCTCGACCCCACTAGTCTTGCTCTCACAACCGCTTCAGCCACCGGATCCGGATTACGGATCTCTTGATGATGACAGGGACATGCGTGTATTCATTGATTGCACTGAGGCAGGGGGCTGGTATGCCTTCTCAGAGGAAACCTATCCCCTGGCCACGGGCCGCGCTCCAATGGCTCAATGCTATGACAAGGACTTCTTCCGCCGGGGGCAAGCACTCATGAGTCTTACTGCGCGTCAGCAGCGGAATGCGTTGGCTGGTGTTCACTCTCTCACTGGCCCACGTATCGTCCGTCCACATATTCCTAGACTCGCCGGGTCATCTACCTCTGAACTCTCTAATGATACGCCACGAGATATCCTTCGCAGTCCTTCGGAGCTGGCTTTGCCTCCCGCATTGCGAAATAGCGCGATTATTCGCAAGAGCTGGGACAATGCTTTGGATATTGTCGTGACATTGATTTTACTTTTCATCTGCACCTTCATCTACTTCAACTCGCATCACCTTCGCGATTTGGCCAAACAGAAACTGGATATCAAGAATATTATCAACTCCAATGATAAGCCTTCTCTGTCCACCCCTTCCACCCCTGTTGTCGGCGGTGCCCCGGAGATCAAGCGTTCAACTACACCCACCCAACAAGTTCCTAACGTCACAGTTAATTTGGATTTGGATGATTCGTCACCAGATGGTGGACCAACCCCGCGTGCCTCACGAGAATACACTCCAGACTCCAACCTGCGGGTGCAGATTCGCGAGCCGTCGCGCGGCCCTGATGACGAGGACCTCGATGAACCGGGAAAGCCAAAGAAAAAGCCTCGCGCTCGTGGATCTCGAGGAGGAAAGTCACACCGCCGCCGCAAAAAGCCTGACGGCGAGGGTGATAGCCCTGAGGGGGCCGGTCAGGCCGTGGAGCAGGTCAATAATTTGACCCCCAGCCTCGACTTGAGCCCGATGTCCAGATGGTCAGGACGATCTCGAACGAGATTATGGAGATGGATGGCGTTGTTCGCGTCGGCCGTCTTCAGGTTTTCACTGATGTTGTGCTGGGACATGGCAGCCATGGAACTGTGGTTTACCGCGGTTCGTTTGATGGACGAGACGTCGCGGTCAAGCGTATGTTGATGGAATTCTATGACATTGCATCCCACGAAGTGGGTCTATTGCAGGAGAGTGATGACCACCATAACGTGATCCGATACTTCTGCCGCGAGCAAGCCACCGGGTTCTTGTACATTGGCCTCGAGCTTTGTCCAGCATCTCTTCAGGATGTGATTGAGCGTCCTGTTAGCTACCCGGAACTAGTTCAAAGTGGGTTAGATCTGCCCGACGTACTACGGCAGATCACCCAGGGTGTCCGTTACCTGCACTCTTTGAAGATCGTCCATCGTGATTTGAAGCCGCAGAACATTCTCGTGGCTATGCCGCGTGGGCGCACCGTTTCCCGGTCATTGCGGCTCCTTATCTCGGATTTTGGCCTGTGCAAGAAGCTTGAAGACAACCAAAGCTCGTTCCGTGCAACCACTGCCCACGCCGCTGGAACCTCCGGCTGGCGTGCCCCTGAGCTCCTCGTGGATGATGACGGTCCTATGTCTCTCGCATCGCAGCACACCGAGTCCTCAGAGCCCGCTGTGGTGGACCCGCAGACCAACCGCCGCGCTACTCGGGCCATTGACATCTTCTCACTGGGTTGTGTGTTCTACTATGTCTTGACTCGTGGCAGTCACCCATTCGACAAGAATGGCAAGTTTATGCGTGAGGCAAATATCGTCAAGGGCCATTTCGATTTGGAGGAATTAAATCGCCTAGGGGACTATGCTTTTGAGGCAGATGATCTCATCCGCTCCATGCTGGCTCTAGACCCTCGCCAACGGTAAGCATCTTTCTTTGCAGAAGCACATTCAACTTACTAACCTCTATTTCTAGTCCTGACGCAAGCGCTGTATTGATGCACCCGTTCTTCTGGCCCCCATCAGACCGTCTCACATTCCTGTGCGATGTATCCGACCACTTCGAATTTGAGCCGCGTGACCCTCCATCAGACGCACTGCTTTGCCTAGAATCAGTGGCTGAGCGGGTAATGGGTCCTGAAATGGATTTCCTGCGCTTATTGCCGCGAGACTTCAAAGACAATCTCGGCAAGCAGCGCAAGTATACCGGGGCGCGGATGCTGGATCTCTTGAGGGCTCTCCGCAACAAGCGCAATCACTACAATGATATGCCTGACCATCTGAAGGATAATATTGGCGGCTTGCCCGAAGGTTATCTCAATTTCTGGACATTCAGGTTCCCGAGCTTGTTAATGAGCTGTCATACGGTCGTTGCGGAGCTGGATTTAACTCGCATTGATCGTTTCCGGAGGTATTTCGTGCCTCCAGAATAGATTTATCTCCAGGGATATTCATTGCATTATATATGAAAATACACATAAGAATTTACCTTATCTGTATACTGTTTACGAATGATCTATATAGCCCTGGAGTAGTACATCTATCTGCTTTCTATGAAACTGCAGGAACCCGTAAATTTAGAATATCGGCCCACATGTACAGTACTATACAAGAATATACATGAATTGTCTTCTTATACTTCTCAATTAAATTGGCCGATGTGTCTTATAGAACACGGCCGATAAGTGGATCGAAGACGTGACTACTTCGCGCCAGTTTCTTCCGCGTTCTGATTTCCCTCACTTTTTTTCCCTCTAACATATTCACCCTGCACCATTCTGTTTGGTGTTTGACTCCTTGTCTTTCTGTGAAGTTATGCATGTACGATAAATTCATTATTTGTTATTTCCTTCTTACCATTAATCACCCTCCCCCACCAGCTCTACCGGTTTTTACTGGCAACTACCATCGCCTCACCACCCTCCCACCACACGAGCTCCAATTAAACTCATCAGCTACATGGGAATCTGCTGAATAGTCTACCATCTGACACGATGGTGTTTCTCCGACTTTCAGTCAAAGTGTTCCCGCGGGAGCAGCTGAGCTCAAGCTCCAGCTCCAGCTGGGGCAGGACCCTCCTCGGCGCACGAAAGTCTACCAACGATGACTCCAGCCAGGGATCTGGTGTCTCAACAACATTGAAGAAGCCCGGTGTCTTCTTGCTTGTCCTTGAACACCCCGAAGAGGTTTCCCTTGGTGGTCTCGCGGGGATGATCCAAGAACATTGGGGGAAGCTTCACCCAGAGCTGGAGTGAGTGTTCACATACTGGATAAGACACTTGTCTAGTCCGTCGAGCTCCAATTGCTAACTATGTTGGTGATAGACCGCTTTCGATCAAGAAAATCCTCGACGATACGAAGGAGGATATCGATCTCTACCCCGATTTGACTGTTGCCGATGTCTGGGTTGACTATGGAAAAGCTCGCGCCGATGGCCTTGACCAGCGTGGCTCTGTTCGCGTTCTTCAGAAGCCTACCGCGGCTGCCCCGGAGCGATTCCCCTCTGTCGATCAGGATTGGGATGCTGCTATTGTTTCTTACGAGCGCAAGCGAGCCATGAAGGATAAAAAGGAAGCTATGGAGGCCCAATTCCCTGCGATTCAGGAAGAAGATGAGGAGGGTAGCGCCGAATCGCGGCGTACTCACTCTCGATCTTTGTCTCAATCTCACATCGAATGGGATCATTCGCCTGAATCGCCTCAACATACCACTAATGAGCCTCATGTCTCAACTAAGAAGTCACCAGTTGAACACCGCCATCGTGATTTGCCTGTTTCTTCCGTTGAAACCCGCAGTCCTGTCACCACTCCCCCACCAGCGAAATCCATCGGTCCTACAATTGCCGGCACGCCGCCTCCCAGGCGCGAGAGCGAGGAGCTTGGCGAGTCTCCGTCACCAGCCGCGCGACGAACTTCCAGCGCCGGATCCCAACATTCACCTCCATCTGTAGTTTCCAGGTCCCTGGAACCGCAGTCTAAGCCACAAAAGCTTGTAAAGTTGCCAATTGCGAGTAGCACAGCTAAACGGACAATTACGCAAATGCCTGACGACGCGGAATCCCCACCTATGTCGTCTGCACCCAACCATATCATTCCCCACCAACAGACGCAGTCTACCGAGGAGGCTACCGCGAGCTCAAGTGACAGGGAATCAGAGTCTGCTCCGCAGCATATCGTGGAACTACCACCAAAGCCGGGCATGACCAATGGTGTCAACGGACAAGGACATTTGGCTGAAGTGGCTAAGATTGTATCCCAATCCGCGCAGAAAAAGCAAGCGGAAACGGTGGCTGAGATCTCCAGTGGGGAGTCGAGTGAAGAGGAAAGCGATAGCGAGGACGATAAGCTCGAAGCAGAGAAGAAGACCGCCGAGCAGGGCCAAAGAGAAACAGAAGATCAGACTGGTTCTGACGACTCTGACTCTGAATCCGAATCCGAATCCGAATCTGAATCTGAATCCGAATCCGAATCCGACTCTGACGCCAACGAAGAGAATGGACCCAAGGATGAGCCCAACACGCCTCGGATTGATCTCTCAATTCCTATCATTAAGGATGGGGGTGTGATTGATGCAGAGGGCGATGTACAGATGGAAGATCCCATTGTAACTAGGAGCTCCCAGTCCTCAGATCAGTCGGATCTCTCGATGTCGAAACCCAACGGTACAACCCATGAGACTGGATCTCGCAAGCGCAAGCAGGCCTCTGAAGAGCCCAGATCGGTCAAAGAAGCTCGCCAACGACAGGCCCACCCCTCCACCCGACCCCCATCTACCCCTCCTCGCTCTGTGCCTGCGGTCGTTGTGCCCTCTCAACAGGCTCGGCAGTCCGAGTCAAAGTCGCCAGCTGCCCAGATGAGCCCAGTGCGCACACGGATCCGTGCGCCTTCATTCTCAAGCCCGGCTCGACAAGCCAGTGTCCGAGAGGAGAACAAAACGCCTCCCAAAACTTTTCAGTCGGGAATTGGGTTGGGTATTACACAGAGCCCTTCCAGCCATCAACCCGTTTTCGTGGATCTTTCGCAAGAATCCAACGTAACATCCACCCAGAGTTCTTTTGGCGGGCCGCCCTTCCCAAGTAGCAACGTGACTGCTACCGATGTGCCTGCTTTTACTCCTGTCAACAAGCATACTCCTGCGATTGACAGAACAAAGAACCTCCACTCCGTTCTCCGTAGCAGGGATTCCCCGGCAACGGAGAGGCGATCCGTGTCTTTCGCCGAGGGGGAGAACCTTGCTTCTAGCTTCGATCCTGCTCCACGCTCCACTCCGCGCAACACTGCGCTCAGTTCCAAATCTGCCTCTACCACCAACACCAAAGGGACGCCTTCGAGCGTAACCCCAAGAAATGCCAAGTCTACACCCAAGGCCGCTCAGCAGACGCCTACCTCCGCTGTCAAGTCTACCCTAAGAACACCTTCGACCTCCACGTCTAGCAAAGCTACACCCAAGGCCAGTGTCAATAAACAAATGCCCAACTCTACTTCTAAAAATACTCAGGCAACGCCATCCAGCGCAGACGTGGTCTACCCACCCGGCTTTGATGTCGCCCTGTTGACTCGGCAAATTGAGGAGGAAAAGAGGATCAAGGCACAGTCTAAGGCGGACGAGAAACTGCGAAGGGAGAAGGAAACAGCGGAGAGGAAAGAAATTGAGCGCAAGCTTCCAGAAAGCTTTGACCCCCAGCTTACGATCATTTTAACTGAGATGCACAAGATCTTGCAGAAATTGGCCAACACCAAGATGGAATTGGCCAAGCGAAGCCCGCTCCGCGTCAAGCTTGAAGCCTTGCGCGAGGACCTGAAAGCGTGTGAACAGAGGTTGGAGGCGAAAAAGTCCACCCCTCGGCAAGCTGTCGTCACTAAACCAAAACCAACCCTCAAGGACATGCTGAGCAGCCAAAAGGAGGAACTGGCTGCTAAGCTGCGACCAGAACCCAAGTCTGCTCCAGCTCCCCGCAGTGATGTGTACGAAGTGCCCAGCTCCGGCGAGTCTGAGTCCGACTCTGACTCCAGTGACGAGGATAGCGACAGCGACTCGGGCGATATCATGCCCGATGGCCACTCAGTCAAACTCCGCAAGCCCCGGTCTCAGCTGTCCAATTAAGATGCATGTTTTGCTTTTTTAAGATATCCTGTTTTTAGCATGCTTACGATGCCTGCTTGGCTATCCCTGTCAACCTCAAAATACTCCTGTACATTCAAATGTTGTTTCCGCCAGTGTATGATATTGAACCAACGCTGAACACGAAATGTAACTTTCATTTCAAATGTGAACCCAGTTGATATCGGTGACAACTACTAATTCCTGGACTTGGATGCTGAACGTTTGATTTGTATTTCTTTCCAAGGTAAAGTGTACATATCAACTCTATGCTGTCTTTGCATGTACCTCAGTCGTTGGGTTGGAATGGGTATTTGAGCGATAACACCCGGCCTTAATTTCCGGCTGGGACATGTGTTCTGAAAAACTATAGGACCGACAAATCCGATGCGATGACCATTCATGGCCATTCTATGGCTTTATGGCCACTCGGCTATGGGCTGACTGTATCTGGTGGCATCATCTTGATATTGATTTGCCATTGCTCCAATTTTGGTACTCAACCTTTAACAACTGGAGCCAACGATACGTCGACATCATCAACGGTTGGTTGATCAACCCTGTCAACACTCAATTCACCTATTATTCTGCGTTGGCCATCTACCACTACTCCCAACCATGGCGGCCTTAATGCCCAGGTAAGTGTCGCCACCGCACACAGCCAGTCTCCCTCTAATGTAAACCAGCACGGGATACACGCCGCATCCTACCCAAATGATGAAGGCAGCACAGTGGATGGGCACCCGAGATGTCGAAGTGGGAGTCGTACCCAAGCCCAAGATCACCGAGCCCAGCGACGCCATCGTCCAAATCACCCACTGCACGATCTCCGGCTCAGACATCCACCTCTACGAAGGCGAGCTAAAAGACGCAATGGAAAAAGGCGACATCCTCGGCCAAGAAGCCATCGGCTTTGTAGAAGAAGTCGGACCAGATGTCAAAACCCTCAAGCCAGGTGATCGGGTCATCATCCTACCCGTCATCTCATGCGGTAGCTGCGAGTATTGCCAGCGACAGGAGTACTCGCTCTGCGACAACACAAACCCATCCAAGGAAATGGAAGCCGCGTACGGACACCGACTCGGCGGGAAGCTGGGCTACAGTCGGCTGTGTGGCGGGTATCCAGGCGACCAGGCGGAGTACTGCCGCGTGCCGCATGCGGATTTATCGTGTGTCCGGGCGCCGGAGCATATCGACGCGCGGAAATTACTTGGTTTGACGAACGTCGTGACTACAGCTTGGCATGCGCTGGAGTTGGCTGAGGTACAGGATGGGGATGTGGTTGGAGTATGGGGTTGTGGGCCTATTGGGCTGGCGGTGCAGCGACTTGCGAAGCTCCGTGGAGCTAAGAAGGTTTATGCTATGGATAAAGATGCGCAGCGACTGCGGATTGCGGAGGATTTTGGCATGACTCCTGTTGATGTGGATGCTCATCCGGATGTGGCTGATTACATTCTGTCGATTCAGGATCATGGTCTTGATCGGTCTATTGAGGCTAGTGGGTATCGGAGTTCGCAGAATGCTGAGTTTCCGGCTATGCAGGCGATTGGACTCGAGAATGATAGTAGCGATACACTAGCGGCTATCATCAAGGCGACCCGTAAGGGTGGTAATGTGGCATTGGTTGGGGATTACTTTTTCACGACGCGTGATTTTCCTATTGGGCCTTTGATGCAGAAGGCGCTGACTGTGCGTGGCGGTCAAACGTGGCCGCAGAAGGTATGGGTTCTTTTCTTCCGGCTTGAATTGGTAGCTTATCAGATGCAGTATTATCCATTCTTGATGGACCTGGTAGTGCAAGGCACACTAGATCCATCGTGGATGTTCACTTATATTGACGAATTCGAGAATATCGCGGAGATGTACCAGAAATTCTCGCAACATGAGGTCCCAGGCAGACTGAAAGTATGTTTAGTCACGGCCTTTGGACGCAGCCAACAGATGCAATCCACCAGTGATCTGCCAGTTGATATCCTGGGCTATGATGCCTAAGTAGGAGTACATAGTCGGGCAGCATAGTCAGCATAGTCAGCAAAAACCTTCAGAGCTCACAATATAAATAAGCATTGACCCCCCGCAAATTGGCAACTCCACAATTCATCATGTTCCCACCACCCATTGCACTCGATTGGAATAACATAGGCTTCAAAGTCCGGGATGGTAAGCAATTGCTCTTCAGGAGAACACAGAGTCTGATTCATATCAGGCAACGGTCATGTCGAAATCCATTTCTCCCACAGCGGGGAGAACAAATGGTCGGCACCGCAATTCGTCGCTTCGCCCTTCATATCAGTGCACGGAATGGCGCCAGGCCTAAACTACGGCCAGCAAGTCTACGAAGGGCTGAAAGCCTTTCGCCACCCAGGTGACGAGAAGATAACAATCTTCCGTCCCGACCGTAACGCCAAGCGAATGCAGTACTCCGCTGAAGTAGTCTCCATCCCACCCGTTCCGGAGGAACTATTCATCGAGTGCGTGCGGTTAGCAGTTGGTGCAAACGCCGAGTATGTACCACCCCACGACTCCGGCGCCGCAATGTATGTCCGACCCATGCTCTTCGGCTCCTCTGCGCAGCTGGGGCTGAGTCCACCGGATGGGTATACGCTAGCTGTATTTGCTATGCCGACAGGGGTGTACCACGGGGCTACGGCGGTTGAAGCGCTGATATTGGAGGACTTCGATCGCTGTGCACCGCATGGGACTGGTGCTGCCAAAGTTGGTGGAAATTACGCGCCTGTGTTGCGACACAGTGACCGGGCGCGACGGGAAGGGTTTGGAATTACCCTTCATTTAGATAGTGCGACTCGCAGTGAAGTCGACGAGTTCTCGACTTCTGCTTTCATTGGAGTGAAGCGTGAGGGGGATCAGATCACCGTGGTCCAGCCGGATAGCCAGAATGCAATTGACTCGGTTACGGCGGCGTCGGTGCTCGAAATTGCCCGCACGCTGGGGTATCGGGTGGAGAAGAGGCGGGTTGCTTATGAGGAACTGCGCGATTTCGATGAGGTTATTGCTGCTGGTACGGCGGCGGCTTTGGTACCTGTGGGTAGTATTACGATGCAGTCCCGTGGTGATAAGTTTGAGTATCGTTGCGGGGCTCAGAAGGAGGGTGGTGAGGTTTGCGTTAAATTGCTGCAGACACTTCGTGGTATACAATCTGGAACTATTGAGGATACCTTCGGTTGGAACTATGAGGTGCAGGCACCGCCGAAGGGATGGGCACAGCAAGGGCAGGAGGAGATCGAGTTGAGTGGTGCCAATGTCCCATAAATAAGTTCATCCAAGTAGAAATATACTTTAAATTGGCGCTGTCGCCAGTTCAATCTCGGTTTTGTTTACTGGAAATAGATATACTATATTTCATACATCGAGTCAGACATGGGCATCATCTCATGCTACCATTCAGACGGCCCTAATTTGGAATAAGCTCAATATAGGCAATAGCCCTCACTTTCTCATGATCCTTCGCTGTTTTCTCGGCGCATTCGATATGGTACCCTTCGGCGTCGACCATCCACACCAGTCGGCTTGGAGTTTCCCCGTTTGTGTCTCCGAGTAGAATAACCATATCTTGGTCGTTGGCCACCACGTCGACGGCTGTGTCAAAGGCGAGTTCCATTTTATACTCTCTGTCCCCGCGGAGTGTCTTATATTGCCTCCTGATAGTCCAGTCCATCTTGACTAAGGCATTTGACGCAATCACGGTCTTTAGGCTGAAAATGAGTGAATTCTCGACGTTGGAATTAGTCTTGAGAGTCAGATTTCCTAGCTTTGTCGCGTACTTTCGACCGACCAGGGGAATGCGTTCACGGGCGACCATGATCATGATGCTGGGTCCTTGGGGATTCATGTTACTCGCACTTGGCCATTATTTTCAAAGTCCACGGGGTATTTTCGCCACGTTCGACGGCTGTGAGCGTCTTTGAAGCCGGGTTGCTTAGAGTATATTTCCTAGACTTTGTAAAGATGAATTTCTGTCTGCGCTGGGTACGATATATATCCGCAGAAATGATGTAAGGATTTCAATATTCAAGCTAAATCGATTCAGAATAGCCCATGATAGCGCCATTTTATAATAAGTTACCTATATATAGGATATAATGTGTTGTATCTAAACCTAACGTTGAAAGGCTGAGAAAGTAAGCTTTTGGCGGAGTCGACCAAGACCATGAATCTATGCAAACACTGCAAATACTGCAACATTGCAAAAAGGCTTTAGGGGGTAGGGGGGTGGAGACGAAGAGTTTTAATAGAGAATCGTATCACGTGAGCAGTGTCGTATATATTAGGATGAGATGAGATGGGATGGGATCGTAACAGAATAGTAACAGGGCAATAACAAAATAAGAATAATGTAGAGTATGCATAAGTGTGAAGCGAATAATACGGTGAAAGTCTATAAAGCTCCGGATGCCTTCTCTAGGTATGCCTTACTGTGATTGGTCAGATGTCTTATGGGATTCCCCCTATCTCCGATATGTCCAGGGCTATTTATGTACAGAATCGGGGTCGGGATAATCTGACCGCGTGGATCCAAATTCTTCAAGTTTTAAAATTGGAGGACCATCTAAATATCCATGGATGCAAATAGGTCTGAATGAGTAGATAACTGGTTATTGGATAATATGAACTAAGCCTCTTTATATTTATATTTCTTGTATACATATACAGTTGTCAATAAGTTAAAAATATAAAGAATATAGGTAATCTTGAAAAGAGTCGGCGAAACGGAGTCCGTTCCTCCGTTATACATCGGAAAGCTTCTATCCCGATGAAAAGAAGCAAGAAATATGGATATCTCCGGTGGCTTCGTTGTCCGTGCACCGATGACTCCGATTAAAAGGAAATGGGCTCGCCCATGTTCTAAAAGCTCAGAATTTTACACAGACAAAGTCCACTCACCATGGAGAAGGACTATGATGAGCCCGAGTTCGCTCCAATCACGGATCGAACTGCAACTGTACTAGAGGAGCGAGAGCAACAGACCTTGACTCGCATTGCCTCCACCAAAATTGGTCAACAACTTTCAAGATCGGCAAGCAAGAAAGATGGTATCGCCCCTCACCTTGATCCCACCAACCCTCGATTTGATCATCGCCGATGGGCGCAAATGGTGTTGGACCAGGTGAACGATTCAGGCATTGAAATCCCACACCAAGGCGTGGTCTTCTCCAATCTATGCGTGAGCGGTTCCGGTTCCGCTCTACAATACCAGGAAACCCTCACTTCCAGTTTGACAGTACCCTTCCGGGCTGCGACGAGAGCTTTGACTGGACGTACCTCACCACCAAGACAAATTCTCCGCAACTTCGATGGCTTACTTCAGGGGGGAGAACTCCTTCTTGTTCTGGGTCGACCCGGTAGTGGATGTACAACATTACTGAAAACTATCTGCGGACACCTTGGCGGTTTGACTGTGGAGCCCGAAAGCACACTCCATTACAAAGGAGTTGCGTTCGACCATATGATCAAACATCACCGAGGAGAGGTCGCATACAACAAGGAGGTCGACCTGCATTTCCCCCACTTGACCGTGGGTCAGACTCTCACATTTGCCGCCCATGCTCGTGCACCCCAACAGCGCCTAGAGGGTGTGACCCGTAATGAATATGTTGAGACCATCACCCAGGTGGTCTTGTCCGTCTTTGGATTATCGCACACCTACAACACCAAGGTTGGCAGCGAATTTGTGCGTGGTGTCAGTGGAGGTGAAAGAAAGCGAGTCAGTATTGCCGAAATGTTCCTGGCTCGCTGTCGCATCGGGGCATGGGACAACAGTACTCGTGGTCTAGATGCCGCATCCGCACTAAAGTTTGTGAAATCACTACGTCTTTCATCTGATATGGGGCAATCCTGCCATGCCATTGCAGCCTACCAAGCATCGCAGTCTATGTATGATCTTTTCGACAAGGTGGTCCTTCTATATGAGGGATACCAGATCTACTATGGACCCAAGGATCGTGCTGTAGCCTATTTCGAGGACATGGGCTGGGAGAGACCTGAGCGTCAAGTCAGTGGTGACTTTTTGACTGCCATCACAAACCCAGCAGAACGCATGGTACGGCCTGGCATGGAAGGCAAAGTTCCCCGCACAGCGAAGGAGTTCTCTGAGCATTGGAAAAAGAGTCCAGAATATCAGCTCTTGCATAAGGATATTGCCAACTTCGAAAGTGAACATCCGCCAAATGGAAACGATGCAAAAAGACTCATGGAAAGCCACGAAGAGCAACAAGCGCGCCACACTCGATCTCGCAGCCCTTACCTGCTCTCTATCCCTATGCAGGTTCGGCTTTGCATGCGCAGAGCCTACCAGCGAATGCTTCAAGATCTCCCAACAGCCATGTCACCACTTATTGCTCAAGTCATTATATCCCTGATCATTGGATCCATCTTCTACAACACCCCGGATTCACCCAGTTTCTTCTTTCAAAAGGGTGCAGTGATGTACTTTGCTGTGCTTATGAACGCCCTAATTACGATTAACGAAATCCTTCAACTATATGCCCAGCGCCCTGTTGTCGAAAAACAAGCTGGATATGCATTTGTCCACCCGTTCACTGAAGCACTAGCCAGTATCCTCGTCGATCTACCGATCAAGATCATACGAATCTCAATCTTCACAATTGTCCTCTACTTCATGGCAAACCTGCGCCGGGAAGCGGGGGCTTTCTTCATCCATTACCTGTTCTTGCTCACTGCTGTCCTGGCAATGTCTGGCCTGTTCCGCAGCGTCGGTGCATTGACCAAAGCTGCCGGGCAAGCCATGGCGATTGCTGGTGTGCTTGTGCTCTGCATTGTCGTTTATACCGGGTTTACTCTGCCGCAGCCGTACATGCATCCGTGGCTTTCGTGGATCCGGTGGATCAATCCGATCTACTATACCTTTGAAGGGCTCGTATCCAATGAATTCCATGGTCGAACATTTGACTGCTCTTCATTCATCCCAAGTTATGGGACTGGCACTTCCTTTATCTGCGCCACTGTCGGGGCAGTCGCCGGTGAGCGAACTGTTTCTGGGGATGCTTTCATCGAGAAGAACTACCAGTACAAGCACTCTCATTTGTGGCGGAACTACGGAATTCTCGTCGCGTTTTTCATCGCCCTCAATGCGCTCTACTTGATTGCTACAGAGTACATCAGTGATGACAAGTCAAAGGCCGAGGCCTTGGTCTTCCGCCCTGGACATGCGCCCAAGTATCTACAGGAAGGTCACAGCATCGAGCTTGGAATACAGGAGGTCAACAAGCTCGAGCTACAGAGGACCAATGACACCATCTGCCTGCCCGAGCAAAAGGACATTCTCTCATGGAACTCTCTCAACTATGACATACCCGTGAAGGAGGGCACCCGTCGACTCTTAGACAATGTCAATGGCTGGGTCAAGCCTGGTAGCCTAACTGCCTTGATGGGTGTTTCTGGAGCTGGAAAGACAACACTTCTCGATGTTCTTGCGCAGAGAGTCTCCATTGGCGTTGTATCCGGTGATATCTTCGTGAATGGCAAGACTCTTGCGGCAAACTTCCCCCGTCGGACTGGATACGTGCAACAGCAAGATCTCCACCTTGACAGCACCACTGTGAGAGAAGCTCTGCGTTTCAGCGCTATGCTTCGTCAGCCCCAAAAGGTTACCAAAAAAGAGAAGTACGAGTACGTGGAACAAGTCATCCAACTCCTAGGCATGGAGGACTTCGCCGAAGCAGTCGTGGGAAACCTGGGAGAAGGCCTCAACGTCGAGCAAAGGAAGCTGCTTAGTATTGGTGTCGAGCTTGCTGCAAAGCCTACCCTGCTTATCTTCCTCGACGAACCCACCAGTGGTCTCGACTCCCAAAGCTCTTGGACTATCTGTCAGTTCCTCAGAAGACTTGCAAATAGCGGCCAGGCGGTCCTCGCGACAATTCACCAGCCTAGCGCGCAGTTGTTCCAAACCTTCGATCGTTTGCTCTTCCTTGCCAAGGGAGGAAAGACTGTCTACTTTGGCGATATTGGAAACCAATCCTCCACTCTTCTGAAATACTTCGAGCACAATGGTGCTAGATCGTGTGAGAAACTCGAGAACCCCGCTGAATACATTCTCGAAATGGTCGCCGGCGATTCTTGCCCAGTAGACTGGGTTGATGCGTGGAACAAGAGCCCAGAGTATGAAGAGGTACTCGCTGAGGTTGAGCGACTTCATCACGCCCGGAAGTCGTCTGTTCATCCTTCCCTGGAGGGGTCTGATGAGTTTGATGACGACAACTCCGAGTTCGCCATGCCACTCCACAGCCAACTGTACTATGTCCTTGCACGAGTCTTCCAACAGTACTACCGTCAACCAGAATACGTCTACTCCAAGTTCATCCTGGGAATTGTATCCGGTTTATTCATCGGTTTCTCATTCTGGAAATCAGACAACAGCCAACAAGGCTTCCAAAACGTACTCTTCAGTATTTTCCTACTATGCACAATCTTCAACTCCCTCGTCAACCAGATCATGCCCAAATTCGTCGTCCAGCGCTCCCTCTACGAAGTCCGCGAACGCCCATCCCGCATCTACTCCTGGAAAGTCTTCATCTTATCCCAGATGCTCGTCGAAATCCCCTTCCAAGTCTGTCTCGGAATCTGCTCCTGGGCCTGCTTCTACTGGTCCGTCTTCGGCGCCGACCAAGACTCCGAGCGCCGCTCCTTGATCATGCTCTTCATCGTCCAATTCTACATCTACGCCGCAAGTATGGCACAGCTAGTCGTCTGCGCAATCCCAGAACCCGCGCTCGCAGCTATGGTTGCCACGCTCATGTTCGGTCTTTCCTTCATCTTCAACGGCGTAATGCAGCCGCCCGATAACCTCCCCCGCTTCTGGATCTTCATGTACCGCGTCTCGCCGTTTACCTACTATATCAGTGGTATCGGAAGTACAGCGCTCCATGGTCGTCCGGTTGAATGTAATGCTGCGGAGATGAGTGTCTTTGATCCCCCTGCTGGTCAGACATGCTTCCAGTATATGGAGAAGTTCCTTGCGACTGCGCCTGGAAAGCTTGCCAATTACAATGCTACGTCGGATTGTCAGTACTGCTCTCTTAGTTCGGCTGATCAGTACCTCGCTGCGAGGAAGATTGAATGGGGTGATCGCTGGAGAAACTACGGAATCTTCTGGTGCTATTTCATTTTCAATATCTTTGCTGCTATTACGCTCTATTACCTCTTCAGGGTGCGGAGCTCTAAGGCTAAGACAAAGAAGGCTTGAATTGTCCAGTTGGTTGTCCAGTAAATGGACGGTGTATGGAGGTTTTGCATTTTGCTTGGTGTTTTTTTTTTTTTGTCTCTAAATGAGATCTTTGTTCTTGTATATTTACTACATATTTTGATACCTGACTCATTTATCATAGACGGCGTTAGAAGTGATTGTCTAAGACATATAATCAAATCTCCCATTTTCTTGCTTGTTTTGCTTTTGTTCATTCGCAACATGTACGACTACGTAGACATCGTTCTTTGTTGGCTTTATTTATATCTTGGAGTCAGAGAGGATTTAGCCATTCAACAACAGAGGTATTGACTCAAGATTGCTCTTCTTCAAATGAGATCTGAGTCCAGAATATTCACGAGTTTCAAATCTTGTCTTATTTCTAGTCCTTTCCTCCCAGTATGAAAAGGGAAGTATCTGGTCTGTGTCATCACCAGTGCGCCACTTCAAACTTTCCCATAATTTTGACACATTTTGGTAGTCTTTTTAGACTTTTGACAACTTGTTTTTTTCTTAGATGTTAGATATTCTTATAGCTAGGAGGAAAAATAAACCGTAAAAGTATATAATGGTGAAAGGGGTATAAATGTGGAAGCCGACTTCGCTATATATAATCTGTGATGTGCTACGAGTCTAGGTCAGGCATCGAGAATTCATATAATTCAAGGGAAAATTTGATGGAATTTGAGAACTTTATAACTTGAATAATGCGATAATAATGTATTTAATGTAATGCTGTTATAATAGGCGAATATGCACTGCAATAGACCATGTGATATGATCTGGAGATGTCACAAGGAAAGGTCCGAGTTATTTAACACGTGGGAACTTTAAAGAGCGGAGACTATATAGCATATACTTAGTATATAGTTATATAGTATATATAGTATAGTATTTTATTATTGGATTAATATTCTCATAAGATGACATCCTAGGGAATATTGATTTTAAGGCCGCATGCGGCGGTTGCTCTTTTCTTTGTTTCCCTCTCAATAGTAAGTAAATGACCTCTCATTTCGTTTTAATCCTTTTAATCTTTCGATTTTGAACCAATCCACTTTGAGATTAGCGAGGTCAAGCCGTTAAACGGAGCACGGGGTACCATAAATCTTATTGGTTCTCGTATTCTCTCTCAACCTGACTCTTTTCACTTATCTTCTCCCTCACGAAATCTTGACCGATAAAATCTCCTTTGTTTGTTCTCTGCCTAAGCTGGATATTATCCAGCATGGTGACCAACGCGACCGCGGGTAACAGCACTCAGCTAGTCAGTCCGCAGGGTGGTATCCTCGAAGGCGGCAACCCAACCCAATATGACCCCAAGAACCCACTGGTGTTGTTTATCATCCAGGTAGCTATGTCGCCATCCGAAAGAAAAATTTAAACTGACAACCAGGCCGTCATAATTATCGTGCTATGTCGCATAATCCACTGGCCGCTGTCGAAGATTCGTCAGCCCCGAGTCATCGCAGAGGTGATCGGCGGAATTGTTCTGGGCCCATCGGTGATGGGTCGCATCCCCGGATTTACTGACGCTATTTTCCCGACCGCCAGTATCCCCAGTCTCAATGTAGTCGCCAATCTGGGACTGGTACTCTTCCTATTCCTGGTCGGTCTTGAGACCGACCTCCGTTTCCTGATCAGTAATTGGCGGGTCGCGTTGAGCGTGTCCGCTGCGGGCATGATCTTGCCATTTGGGTTGGGTTGTGCCATCTCATACGGCCTCTATCATGAGTTCCACAATGACCCTGGGACCAAGCCTATCGCCTTCGGTACCTATCTGCTGTTCATCGGTATCGCCATGGCCATCACGGCTTTCCCCGTGCTGTGTCGTATCCTCACGGAGCTGAAGCTGCTCTCAACCCGTGTCGGTGTTATCGTGCTGTCTGCCGGTGTTGGCAATGATGTGGTGGGTTGGATCCTGCTTGCACTGTGCGTCGCTCTTGTCAACGCGGGTAGTGGTATCACGGCGCTGTACGTGCTGCTGGTCTGCGCCGCCTACATGCTCTTTTTGACTTTCGCTTTCCGCCCGCTCTTCCTCCGCTTCCTCGAGAAAACGGGCAGTCTGCAAAAAGGGCCTAGTCAGTCAGTGGTGGCTCTCACCCTGCTCATTGCTCTGGCTTCGGCCTTCTTCACACAGGTGATTGGCGTTCATGCCATTTTTGGAGGCTTCGTTATTGGCTTGATTTGCCCGCACGAAGGAGGCTTTGCCATCAAACTCACCGAGAAAATTGAGGATTTGGTCGCTGCCATTTTCCTGCCACTTTATTTCACCCTGTCCGGTCTGAGTACCAACCTGGGCCTCCTGGACTCTGGAATCGTCTGGGGTTATGTGGTTGGTGTAATTGCCATCGCCTTCATTGCGAAGGTCACTGGAGGCGCTGTTGCGTCGCGGCTCTGTGGCCTGCTATGGCGTGAAAGTTTCTCGATCGGTGTATTGATGAGTTGCAAGGGTTTGGTGGAATTGATTGTGCTCGTAAGTACTGATCCTGCACAAAGTTGTCCGATGGAAATTGTCGGCTAACTCAATGACACCAGAATATTGGCCTCCAAGCCAAGATTTTGAGCACTCGCACCTTTACAATCTTCGTCGTGATGGCCTTGGTCACCACTTTCCTTACCACTCCATTGACCACCTTGCTGTATCCCAGGTGGTACCAAGTCAAGGTCGAGCGATGGAGACGCGGGGAAATTGACTGGGAAGGCAACCCCATCCAGCCCGATGACCGCAATGACAGCGTCGCTCTTGCCAAAAACCAGTTGAAGACTGTCCCCGTACGCAAGCTCCTCGTCTACCTTCGTCTAGATGGTCTTTCCGGCGTGTGTACTGTGGCAGCCCTCCTCAGCTCAAAGCGCCGTGCATCCGTGTCGTCACGCATTCATCCCGCGAAGATGCCAAAGCAAACCGAGCAAACCGTTGAAGATCCTATTACCTCGGAAGAGGAGCAAGACACCACACTCAAGGTGCATGGTGTTAGGTTAATGGAACTGACCGACCGTGATTCTAGTGTCATGAAGGTTGCTGCTGCAGGCGAACATGCACTGTGGGATCCGGTAGTCAATACCTTCCGCGCCTTCGGAGACTGGCATGATCTCTCCCTGATGGCTGGTGTATCCGTCGTCCCCGAGCACTCTTATGCAGACACTGTCATCGGCATGGCGCAGCAGGACACCGCAGATATGCTCCTTCTCCCCTGGAGCGAGACTGGAACACTAGCCGACCACCATAACGGGCTGGAGATTGACGACGCGAATCGTTTCTCCAACGGCGCCTACACAAGCTTCATTTCTGATATCTTAGAGCGGGTCACAGGCCACGTCGGCATCCTAATAGAATACAGCTCAGCCTCGGCCTCAAAGCGACCCGTGATCTCACGCACCCCCAGCGGTATGAGCCTCCAGGGCTCCATCTTTGCCCGCCAGCCAACCGGCAGCCGCTCCCACCACATTGTCCTTCCATTCTTTGGCGGTGATGACGACCGCTTCGCTCTTCGGTTGGTCCTGCAGCTCGCTAAGAATGACCAGGTCACTGCGACTGTTATTCAAATTGGCGGATTGAGCAGTGATGGTAGCAAAACAGGCGTGTCGACTGCAGTCTCTGCCTCGAGCTCAAATGGGCTCCCCGCGTCCAGTTCTCAATCTGACATGGTCTTCTTCGAGACACTCCGTGATTCAGTGCCGGAGGAACTTCAAGAGCGCGTCGTCTTCAGTCAACCAGCTACCAACGAGACCATCACCGACGCAGTCCAAATGGCTGTCGTTTCGGTCCGTGAAGAACTTAACCACACATCCAACAAGGCAAATAACATTGTTATCGTTGGTCGTCGTAGTCTCCCTTCCGAGACCGAGTTGGGTCTCGCGGAGGACGGTATTGGCCATGATACCCGCCGGGCTCTGGGAGCTGTTGGTACTGCAATGGTACAGCCCGAGAGTAAGATCTACGGGAGTGTGTTGGTGCTGCAGGCTGGTACCGACACTGGGCTGGCTGATTACTATCGCTGAATATATTTTGACACATCGCTTGGAGCAATTTTGAACATGCGTATTTGGCAGAAGAGGTGATATGCTCGTATGAACATTTTGAAACATGCTATATCACCTGTAAAGATGTAGAGATCATTAACATATGTAAGTAGAACACCAATTTATCAAACCCAAACCAAGGCAAAAACCATAGCCAAAACGCCACAAACCAAGATGGGGTATCATGTATTTCCCATAACATGAGATGAAGTAGATGGAGAAGAATGGCTGAAACTCATCGATTCCGAAAGCCACGGCGGGCTATACTGCCGACGAACCTGCACCGGCGACATGATATTCGAATACCGGTCCCCACTCGACGGAAACGAGCTAACTTCATTGATCCCACACTCACTGGAATGCAGTTCCTGACTGTCATGGTGACCATGCGCAACGGCGATCAATTTACCCAGAATCGCATATTCAAGCTTCAACTTGATGCTGTACGCGACAGGCTTGAACGTGACCTGGATAGCATAGTAACCGACATATTCAATGACGACAACAGATATATCCAGCAGTACAATGATGATGTTGATAACCAACAACTGGTTAAGAATCCCATAAGGTCGACCTTCAGGCCTGAGACGAAGCAATTTGACCGTTTCCCAGACATAAATACTGGAAATAATGAATTCCTGCACACAAAATCCAACCAGCTCAATACGCTCCGTGATATCGTACGCGAGGGCCCAGGACCCCACGGGATGAGCAATCGTGCCCATAATTACAACCGAAGTTGGGATATGGAAGATGACAGCATCGATACAGATCATACACAGCACAGCGCGAAGCACCTTCCTATTCTGCAGCACCAGATGCAGTCGCGACCACAGCACGACCGATTGGCCGGTGACCATGCCATACCAGCTCGGTAGGACGATACCTATGGATAGCCAGGGTGTGACGCCTGTTCGGAAGAAGACGAGGGCGAAGCCGATGGAGTAGGGGATGATGCAGAAAGAGGAGATGAGTAGACTCCAGAAGTAGGTGCTATTTCGACGTTTGAAGGAGGATAGGCAGAGGATGATCAGTTCGATGGCGTTATAGCATGCTATTCCGGCGAAACCAGCGAATATGCCTGCGCGGGTTACGTCGGATGTGCCGCCGTAGTTGTGGAGAAGGGATATGGAGATATCGTTATGGGTGGCCATTGGAGGTGGAGGGACATTGCGGGTTGTACTCTGAGGGTTGATGGATATATATAGATATATAAGGGGATTTGCAGTTGGGAAGGGGGTGAAGGAATAAACTACTGAGTTTCCCTAGGTGTCGATTTGGATTCAAAAGGAAGAAGGGAAATGATGTCGGGTAGCATATAGACTTCCATGACAGCTGCTTTGGGGTTGTGGGGAATTGGGTGAAAGGAGACTGGACGAGGAGAGAAGGGGAAGTTTGTCGAGCCATGGATCGAATGGACCGTTAGAAATATTGAAAAAGGGATGAATTTCCTCGCACTATTGAACTGTGGGAGAAGATCATGGCGATCCCCCTTGCTTTAAAGGCTTGGTATTCGAGTATTGTTTCCAGAGGGTACGGAGTATCCCGTACTTGATAAGTTGTCTACGAAAGAAGATATAAGGCCCTCAGGATAATAAGTGTACTTGATTGAATTGCAAGTCTCCGCGGAAACTCATATAAGGTTCTCATCCGGGGCATGATTGGTTAAACTGAACGCCAGATCTGCTTCTACAGAGTAGTCCGAGCTTGCCTATTGGCAAGCCGGGTGACTCACATCACTGGCATTTAGGGTGGCATAATTGACACGGTAGATCGAGACAAGCTGATCTAAACGATCGCGAGGAGATCGGACCCTGACGTCACCCGATCTGAGGTGGATCTCGATCTCGATCTCGATGGACCTTAAATTCCGTTTACCACCCCTTTTTGCTATTATTCTCTCTGATGAAGAATCTGGTTCTTTACTGTGCTCAATCAATTCCACGCGTGTTTCTGTTCAGACAATTGCAGCCACAGCGTCTTCGCAACTTATCAACTATGCCAAAGAGGAAGGCCGGCGAACCAGCAGCTGAACAGTCCAATGGCTCACATGCGAGCAAAAAGGGCCGGCCCGACTTGCACCAGCCGCACCCAAATGCAAAGCAAACCGAGGACTTCGGCATTGTTCTACGCCAATTCTATCCGCCAGAGATGAACAATGAACGCTGCCAAGCATACATTGATGGCGACCTGGAACGCCCCATCGAAACGCTACAGAAAGCTTGCCGGGAAACCGCCGACAAGCGCCAGTCGATAAACGTGGGTAGTGCCGTGATACATTGGTTCAAGAGCGATCTCCGGCTTCATGACAGCAGGGCGCTGCACACGGCCTACCAGTATGCGAAGGAGAAGCAGGTCCCATTGATCGGTCTATATATCGTCTCCCCCGAAGATTGGACTGCCCATTTGACTAGCCCCGCTCGGGTGGACTTCACGCTGCGGACCCTCAAGCGATTGCAACAGGACCTGGGGGAGTTGGATATCCCTCTGCACATGGAAACACAGGAGAAAAGGAAGGCGATCCCGAAACGGATTGTAGAATTGTGTCAACAATGGGGCGCGAAGAACCTATATGCGAATATCGAGTACGAGGTAGACGAACTACGGCGCGAAGCTAAGCTTGTTAGACTCTGCGCCGATAACGATATCAATTTCGCTCCCACTCATGATGCCTGTGTGGTCACTCCAGGCGCGTTGGCTACCCAGCAAGGGAAACAATATGCTGTTTATACTCCATGGTACCGCTCTTGGTTGGCCTTTTTGAAAGAGAACCCGGATTACCTCGAGGTGTCTGAAGAACCTGGGCCAAATCCAGGGAACGCGCGCCAACAATTCAAGGATCTATTCGATTGCAAGGTGCCAGCACCTAAAACACACACCTTGTCGGACGAAGAGCAGAAACGTTTCGAGGAGCTTTACCCAGCCGGTGAGCATGAAGCTCTCGAGCGACTGGACAAATTCCTCGAGGAGAAGGGTAAGAAGTATGAGGAGATGCGGAGCATGTTACCCGGTGAGCACACTTCGGCGCTGAGTCCTTACATTGCATGCGGAGCGCTCAGCGCACGGACTGCCGTTGTAACAGCGAAGAGGACCAACAAAGGCCATCTCGATCGATATGACCCCGGTTACATGACCTGGATCAGCGAGCTGGCCTGGCGTGACTTTTACAAGCATGTGCTGGTAAACTGGCCGTTCATCTGGTAAGTTTTCATTTTCTAGGTCAAGGGTTTTCCTATTCTAACACATAGTCTTCCCTAGTATGAACAAGTGCTTCAAGCCCGAGCATACCAACATTGAATGGGAGTACGACAAGGACCTATTCCAAGCGTGGTGCGATGGCAAGACAGGCTTCCCGATCGTCGACGCAGCAATGCGCCAGCTCCGCCACTGCGCGTGGATGCACAATCGCAGCCGCATGGTTGTCTCATCGTTCCTGACCAAGGACTTGATGCTCGATTGGCGCCGTGGGGAGCGCTACTTTATGGAGAATCTAATTGATGGGGATTTCGCGTCCAATCACGGCGGGTGGGGATTTGGGTCCAGTACTGGTGTAGATCCACAGCCCTATTTCCGCATCTTCAATCCTCTTCGCCAGAGTGAGCGATTCGATCCAGAGGGAGAGTATATTCGCCGCTGGGTGCCGGAACTGCGCGACGTGTCTGACAAAGCCATTCACGACCCTTATTCCAGGGGAGCGGCGGCCATTGCGCAGAAGAATGGCTACCCCAAGCCCATTGTAGACCACGCAGAGAGTCGAGATCGAGCATTAGAGCGGTTCAAGCGTGCGCTTCAGAAAGCGTGAATGCTGAAATGTCTATAATAAGCAAACAATAATTAAGCGCATTATGATCAGCTGAGATGTAAAATACAAAAAGTTGGAGAAATTCCGCGCCAAGTCCAATTGCGGGTGAGACATCTTTGTCTTTTTCCCCGCAACATTCTTCTTTTCTCTTTGGCTTCTTTTTTTGATCTCAATGACGTCCCGGTATGGAGTCCCAGGGTGATCAGCCGTCTCCAGACCCAGACTCGGTCGAGGTTGAACTATCAAATGGCAAGCGACGATGGCGCCGAAACAGAGTTGCCTGCGACTCCTGCCACACTCGCCGTGTACGATGCGACCGTGCTTTTCCCTGCTCGAGATGCCTGCGCGGTGATATAAACTGCCAATTTACCCGCGAACGCCGGAAACGAGGACGTATCGCGAGATCGAAGCCGAAAAATACAACGAATGACGAGGACGAGACAATCCAGGACCCCACCGAGGGGAAGCAGGCCGACGGGGAACACAATCGAGGGTTGCAGGTGCAGCAGGTGCTGTCACCAGTGGACAATAATTCTCCTGCGTCGACCTTCCAGCAGCGATCGCCGGCGACGAATGAGATCAGCGCCGTGTCGGCGCCCAGTGTTGACGAGCGTCGATCTGTGCTGAATCCCCCACAACCGCAGCGGACAGGGCCTGCTGCGACCATCACGGAGGAATGGCTTTCAGCGGCACATCTGTCGCCAGACTCGTATGAACTGCTTGCAGGCACGGGTGGCAGCGAGCCGCCTCTGCCCCGGTTGATGGATATTTGGAATCCGGTTGATTTCGCTGGTCACCAACCCGTCCACCGTGCCCCTCCTATACCTTCTGTGTCGGGAGTGAACCTCCCAAGACAGAGACAGCCATCGACTTCCCGGCCGCCGTTGAAATATCCTGTGTTGGAACCTCTTATGCCTTTTCTCGAAGCGAGCCTCCCCCGTCGACTGGTGTGCGATCTGCTGGAACTATACTTTACCAGTGCTTTCTCAACCCATATGCATCCTGTGTGTCATCACATTCACTGTTATGTCCTGCGGAAGACTTCTTTTCTATGTCCCGACCGCCCTAGGCCCACTAGTCCTGCCTTGCTAGCGAGTATGCTGTGGGTGGCTGCTGTGGATGATCGGGCCTTCTCTTTATCCATCTCACCATTACAGCGGAGGAAGATATGTCAATTTCTCTGTGCATTGATTATTCGTTTACTGCGACCTTTGATTCATGTGTCGTTCAAAGACCAAGATCCATCACCCGCTGAAAATGCGACCGCCCACGACTTTCCAGCCGGGGCTCATCACCCATTCGAAGGAGTCGGTGATGATAAAGGGCTGGTAGGCCCTGCTGGATCTTTAGACGATGTCATTACCTATATTCATGTGGCCTCGATTATCTCATCTAGTGAACAGAAGGCTGCAAGTATGAGATGGTTTGTACCCCTGTTGGTACCCCCCTGTCTACTCCACTAACACCAGCCTAGGTGGCATGCGGCCTTTACGCTAGCTCGAGAACTTAAATTAAATCAGGAGATGGAAATCACACCCAATATCGACACCCTGACCGATGGTTCAAGTCCGTCCTTCGGCTACGGTCTAGGTGGATGGCCTGGTTCCCCAGGTGGGCTGGGCTTTGACTATTCGAATCCCTCGCGCCCAAGTCTGAATTGCGTATGTGACAAGAACCAGGATCTGCATAATGGCCCTGTTACAGAAGAGCACCGTGAAGAGCGGCGCAGAACCTGGTGGCTGCTATATATCATGGACCGCCATCTTGCATTATGCTATAATCGTCCGCTGGCCCTGCTCGATGCCGAGAGCGAGGACCTATTACTTCCACTGGATGAGAGCTCCTGGCAAGCAGGTATCATTCACAGCAATAGTCCCCGTCCAGACGGGCCTCAATGCCCTCGGTCGGGTGACCAAAACAAACGTCGCATTTTCCCCAACTTCATTTGTCACGACCACTCAATTCTTGGCTTTTTCCTCCCACTCATGACGATCACCGGCGAATTGATCGATCTTAACCAGGCGAGAAACCACCCTACCCTTGGTGTTAGGCTTCAAGGAAAAGAAGCTTGGGAGGTTCATGTCTCGGAAGTGCTGCGCCAGCTTGAGGTCTACAAAGCCAGTCTCACAACGTTTGCCGCGGCGACGGCGGCAGACCCAGCGGCTTCATCCACGAGTGCCTACACCAACAAACCAGAACCTGTCGACCCGCAATTGTCCCAGGCCTATTCTTGGCATACGCAGACCGTTATCGCCTACTCCTCCTACCTAACTCATGTCCTCCATATCCTTCTCGTCGGAAAGTGGGATCCTGTCTCACTGATCGAAGACAAAGATTTCTGGACATCTTCCCCGGCCTTCGCGTCGACCATCTCACACGCACTGGAAGCTGCCGATTCCGTGCAACAAATCCTCCGCTTCGACCCCGACATAAGTTTCATGCCTTACTTCTTTGGTATCCAGTTGCTGCAAGGTAGTTTCCTCCTCCTGCTTATTGTAGAGCGCCTGCAAAAGGAAGCAGGCGAGGGCATTCTCAACGCCTGCGAAACCATGATCCGAGCAACAGAATCATGCGTGGTCACCCTCAACACGGAATATCAGCGCAGCTTCCGGCAAGTGATGCGCTCTGCGGTCGCGCAGGCTCGGGGTCGCCCAGTCAACCCGAGTGAAATTCGGCACCGTCGAAAAGCGGTTCTCGCCCTTTACCGCTGGACGCGAAAGGGGACCGGCTTGGCCTTGTAAATACCCCACAAGGAGATCCAACTAGCTTCTCTCTGTTCCTGTCGATCCCTGCGGGCTAAACCATGTACCCTGCGGGTCTGCATCCGGTACCTAAGGGGAACGGTGGGAACCGTTTCTCCAACGGTCTCCGCAATGTGGGCTAACTGGATACTTTTCTTTGTATAGTTCTAGGGTGGCGTTTTCGGATGGCGTTTCCCCTAGGTGAAAGCTTCTTTAGCATTTGGAGCGGATAATTCTGTATATAATTTACCCTTGAGGACATTTCGGTCCATTCTTTTATTGTGGCGTCCATTACCTCTCTCGTAGCCATATATGCCAAATTTTATACCTGAAACAAGGCCTATGTCCCCGTTCTCTTTTAGGTTCTTCAGGAGTCTTGTCTTTACCAATTTACCCGATGTTCAGGGGGGTCTCGATTAAATTCTTGATGCCGAGCAACCATAATTCACCGATTGGACAACCATCTCCTCCGAATGCACGTCCTTCCCTGTAAAATCCGGGGAAATCGGTTAATTGAACAAATTTGGGATCATGCGGTCTATGGATATTTGCCGTTAGAGCTCCCCAGATTTCTCCGCAACTCCACAGCTCCTCATGGTTTTTGATGTTTGAGATATTTTTTTTGCTTTAAATAAATCCATGACCCCGATTTTGCGGGGAATTATTCTTTTCCATAGCAAGTTCCTATACAAATTATTTCAAGCTTCAGTTTGACCTTCAGCTTGAGTATAAACTTCAACAGCTCCCAGAGTTGTCTCTTGCCTCATATCCTCAAGCTATCACTATTTCATCTCGTGTCGAATATAGCACATTGACCATGACTGAAGCTCAGTTCCCATACGAGATTACCTCCTGGCCCGTGGAAAGTCTCATTGATTCGTATATGGGACAATACGACGAGCTCGGCCAGCACCCTTTCATTGCCAGTGACTTTCCTCTAACAATGCAGGATGGATTGGATCCTTCCTGGGCTGCCGAGGAATTCAACTGGGTGAATGAATACCCGGTTAAATCAACCACATTTCAACCATATCCCCAAATGTGGTATGACGCCGGCCTGGTCAGACAGGATTGTGGGATGAAAAGCGATACTACAAGGTAAATTACTATCCACTCCTTATGCCCAGAACCTGAAAAATGGCGACACATTGAAAAAAAAAAAAAACACAAGAGACAAAATCCAGAACCAAGTGACTGACATATGCAACTAGTTTCTCACTCCACCAATCAACCTCCTTCCAAACCACCGAGAATCCCCCGATCCATCCCCGCCCAGATCACCAACTCGCAACACAAAGAGCCCTCTTCATGACTCCATCCCCAAATACCCTATTCCCCTTCCCCGGATCTCCCACCTCAGATCCCCACGGGTCCCCAGACTCCAGCCACGCTTCGTCGCGGGGGTGGGAAGGGGAAGCCGAGCACGAAGATTCCCACAAGTTCGATTTCGGGCCGGCAGTAGACGCCCAATATCAGGCTCCTGGTCAGACCCACACCGTCCGCTCCCCATACCCAAGAAAAGACGAATGTCTCACACCACTCGAGATGCCAGATGGAAGTACCCGCATGACATCAAACTGGCTACCCGTGGACCCTGACGCGGGGTTCGCGATTGGTTCGGCCATGATGAATGAGGATGTAGCTGCGTTTCAGGATGTGAAGCACGCTTTCTTTCCGTCTGCCCCCGCGGCTTGGTCGTATGACCCTTGAGACCGGGTCTTGATGCAGGATTGCTGCTTACGACAATTTGCGCAACTATTACCCGTCTCCCCCTACTCTAGTGCGAGCTCCGCTATACCAAGAGCCTTGTGCGGTGCTGGTTATACGAAAAGCTCATTACGCCACCGCGACCATCCAAATTCTTCGTGTCCATGGAGCCTAGCTCGGATTCCTCGTCTCACTCGGGTATGAGTGCGCGCAGGACGTCCTTCGAATATAATTTCGAAAATGTAATTGAGATGAAGAGGATGTTGGGGGTCATGGAATCTCACCGAGAGTGGAGACCACACAGGCCTAGATCCAAGTTCTACGCCGTGGACTAGACATGAAATGATGTATCAACGGCATATCTTGATATTCAGGATTAGGGATATGTCACCTAGACAAAAGTCCTTCAAGGGCAAATTCAATCACAGAAATACAAACTGGTTACAAGACACTGTTGTGCTTGATAGAAGTTGGAAAAAAGGCAATCTGATTGATATTCGTGTTACGACCGCAAAGGTGGTTTTCGATCTTTCGAAGTCGCTGGATCTGAGAATAAACGCCCAAACAAACATATGGTTTTCTTAACTTGCATATCCTCCCACATCGATACCCAAGATATATCAAATGCCCAAAGCCTCAATCCAAGACTCAAGAGCCTTATTTATATCTTAGTCCAATCAAACCAGACAGTAATATCCTCCAGCTGATCCCGATGCTCCATGTAATAAGCCTGACCCAACATATGAAGCTTCCGTCGATCTGTCTTTTTAGACTTGGTGCGCGGCACTCTATCAATAAGGATATACAGCCCAGGAACATAGTACCTGGGCAAACTCTGACGAACCGCCTCACTCAGCGACTGTGTGAGCGCATACACAGCATGTCTGTCGCTGATAGGACGGAACTCCATCTCTTCGACCGGACCCTTCTCCGTGTTCATGGGGTTATTTGCCAAGTGTATATAAACGGCAAGAATTGGATCGCTTTCGCCGTCGATAACGCCTAGAACGTCCACGACGACAGCATCGCCGGTCGTCAGGTTGCGCCGGAGAACGTACTCCACCTGGCCTGCCTCGACGCGCGCTCCATCGAGCTTGAGCATGCTATCCTTTCGGCCCATCAGCTCGATCGTTCCATCGTGGTTGTACCGGCCTAGATCGCCGGAGCGATAGAAGCGGTGTTTTGGTCTCTCAGTGTGCAGTTGGCTCATCCAGACTGGTGGCGATGTGAGAAAGTTCTCCGATTTTCCAGAGACGTGGTCGAGATATCCCTTGGAGAGATGGGGTCCTTCGATGAGGAGTTCGCCCACGGCTCCGACGGGCATCAGTTGGTCGGGGTTATCGGGATTCACGATCCAGATTGCACCGGTAGCAGGACGACCGACTACTGACCCATGGCCCATCTGGAGATTACGGTTGTATGCGCAGAGAGAAGCTATCTCGCCCATGCCGTATTGGTTTACCACCTGCACGCGATTGAGCCATTTTGTCAGGACCGCATCGGAGACTGGCTCGCCGCCGATACACATCATCTTCAGCGTTGGGACGCGCTCGGGTTCCATGTCGATGGCGACGGAGGGTGTGATGAACATTATGTTACCCTCCAGATCGTTCATGTCGTTCATCAGCGCGTCCATTGTTAGAGATCTGGTGGGGACGCAGCAGCAGCCACCAGCGATGAGAGGCGCTAGGAAGTCGTTGTTGCTGATGTCGAAGGTGTACGAATCGAATTGGAACATCCGGCTATGCGGTCCCATCTCCATGACTCGGATGTAATCCGTCAATGCGGATGCATAGCTACGATGCTCCTGGATGATTCCCTTTGGTTTTCCTGTGCTGCCGGATGTGAAGAGCACAACGCAAGGGTCTGTAGGTTTGACGGTTGAACAAGGGACCGAATTTACCAATGGCAAGCTTGACACGGATGTCTCGCTGACCTCGAAGAGTGTTTGAACCCGATCGGCAAATTTCTCCTTGTAGCCGGCGGAAGTGAGCATGATCTTTATCTGGGTGCGTTCGAGGGAAGATTGAAGATATGGTGGTGGATCACTGCCATCAACGCAGATGTACGCACCACCAGCCATGAGGATAGCCAGTCGGGCCACGATAGCCCAGGTGGATTTGTAGAAGCCACAAGCCACATAGATATTTGGTCCGACGCCTTGTCCCACGAGCCAATGGGCTAATCTAGAAGTCAAGTCCTCGAGTTGGCGATATGTCAGATCCCCATCCCAGGAGCGAACGGCGGGAGCATCGGGGGTTGTCTTTACGTGTCGTAAACAGAGATCATGAAGCAGGGAATCATGGGCAGGCGCGATGTTTCCAGTGAATTGGGCAATCTGATCACGATCTTGCGCGGAGCATAACTCGAGACTGCCGATGGTTTGTGTGGATGCACCATCAATTGATGAGAGAGCCTGGTTGAAGCTTTTCAATAGGCTTGTAGCTAATGGCAGTCCGATGCCAGTGTTCCCAACATCCAATCGAGCGTGTAACCTATCATCGGAGGTATGCCGGATTGAAAGGCGGAGACCGGCGAATATCGAGTCAGTCTCTGTTGACTGTCTCGCCGGTATACCACAGCAGACTTGACATTCGCCGACGCATGCATCTAGACCAGACAGGATGCGATCCGCCGGTTGCTTCTGGTAGACGATTGTCACATTGAAGCCGAAATGCTCGTCGGCCTGGCCGGTGTGACCGTTCTCCGTAACTTTGACATGGGATAATGGGCCTAGAGCTTCAATGCTCTCGCGGAAGAGATCTCTCACGGTGTCATGAGGATCTACGTGGATCTGGACGGTTGGTTTCGAGGAGCAATGAGCTTTTTCGCCTATGTAGCATTGGCCCTTTACGTAGTCTTGATCAACGTATAGGGTTGTCGAGCAGGAGAATGCTCTGATCGTAGTCACCCAGGCTAATTGGAGTAGTCGCTGGATATGGATATCCGGATGTTCTCTTTGGGCGGGTGGGGGAGGGTTGAGGGCATCGACGAGGTGCAGTAGTCGCCAAGGACGTTCCTTTAGGATGAATTCAACTCCATTGGAAGTACCGTTGACTGCTGCCTTCAATGGAGCGGTACTGGGCTGGGAATCAACAATCGCGGGTTCTAACAGGATAGGAGCCATGATGAGGATGAAGTATAACAAGTGTGGAGAAACAAATTAACACAGTCGAGGCTATGGGATTTTATGGCTTAAATGTACGGCAACTTGCACAGGGAACAGGCATGAAGAAGCTCGCGGTCTCGTTGTGAATATGTCTCTTGGCACCGAGCCCTTTGTTGAACCAAGTGGGCAATCAATAAAACCCTCGTTATTGACGCCACGAACACCCATTGGGCAAATAATAGCCATCGTTCGGCATATTTGGAGCTCGTAAGATGTACTCCGTTCTGCATCACATCGTGCTCGATCCCGGAGAGTTTGCTCTAGTGTGAGAGGTGACTGTATTTGGAAATGGGCCGCTTGAGCGTCCGAGCTAGAGGCAATTGGTGCCGGGGCTTTTGTGGTACTCTGCGAATAAGAATAGTCCAAATGAAGTAGACGTCAAAAAAAGGAAGTGTTCTAAACCTAGTTTGACCAATCCAATGTCGGAGATCAGCACTGATCTGCGTTAATATAAATGGTCAGTCTTGGAGTAGCAGTAGTACAAATTGTCAGCTGCAAATGGAGTCAATGTACGAAGTAAGATATTAGGTGAGAAGGAATTGATCTAAAAAATCTAGCCCTGCATTACTAATGAAGTACATTTGATTCGTCAACTCAAAATTACATAGTTGCAGCAACTAAGTCACACATTCTGCATAATCCCAGGATGAACACCCTCAAGGATCGACGACAGCTCAGCCCATAGTTTCTCATGGGCTTGGCGCCCCTCATCACTTCGCACGAAAGGTGAAAGCGCAGTGTTGTCCACAACTCCATCTGTCATATATGCGCCGTGGCTTTCGACTCCAGCCGCAGCGCCCGCCACCAGCGTTCGAGATCCAACCTCAGTGGAGCGTGCTAATATCAGCTTAACCAGTTGGAACCAAAAGCCAGACTCTCGCCCTAGCTTTGAATGGCAGAGACCAGGGTTCAACATATTGACGATCACCTCGGATTCACGCACCCGGTCCGCTAGTTCCTGCACAAGCAGCACCTCCAATAACTTCGATAATGGGTACCGCTCGGTCATCTTGGCTCTTGTTTGGTCGCTGACAAACTTCATTGGCTCGTCTTCCTTCCATTCTGGGAAATTCACCCAACCATGTACCTCGCTTACAACGAAGGTAAGTCGCGGCGTGCGCGATGTGTTCTTTCGTCGTGTGGCTTTCAAGGTTGGCAGGAGGAGCAGGCCGAGGGATAGACTGTTGATGACATTGACAGTGACACTTCGCTCATAGCCTTCGGCAATGCTGAATTCTCCGGTGGCGATTGCGGCGTTGAGGATGGCTACGTCAAGCTGGGGAAGCTTTGAGGCGCGCTCGCTAAAGGCAGAGACCGAGGCGTGGGAAGACAGATCGACCTCCCACACTTCACAGACGCCTGGGCGGCCTGTAGACTTCTCAATGTCATGTTTTGCTTCTTCGCCTGCAGTCACATTTCGAACACCAAGGATGACTTTTGCTGCGCCGAGTCGCGTGATGTGACGTGCAGCTTCCAGCCCTAAGCCGACATTCGCGCCGGTGATGAGCACCGTCTGATCTGCGAAAGACTCTGTTGGATACTTGGGAGTAATGAAGAACTGTGAATAAAGGAAACCCATGATTAATGTTTGAAATGAATTCAAAAGGAAAAGCAAATATGAAAAAAGGAAACGTGGAGAAGGGATGATGATGTTATAATAAGCCGGAGATTACCGGTGTTAAGCTCGTTCAGCTCCACAGTCAGATATATCTTTCAGCTATCACTTTGACCTCGGAATTACTACTTAATTCCGACTGGGAAGAATAAGCGAAGGCAATATGACAGCAAAGTCGATTCTATGCCGACCGTGAAAATTTTGCCACCTCTTCCATCATATATGTCATCACTGTCCAGAATGTAATGTGGCGTTGTGGATTATTGAGGGCAATGCAGAGAAACATGTTTCGCTACGAACCACAATTTCCCTAAGGAGGAATGTATGCATTCCAATATCGATATTTGGACGTGAGAGCTTGACTTTATTCTTCTTACCCAGCATGATTTGAAAGTCTGCCGTCAAGAGGTTCCCGTTGAGAGAATAGGGGCAGCATATAGATCACCGCAATCCAACAATTCCAAAGTCGAAACGTCTGTTTATCTCCTCGAACAGAACGAACCACCAGAGTCCTCAAGGACACCACCGAAGCTAACACCATGCTAATGGTAAACCAAAGAGATGAAACACCCCAAAAGATCGGACACCATATTCCCCAACAGAGCATAGGTAAAGCAATAGTCCATCGTGCCGCAATATCACCCCATACAAGAGGCACCGTTCGCCGACCCCGCTTGGCATCGCCGAGTTGATCAGACATATCCTGCAATTGGACGGTGGAGAATATAATTCCGATAATGACAAGAAGCCACCGTCCCAACCATCCGCGGAAAGGAAGCAAAGAGCCACCCAAGGCCACTTCCATCGCCCCCGATGCGAAACAGGTATATCCTAGTCCGTTGATAATATTCCGAATGACCGGGTTCTTGTCCGCGCCACCCCAGTTATTGTACCACACCCCTAACCATATTAAAGCCACAGAATGTCGCACGCCGCCCGCGAAGGCAAGGCTATATATCGGGGCAAATATATATAGAATGATCATGATTCGTGTGCCCCATTCGTGAGAAATCCGACCGCGAGGAAAGGGGCGCCAAGACTTGTTTAAACGGTCTTCCGCAAGGGCTCTTTCACCCCTTTGGTTGTTGATGGCGAATGGGATTAAGTTGATTACAACCCATAACGATGCTGCGAGAGCTCTTCCAATCGACGTTGGAGAATCGCTGATGGACTGTGGAGGGGACAAAGCTCCTCGAATATGCGGGTCGTATTTTGATGCGGCCCAGGCGTTTGTGATGCCGAAAATCGTACTTGGTGCCACAATGGTTTTGAAATCGCTGAAGACGAAGAGCCAGATAGTATATGAATGGTACCACAGAGATGTCAATGCGCTTTGAACAGCTAAGACAAGTCGGCTCATGACTGATGTGTGTTGATGGTATCGTCGAGGTTGATCCTGTATGATATACCTTATACCTTTGGCGTGAGTCGTGCGTTCATATCAAACGCGGTGGAATTTAAGGGTTGGGACTGGAATTGAGAACTGACGACCAACGGCCGAATATGAGATGAAAATAAGATACTGACTGTCGTAGACTTTTGAATGTGTCGGACATGGCGCCAAACCTATGCTAAATAGAAAACTATCGACGCACTAGGATACCTAGATACCCAAAGTTGGAAAGAGGCCGACTTTGAGTCATATCCTCCGATGGCTGAGCATGACGAGTGTTGTCCAACATTGCATTTTGCTTTCTCTTTTACTGTGACGTTGATACAAAGAATTCTGGTCGTAGCCACTATAGGACTCGTCCCACTTTGAGGATCAAGATAGCCATCAGTGCGATCGTTATGATAGCTCCAGGGGCAGTTGCATTCATTGCAGGCCTACTGGCCCACCAACTTGTCTTTATTCACGGAGAATGGCATCTCAAGGGCCCCAGGGTGGTTATTCTTCATCTTCTTTCTGGTAGTCTATTATATGCCAACCATTTGTTTGGTAATGGACGCTCCCAGGCTAGCTTGGTTGAGACGATGTACTTGGCAGCATGCTATCTGTCGTCACTATTCACAAGCATCGCAGTATATCGAGTCATATTCCATCGGTTGAAACACTTTCCCGGCCCAAAATTAGCTGCAGTGAGCAAATTATGGCATGTGTGGAAGTGCCGCGACTCTCGCGGGCATCTTGTTTTGCAGGACTGGCACGAAAAATATGGGGAGTTTGTGCGAACTGGTAAGAGATATCACAAGATGAGTAGGGGTCCATGATAACATTGGGATTTAATCTTCAGGTCCCGCCGAAATTACCATTTTTCACCCCGAGGCCTACGAGGCCATGGATGGTCATGCCAATCACAACACGCGCTCGGACTGGTACGACCTTCTCTATCCTCGGATATCCTCAATATTTACTCGCGACCGACAGCTGCATCATGAACGGCGGAAGATGTGGGAGCAAGCGCTGAGCAAAAAAGGTCTGCTGAACCCAATGACCCAAGATACATCGAAAACTGACACAGCCGTTCAGCATTGTTCCAGTATCACCGGCGCGTGGTGAATAAGGTACGAACGCTGGAAAGGCTAGTTGCGTTGGAAGATTCACACCCTGTTCTCATAAATGACCTGATGTATTTCTTCGCGTTTGACTCGATGGGTGATTTTGCTTTCAGCGAAGATTTCGGCATGATGAAGAACAAAAGATGGCATTCGTCGATAGCCATGCTGCGCTCGGCACTGACCTTGCTGGGTCCCTTCAGTCCTGCGATATGGATCCCGAGACTGGGGTTTGCATTTATTCCCACCTTGTGGAAGGTCCAACACTGGTTTCATATGCTTGAATTTTGCGATCAATGCATGGCTCGACGGATGAAGGTACTAAGCACCATATTGGAAATTGTTCTTCCGGCTAACATAGTGGTAGAAAACACCCGCAGATCGCGACATTGCATCTTGGTTCATTGAAGACCACGTCAAACACGGATCAGATCCTTCGCGGGCGAGGTGGTTGAGCGGTGATACTGCGACATTAGTTGTAGCCGGAAGGTCAGTAAGGCTGGATATCATGAGACAGCGGACTGATAATTGCAGTGATACCACTGCGCCGAGTCTAACCCTTCTTTTCTATTTTCTCGCTCGCTATCCCATCCATGCTGAGAAGATTTATGAAGAGATTCGCGATGTTGACAGAGAGAACCCAGCTGTCTTGGCCACGTTGTCACATTTGACTGGGACTATAAACGAAGCTATGCGATTGCTCCCAGCAGTACTAACCTTCAGCTCTCGAGTAACTCCACCAGACGGACTGACGATAGATGGCACGTTTATCCCAGGGAATACCAAAATATGTGCACCACGTTATACAATCGGTCGACGTGAGAAGCTCCTTATCCTGTGTTTGGTGAGAAATACTAAATTGCTTCAAGTTGAGACAGCATATGTCCACCCCCATGAGTTCATTCCCGCACGGTGGTACAGCCAACCGGAGCTGATCAAGGATAAAAGGGCATTTGCTCCTTTTGGTGTCGGTAAGCGACAACTCTACCATTGACCCGTGTGGTCAGATCTCCCATGTGGCCAGTTGAGTTGCACGAGGATAACAAGAGGCTCGTATTCTGATTCTTTGTTTTCACAGGGCGTACGAGCTGTGTTGGGCGTCATTTAGCCCTTGTACAAATCCGTCTCGTAACTGCTGCCTTGGTGTTCCATTATCGGATCAAATTTGCACCTGGCGAAAACTATGGCGAGGCTGTTGAACGGGATATGAAAGACCAGTTGACTGCTCAGCCTGGCGCTTGTCGGCTTGTGTTTGAAAGTCGCGTATAGGCAAGGTAAAATGAGATAGGGCTGAGACTGAAGGTAATATGAGTAACGATAATTCTGCATTGATTTTGGTGGAATGATTTGAAATCCCACGCGGGGAGTTTGAGCTAGATACAACTTGCGGAGAATTTCCGTTCACTGTTCTTACTCAGGCTGGAATCCCCAGGCAACGTGGATGTCATATGTAACATAACAACCAGATTGAATATCCGCATAAGCCCTCTGCTCCAGATCTTCAATATGGTGCATTGGTAGCGCCCCCTGCGTCCCTCTAGCAGAATGAAGACGTGCCCACGCGAACATAGCCCTCATTCCATTCGCAGTCAAGCGCGCGCGGGTATCATACACCCGACCCGCAGAAACAGCCTCTGTGTGAACATCTACAAGACCCGCCGCACGCATCTCAGTCGTCAATCGATTCCAGCCATAGTCAAACCGGGGTTTCATGGCAGTCATGTACATCAGTCCCATAGTACTAGCAGCGTGGGTCGTAGAGTCAGGTCGACTGGGGAGGTGGCGAACGTTAGTAAAGTCGCATTCTTCCCACTGGATAGCACCACCAGGTTTTAGGAGTCGAGAAAGATTGCGAACAACTCTACCCCATTCGGATGCTGCCAGACCAGCAGCAATCAACCGAACGTGCACGATATCATATTGTCCGTAGAGGTTGACTGGAACATCCTTGCGGGCGTCGAGAAGGTGCAAAGTCACGTTTCTGGGGAGTGTTCTGGCGGGTGGAAAGAGCGAAGTTGATATGTCATAGCCGTGTAGGATTGCATCAGGCCAGTCATGGGCTAGGTCGCGCAGGAAGGCTGCAGTGCCCGTGGCGATGTCAGCGACTCGCACGTGGGGTTGCATTTTGCCTCGAACGGACGGGTGCAGCAGGTAGCCGATGTTTCTGTGTCAGCAGGAGTCAGTATAGTTTGCTTGTGGACTGCTTCGCCACACAGGGCTTGGCGGTTCTCGTACTCGGTGAGGAGATCGAATTGCTCGTCGAGTCTAGGAGCCGCTGATGTTAGTGTCCAGTGTTTTTATTGGTTGCTGGTGAGTTCTTACCTTTGCGCTTCGGTGGAATCTCGCTGCATATTCTCCGTGTATGTATCCCGAAAAAGAGGCATTTTGAAGGAGAGTACTTTGGGTCAAACGGGAGAAGTTCGATGTCTCAGATTGTACAGATGGAGGATGCAGGAGGCTGTAGAGAGTTGATGGGAAGGGTGTAGGTTTCGATGTTGTGAATGACAGGGCCGCTGTAAATTCCCAGAACAACCTTGAAAGTCCTTCACTGCGGGTGCTAGGGTTTCACTAGGGTACCTCCCCAGTTGAAATCCTGCTAATCCGCAAATTGGAGGAGGTTAAGGTCAAAGTTTTCATGTTGTACGAAATGAAGTCTACAGGGTTCATAGACACCTCCCTACCAGACACCTTTCGCATATGCTGTCCTCTAAATTGAACAACCATAGCAGATTAGTTGACACGGAGTCTCTTGAGTTCGCAAAATGTCATTTTTCCCCTCGACCTAACACTTCTACTGTCAAGTTACATATATACTGTCGAACAACTGTTCTTTATACCGTCAGACCTCGTCATCGCTGACTCCTGTCTCGAATATGATTCACATGCATCATCGCTCTCCAGTTCTAATTGTGTGGAGTTTAATATTTTTCTTTATTTCTGCGGTAGCTGTTGCACTTCGAGTTGCGTCTATATATATACGACGTCGGGGTTTAAAAACCCATGATTATCTTGTTTTCTTCTCACTGGTGGGTTTGACTGGATGTCTACATCTTCAGCCCGCTGATGATAACCTCAGTTGCTATTGACCGGCTATGTGGTGGATATGCTAATTGGTAGGTTGATCCGATCAACTACGCGGCAACTATAGCTAAGATTTTATATCAGGCGCTACGACGGCTGGCTATGGCGGTCATACGGCGACTATGGCTGTACGCAACCCGGGAGAGTTGGTTAGTGCATTGAAGGTACATGGTCTGTCTCCTTAGACGTTTATGCGAGATATTGACTAGCTTAGATTTTCTGGGCATCAGAATGGATGTGGGCAACCTCAACAGTCTGCTTTAGACTCGCCATACTCCTTTCATATATCGAGATCTTCCCAGGAAATCAGAAATTCTACTGGTGTGCAACTGGAGTGGGATGTCTTGTCTTCCTATACTGGGTATCTGCGATCTTGACCATCGCTTTGCTCTGTCGTCCAGTCGCCTACAATTGGGACCGCACAATTTCCGGGAGCTGTGGCGATATTCTAAAGATACAGTATGCATCTGCAGGGTTCAACATGGGGATTGATCTGGGAGTCGTCTTGCTACCGCTCCCTATTGTTTGGCGGCTCCAAATGTCGAGCCGCAAGAAGACTGGCGTCACAGCATCTTTCGCGATAGGCATCCTGTTAGTCTCCCATGAGCTCCGTCCCGTTTCAAATTTAGCCGCTGACCGCTAGTAGAACAGCCGGTATCAATTTAGGCCGCATTATTCAGACCAAGTTGTGTCCCGCTGACGACCTCGTCTACTGCCTCAGAGACTCCTCTATTTTCATCATGGCAGAAATGACAGCAGGAATTTTGGTGGCCTGTGTTCCAACATTTGGGCCCCTATTATTTCGCGGGCGAAACGTGCATTCAGCGCGACCACACGACTTGCCCACAATTGGGTCTCCTCGAATTCGCCGTCGTCCGAAATTCGATTCTCTCCTTTCCACATTCGACCGCAGTCACAATGATTGCGAAGAGCGAGGCCATACAAAGGAAGTGGAGCATGGTGCGCCCACATCGCATGTCGGGATGGGGGCTGAGAATGAAGCTCCAGACACAGGTATTATGGTGACGCGCGACCTCGATGTGCATAGCCTGAATGTGCTCCCTCGAGTGTCTGAGAATAATACTGTTTGAAAAGCATTCTCTCAGAAATCAATATGAAAAGCACGTTCCCATCGGGAGATCTGCGCGGCTCCACATATCAGGAACTGGACTTCCTTCCACACCGAACTGGATGCGGATGTTTACGCTCCGTAATGCATGTCAGATTTGTACCACCTTGAGGCGTTTGTCTTTGAAATCAGTTGACTAAAATACCTGAGATAAACCAATTGAATGTGATTTGTCACACATAAACTGTTGAGAAGCGTTAAATTGTCAGGCATCAATACGATCTAAGGCCAGAACCACGTGCGGGGAACATTGCCTTAGTTTTTTTTGCCTTGCAGCATTTTCTCTTTCGCAACTAACCATGACTTCCTTTGTGGTTGTCCTTTGCCATGGCTCCTATCATACTCCCGCCCCATATCAAGCTCTTGTTGATGGCTTGACTGCGAAGGGCATTGAAACCTATTGTCCCCAACGGCCCACCTGTGATCTCACTCAACTCAATGTTGGCAACCCCAGCAACCCCGATTTTGATCGCAGGGCTCCTCCGGGAGGCTATCCACTCCCCGCAGATGATGCGATGGACATTGGGCTGCTGCTTGATAAGTTGATTGCACAGGGGAAATCGGTACTACTCGCAGGACACTCCTCCGGTGGTTGGGTCGCCGCCGAGGCTGCACAATCTTCTCGCCAAGCTCCTGTTCGCGCAAGGGATGGAAAGACTGGCGGTGTAATTGGAATCTTCTTCATCGGAGCATTCATTATTCCGCAAGGCCAATCAGTGCATTCATTCTTCCATCCCGCAGATGGCACCGTTGTCGCACCTCCATTTATGCAATTCCACGTGGGTTGACCAGTGAACCAACCTATATTTGTAGATACTGACTGTTAATAACAGAAACATGGCGTTAATGGCCTCGGAACCCTGGTCGACCCTGAACAATACCTCTTCCATGACCTTGATGCAGCGACCGCGAAGAAATGGGCATCCACGTTGACAGCAGCTCCTGTTATGAATAGTCCCCTTACGCATAGTCCTTATGATGCGCTTCCGTGCGCCTACCTTGTGTTGGAAAAAGACCGCATGTTACCCAAGGAGTATCAAGAGGAAATGGCGGCGAGTCAGAAAAGGCCGTTCACGATGTACTGTGCGCCCTGCGGTCACTCGCCGCACCTTAGTTGGACAAATGAGCTCGCTGCGACGATGGAGAAATTTGGAAAACAGGTTCTAGCTAAAAGCAAAGCAGATTGAGTGTTTGAAATAAATCTTTCTCCAGTCTCAAAATATATAACAAATGAGTTACACTTGAACAATTCCATGTTTGACAGATGGGAGGATGTTTGTGCAACGCGCCTTCCATTCGAGGTCCAACACTTTCCCTTTCCAGTTTCTCATTTCTTCGTCTCTCCAAGCATTGTCAACCTTTTCAACCATTGCCATCACTTCTTCCATTCAGCTATGGATACTCCTCGCTATGTATTCGGTGCCCAGGGATTCGGTGTGGCCTGGACGACTGACAATGTTGACCACCTGATGAAGAGTCTCACAGAGGCTGGAATCAATCAATTCGACACGGCTGCCCTCTATCCCGCCTCAAATCCCGGTTCGTCGGAAGAACTACTCGGTCAAAAGAAGCCAGGCAATGCAGTCATCGATACGAAGGTTCTTTTCATTGGCGATGACTCTTTGTCCTTCCAAAACATGGGTGCCTCTATCAAGGCCAGTCTGGAGCGACTGCAAGTCAAGAAGGTGAGCAAAAGACGCACACTGGCTATTAGTGATGCTAACGTGGTTGGTTAATCAAGATCCACACCCTCTACGCTCATGCCCCGGACCGCAAGACTCCGATTCCTCTGCAAGCTGCACACTTCGACCGCTACTACCGTGAGGGGTACTTCGAGAGGCTGGGTCTCTCCAACTACAGCCCATCTGCGATCCGCGCCTGGGTGGAAATTGCAGTGGAGAATAACCTGATTATGCCGTCCGTCTATCAAGGCCAGTACAACGTCTTCTGTCGAGGCTACGAAGATGAACTCTTTCCAGTACTTCGCGAGTTCGGTATTGACTTTGAGGCAACGTCCCCGTTGGCGGGTGGATTCCTCACCGGGAAGCTTTCCTATTCTCCATCACCTGAGCAGTTGGAGGGTACCCGTTTCGAGGTCGGTGAGGGTAACATGCTCGGTGCAGTTTACCGCATGTGGTACGACCAGCCCATCTATCATCAAGCGATGCGATCTTTGGACAATATTGGGAAAAGGCTGGGGACTACCGGGGCCCAATGTGCCCTGCGCTGGTTGCTCTTCCATTCCAACCTCAAGGATCCGGACCGAATCGTCATCGGACCTAGCACTCTGAAGCAGCTTCAAGACTATGTCGACGCCCGGAAGGCTGGAGCACTTCCAGATGATGCAGCAGGCGAGATTAGCGCACTTTGGCTAACCCTGAAGGAAGTTGCAGCGACGATCATTGAAAAGGGATGGTGGTCTCTGTGATGATGTGCTTTACTTTTGGGAGATCGCGACCAAATTGTCCACGAAAAGAACTTCTAGTACATGATATGTTATTTATCGGGGGTCGGCTGGATCAGAAGTATGCACTCATACAGTTAAGCCCAGTCCACGGATACACAATGACATCTCCCAGTTTTTCATCATGCATATTTCCCCCGTGGTGTTATCCCCTCCGCTAACCTTGCGACCTACACAAGCGCCCATCCTCAGTCACTGTCCAAGCCTCACTACCCACAGCCTTAAAAGCGAAGATCCTGTTGTCAGGATCATATTTGCTCTTAATCCCTAGTAAATTGTCATAATTCTTCCCATAAAACGCCTGTTGCCAATCCATCTGGTTTGGATCAGCTTCATTCAAATATGCGCCGCTTCCAGGTGTTAACTCTTCCAGCTGGGGCATAAGAACATCAGTAATGAGCTGTTGGCTAGCGATATTGCTATCCCAGTCAGTGTAGTCGAACGTCCTGGACTACGATCAATAAAAGCTTGTACAAGCCTGAAAAGAAGTAACAAACATACGCTCCAATTACAACGTTCATCAGCGCGCCTCGCCAGGCTGGGCTAATACTGTTGTCAGGATATGCAACCCGAGACGAGTTGACCATGATTCCTGAAATGAGAAATCCGGCGTTTCTTTCGACAATATTACGGAACGTGATGGTTAGATCCGCCAGATTCTGGTCGACTGTAGACCTTGGAATCAGTCGACCACCAAGCAGTTGATCAGTTATATTGTCTGGTGGGCTCATCATCTGAAATGCGTCGTAGTACGTTGGGAAATCGTCAACGTAATATGCTTTCCAGGCTCTGTCAGTGTTCGTTCTAACTCTCTGCCATCTCTTACTTACTGTGCTGGATCTTGTTTCTTTCAAGGAATAAGATCAACGGACTAAAAAGAGAATTGAAAAGTGTCGCTGTGCCACCCGGAATGGTAGTAGGCGTTGTTACCAGGGTCGTGTTAGTTAGCCACCAAACACCCGCACCCCCAACATCCCCAATCGAGGGAAGAATCGATGTGAAAATCTCGACCGCTGCAAAGAATGTATCTCGCGATATACCCGTATCGGTGAATGAAAGGTTACCCGATGCCGTCGGCAGCTCGGGGTAAGCCTTGCTCGTCATTGACACAACAACGCCGTAAGTCCCTCCACCTCCACCCGACAGCGCCCAGTAGAGATCAGGATATTCTATTGGCGACGCGTTTACCAGATCCCCATTTGCGAGAACGACCTCCCATTCCAGGACCTGATCAGCGGCCAGGCCCACATGGGACGCCAGTTGGCTATGTCCGCCGCCTTGCGAATATCCCCCAGCAAGCCCGATCGTTGGACAGCTGCCGCTCACGATAACAAGCCCAGCTTCATGAGCCGCATCGCTGCCTTCAAAGGATTGAACACCAGCTCCCACCTTTATCGCCTTGCCGGAATAGTGTGTCGAGTCGTAGTCCACGATGGAAATCTCTTTCATGTTGTGCATCCAGATCGCCAGTCCTCCGGCTCCAGTGGACTTCCCAAACAGGTCGTGTCCTGTATTGCGGATGACAAGGCGGATGTTGTGACGAGCTGCGAAATGAATGGTTCTCTGGACATGTGCGGCGGTTGTCGCGTTCACAGTGTACTGAACGTAGTTGCCGATCGTGCAAGGTGAAGCCTTCGATGAGAAGGGATTGCAGCTTAAATTCGTGAAGATGGGGGCCATAGCTGACGAGGGACTTTCATAGTGTGTAGCTGGGAAGCCCCAGTTGGACTGGAGTTGTGCGCATTGCGATTCATTGTAGGTGGTGAACGAGTCGATGTGACATACGCTGGCGATCGGGACTGTCGCGATCAACTTGCCATCCACTGTTTCATTAAATCGCGCCCATAGATGGTCTTTAGGCCAGCAGGATTCTTGTGGCATGCAGCGGCAGGTAGGCGAGACTGTTGGGCTTTCGATAGAGAGGCCACGAACAATACTTGCCATAGGAAGAAGGAGACAGAGTTGCCTCCATGCGAGATAGTGGTTGGCCATTGTGATATTCAGAATTAAACTCACTTGTTCCCGAAGTTGGGCAGATTATATACTTGCACTAAGGCACGCACCGAATATAGTTCACATTCGGTTAAGTCAAACTCAGCTTTGCACTCGAAGATAGCGCGCACCTGATTGAATATAAGACTTGATATATCCCGATATCACATAAATTATGCCCCTGCATATGTATCGTTCACCGCAGCTTCAAGTAATAGGCTGGTGAGGTTGGATATTCGAAATTCCGAGGGACCAAACACTTTTCCGCTGCTCATCTGTGTGTGTCTAGGCAAGAGAGGCTCCCGCTAAACTTAGACCAACCTTGGTGTAACTAGGCGCGGAGGGACACGTAACACTTGCAGAGGTAAGTAGAGGCGAATGTCCTTTTTAGTATAAAGATAGCTCACAAGTGAAACTTCGGGCATTGCGCTTATTATATTTGTAGAGTCAAGTTTACTGCGATTTATTCCGACCTGCGTCACGGAGTTTCTAGCTGGGTACCCTGGCTCTGTAGAAGCTCCTATTTATATTAGATGAGCGAGATCATGGCATTCGGCTTCTATTGGCCATTTGCTATTCGCCTTGTGTAGATTCAAGCTTTGAAAATCAGGCGTTTAGCTTAGTTCCTTTTATATAATGGCTTCCTATCTGCATCAGAAAGGGTTTCATTCTTTGCATCCTCCAGCCTGGTTCAGTATGTCAAAACTCGGAAGCAACCATCGACTTGACACATTGTATATATAAAGGCGCTAGTCAAGAGAGGATACTATAACAAGTGTGCGAGATGTTCTTTCTCCTTTTGCATATCTGATTAATGAGAATGATGAAATAATGATCCTTCTAAAGACAGGGTATATTGGACGAATTCAACGAGGTCCTAGGGCAGCTTTTTATACAAGCGTGTATTCGACCGAGATATATGATAAATACGGAGTGAGCACTTCCAGAATGGAAAGGAATAGATCCGTTTGATACGGAGTGGTCGTTGGTCGGATTGTGGCTACCCTTCCTTCATTTGTTTCCTCTTCTGCTTCTTCCTCTTCTTTCTCTTCCTACATTGTCTCTTCTGATCGCTCTCTTCTGTCCTTTCCTCCCTCTTGTTCTTCGCTATTTCTGTTAACTTGAGCCACGAGCTGAGCCTGCTGGAACAGAACCGGCCCACGATTCTTTCGGACAGGTATTTACACCTACCTATTCCTCTCTCCTAACTGTACCCCAAAGTAACTTATTTCGGTTTTGAAGATCCGCTGTACTCTCTCACTTCAAATTAGAATATCCATCAGTTTCGCTTCACACCTGGGATACTAACACTTCATTTAGGATTGATCGTGCCGTACTGCCAATGCGGGATCCGGGACAAGTCGTCGTCGTATGTTGAAGATGCATTCATGATTGCCTCTGGCTGCTACTTAAAAATGCTAACCACGTATTTAGGACCTGGTGGTGAAAGCTCACATCGAACGGTCTTCCTTTCCCCGGCGTGACGACCCGCTATACCCTAACAACAAGGGTATCAAGTGGGCTGCCGACCTTGTGAGGCTTGGTCTCCCCCTACCCGCTAACCTCTAAGAGTTCCGAACGGTCAAGCTCTCGGCTCTGCCTGCTTGCACCTCTATCGGAAAAGTGCTTGGCGCTATCCATGCTGGTGCTATATTCTCGGCCTTCCTATACGATACGGTCGCGTTGAGTGGTGACCTTACCGCCCAAACCACGTTTGTCGAACAAGCTGGCGCAACCAGATTCGTTGATAATGCAGAATCGGACGGCTTTTACATTGGATCCACTCAACCCCAGAATTTACGACCAGATATTTTGTGATGGCTATTCCCGGGTCTTGACTGTCCGCGTTGAAGAGAGGGGTTTGAAAGATCATGTTTACTTGATCCTGTCTTGCTCGTCTGCTGCCGCCCATATCGAACTTTTGAGCGAAGACGCTAACAAACAAGGACTTACTATTCACTTCTTTTCTGTAAATATGGTTATTAATAGCTAGACCTCCGCAAAGCCTATAAAGCCCAAAGCCCAACCCGCCCCAAGCCACTAATGGGCTGTGATTTAGCCCCGGGGTCCGAGCGTATCTATGGGCTTTGCGGAGGTCTATTAATGGCTCGCCCTCCGCAGAGCCTCCAAAGCCTAACCCTAAACCACAAATGGACTAGGTTTCAGGCTTTTTTAGGTCCACGGTCTGTTGTAAGGGCCTAATGGGGACATACCCGTTGATAATCAATTTGAATATTCCATTTCCCGGTGTAATGGATGGATATCTTTCCAGCAAAGAGACTGGGATTAATATCAGCCGTTTTTCGAGGCTGAGTCGTGCGGGGTTCGCTACATGATTGACATGTTGGTATTGGCACGCTGATTTCTATATAGTCTGAGACTCCCTCCTAGTTCTTGCTATAATTACTCTTTGGCAGAGACAACACATTGAACTCCGCTCCTCTCAAAACAGAGTATCTTACCCGGTTGACACGCCTTACACCTAGAAGCTGTATATCTTTACAGACCACTGGCCGACTGCAATTATGTTCAACTTCAACAGCACAGACCCAGACGCAAACGAGAAGCCTAGTCTACTCTCAAATTTCAAATACCCGACATGGCGGCCCAACAACACAACAAAAATAGAGTCAGAGGATCCAAGTTCAACCTCACCCCATAGCCGCGCGTGGATTAAAGGTGTCGTGTTATGCTCATGGGTTATTGCCACCGTCCTCGCAATAAACATTGTTCTGACGATCATCGCTGTGGGTGTTGCCTATTCAAAAAATGGCGAAGACGATTTCGCCTTCGCAGCGCTATATACAGGGAAATGCTCGCTTGCTAAGAACTGGGCGACGGGAATACATCTTATAATCAATATTCTAAGTACGGCCTTGCTGGGAGCGAGTAACTACTGCATGCAATGCCTTGCGTCTCCGTCTCGAGCGCAAGTTGATACAGCCCACAGTAAGCGGGTCTGGCTGCCTATTGGGGTCCCGAATATCCGGGGCTTGCTCTGGAGGGAGCGAGGAAAGAGGCAGCTGCTTGGGTGGATCTTGCTGGCTACATCACTGCCTATTCATTTGATGTTAGTTTGGACGCTGCTGATATCGCATGAGTGGCCTTGACTGATTGAATTATTCCTTGCTAGTTACAACTCCGCTATCTTTTTCTCGATCGGCCCGGCAGATTATGCGGTGGTGATAGCACCCCCTGATCCGATGAACGGAACTGGATCGGCGGGTTGGAATGAGTGCTTTGAAAGTACCGTTGGCCTGGATATAGAAACGGTTAGAGCCGAGATGAGTCGTTCGGATCTCAAGAAACTTTCCATTAAAGATTGCATTGACACTTTCGCCCAAGACTATGTATCCGGGCAAAGGATGCTCGTTTTGGTGACGGAGGATCCAATGCCAGACGGCGAGCCTTTGGCATTCATGGGACCACTAAATTCCATTGGCACCCACAAGGATGGCAGTACCTTCAGCTGGATGTGTCCTACTAATGACTGCAGCCAATATTTTTTTGGATGAGATGGTTGGTGGGATGTGTCCTCCTGATTACTGCAGCAAAGATCTTGTGAATAAGATGGTTAATGGGGAGGAATGGACCGTCCAGCCAGTTGTGATAGATTCATGGGTAAGGGCGCGGATCCCTACTGAGAACGGATCCCAGATCGTCTCATATTCGTCCAATCCGCCTCCCCACACGCCAGATACCATACGCTTGCACAAAGTTCTGGACACAGCCAGACACAAGGACGAGGTGCAGGCTGCACTTGACGATCCCTCTAATTGGACCAATGCTTCCTTTCCAGGAAATGTGACGCTATTTCAGTTGCTTCAATGTCCTAACAGTCTACCTCCCAGAGTGGTGGCGCCAAAATCTCGAATTCGGCATTGTTTGACACTTCCCAGGGATGAGTCTTGCCGACTGATGTTTAGCCCGCCAATTTGTCTGCTTGTTATTGGGTGTAACTTGGTAAAACTTATCTGCGCGCTATTGACTGCACACGATGGTAGGGAGGAGCTGTTCCTTACAATTGGGGACGCGATCGCATCTTACCTTGCTTGCCCAGATACAAGAACAGAGGGGGGCTGTCTGCTATCTAAGTCGCTGGTAGTCAAAGGGTCTCAGGGCTGGCACAGGAAGATGAACAGGAAGGACAAGAGGCTGGATATTCCAGTATGCTCAAAGATTGCACTTCAACTACCTTCCCGAAAGCGATGGTTTCAAGCCGTGAGCACGGGACTGTGGATCTCCACAATCACCCTGTAAGCCTCTCCGGGGAATAACTTGAAGTATACTAACATCTCAGATTTCTCTGCATAATTGGCCTGAGCATCTTTGCTCTCATCGTCGCCATCGACTGGTTTCCCTCTTTGTCTCGCGAAGCCGTATGGGACAACACTCTAGGGGAAGCACGCCCATCAACTCTACTACGCATAGACGCCCCACCCGGCGCAGCGGGAACATTCGCCATGATTCTCCTGCCCAACGCCCTACAACTCCTCGTCTCGACCGCCTACTTCATACTCAATGCCATGCTGACCGCTATGCTCGGAGCCATGGAATACAACGACTACGCGCGAAATCGCAAACCACTGCGCGTCTCCTGGCCACGCGGCGCCCAGCGCTCCACTTACTACCTCTCACTGCCGTATCGATACAGCTTCCCGCTCCTGGTCGCCTCCGCGGTTCTACACTGGGTGGTCTCGCAAAGCTTCTTCTTTGTACAGATCACCCCCTTTGATATACATGGCGAGCCTATCCCTTTGCGGGAGTCTACCACATGTGGTTACTCACCTATTGCTATATTGGTCGCTATTATTGTTTTCGGCTTGCTACTTCTCGTCCCAGTAGTACTCGGCCTGCGCCGTTTTGAATCCCCGATGCCGCTGGTGGTACAATGTAGTGCGGCGATTAGCGCCGCCTGCCATCCTACAACGTCCAGCATGGACGACAGCGCCAACCATGCACTCAAACCTGTGCAGTGGGGTGAGATTCCGGGCATCTACTCGGATCGAGGCCCGATGGTATTTTCACATCGGATCGATGGTGAGGAGGATGATGATGCCAGTGGGAGAGGGGGTGGAGATGAGGAGCTGCAACAAATGCTGCCGAACGCAGAGCCTAATGATTTGACTCGCACTGGTGCTGCGATACTGGAACTGTATCATTGTACTTTTACGTCGGAGGATGTGTGTGAACCGAGGAAGGGGTGCGTTTATATTTAGCGCCCTTTCTTTCTTTTTTTTTTTTACTTAGGGGCCATAACAAGGCCATGTGTGATACACCTACGGCAGGATTTTAGGCCCATCGCGCAAACCGGGGTTTTCATCAGCAGGTTAACCAGCTGCCATCAACATTCTCAAACGCCTGAAAATAGCTCGTATCAAGGGTAGCCCACCAAAGTATTATGGGATGGCTAGCGGTTATATTCTAAAAGAACCGTAGAAAGATGATAATAAAGTAGTTTTTATAGTAGCGCTAGACTTTGTCTACGGGACTTACGACTAGACCTCCGCAAGGCCCATAAAGCCCAAAACTCAAAGCCCAAAGGCTAACCCAACCCAACCCACTAATGCGCTGGGTTTTAGCCCTATCTTCGAGCCCACCGGTGGGCTATAGGCCTGGGATTTCCAGGCAGCGAGATGTTCTTTCACTTCATAGATACGGCTCAGTATATAGGGACTTCTATGGATATTCTTTAGTTTCACTTGATATATTGAATGCTAACCACTTAATGTAGGTTTGACCTTCCAATCCTGCCAATACGAGATACGGAGGAAATTGTTATAGTATGTGCAAGTTGCATTCATCATTGCCTCTGGCTGCTACTTGAAAAAGCTAACCACACATAGGAGCACTCAATAAACCTCCACACTCGAAAATCTCTTAAACTTGAACCTGAGATATAATCTGTGGTCGTGACCCAACATGGGCAAAGATTATCCCCTGAATACAAAAAAGATGTTGGGTTTGACGCCGGCCATAGGGAGGCCCTACCAGGTACACGAAGCCCACCCAAAAGAACATTGAGATAGTCGGTGCTTGTCTGGGGTAGATTTGATGACGATCCCGTCCCCAGCAACAAACTCAAATATGTCCGGTCGGTTATCGGCAATAGACATTGTATTGTGCAGCCCCTGGTTGAAGCTTGAATTGAAACACAACAAAGTCGCCTACGGGTGTGCATCTCAGGGATTCTCATCAGCCATCGGGTTTGCTTCTCTCGCGAGAATAGAAATATATGCCTCGCTGAATATTCCCATTCTTTCTTCTTTATTCAACTCATGTTACATCACGAGCCATCTTGAGTCTCAGTCACCCAGCCTCGTTCATCCATAGCATTGTAATGTCACAACTCATATACTCACTCATTGATTTTCACTAGCAACTTCACTTAGACTTAGCCTTGGCCTTCCTATCATCTCAACGTTGCATGGTAGAGAGGTAGTCATGGTATGGGCAACTTACTTTCATTGATCTCTGCTCCTAGCTACCACTTAAAAATGCTAAACATACATCCAATAGGAGCCACCAACCGAAGCTCATACAGACGAATCTCCCAAGACCGATCCGCCCATCGAGCCTCTATCCTGCCCCGCCATACCCACAATATTTACCCTAGTCCCAAGAGTATTGAGTGGGCACCGGCGCTTGACAATGTGGCCGATGGTGCTTCAAAGCTGCTAGAGATTACAATGCCAGAGAATACTCATTGTGACAGATGAACTTTTTATCTGATGGTACTTGGAATATGACACTTGTGATCTTTTTGAATTTATTTTCGTAGAACCTACATAGAAGATTCTGGCCAGTTGACACAGCGATATTCGGCAACTTCCCTTCCGTTCGCCCCCGTATCCCCGCATATCGGGGGATCATCCCCCGTTCCTCCCCACAGAGAAGACACCACACCACATATAAATCCTCAATCGGTGGAAGCTATTACCGTCACACCATGTCTAGACCTACTAAATCAGAGCCTGGGGTACAAAATGCGAGGGTAGTTTATTCCACTGTGCATCAATTAGGTACACCAACTAACTTTGTCCAGTTTCATACGCCCCAGTGGGTGTCCCTTGTGGCCGGAGGCATTGCCGGTGGAGTGGAAGCCGCCACGACGGTAAGTTTCTTCGATGCATAAAGTTGCCCAGTAGTTGACTGTGGTAGTATCCATTTGAGTATTCAAAAACACGCGTTCAATTGTTGAACGACAGTACTATTCGAACATCGAATCCACTCAGTCTCATCGTCCAAGTTGCGAAACAGGAAGGTGTCGGTGCTTTGTACACAGGGTGCTCAACTCTTGTCATCGTTAGTCTATTCACTCTAAATAAATACGGACATCATATTAATGAAATTTGGTAGGGAACTACAGCAAAAGCCGCCGTCCGGTTCGTGTCCTATGATACGATCCGTAATTCCCTTGCAGATGATCGCGGCGTTCTCTCAGCTGGCCGGGGAATGCTCGCTGGAATGACCGCCGGCGCTGTAGAAAGTGTCCTAGCAGTAACACCGACTGAGAGAATTAAAACAGCGTTGTCGGTATCTCCTATCAGTTATAGTTCATGAAACTTGAGCTGACCCATCCCGCAGAATTGACGATGCAAAAGGCGCTCGCCAATTCAAGTCAAGCGTACATGCAATCCAAGTGCTGGTACAAAGACATGGTATCACTGAGCTTTATCGTGGTCTTGTCTCCACAATGATGAAGCAATCGGCCACTTCTGCTGTCCGTATGGGAACGTACAATGTGCTCAGAGAAGCCACCAAGGCTAGGGGCATCAAGCCAAACGTGTTCACAACCTTCGGGATTGGTGCCCTGGCAGGTGTAGTTACTGTCTACGCTACACAACCATTTGATACCATCAAGACACGGGCGCAGGGTGTGCAGGGAGCTGGTATTGTTGAAGCCTCCCGGAGCGTGATTCGCGACTACGGGATCCGGGGATTCTGGAAAGGTAGCTCCATGAGATTGGGTCGGCTACTTCTGAGCGGTGGCATTGTATTTTCTGTTTATGAAGAGGTAGCCGCCATTCTATCTCCGGGGACGCGTCGATAGATCTCAACAACCGAGAAAGCGTGTACATTCGGCTATGTATCAACTAGACTCTATAGACTGGCTTTGGAATCGATCGGGGATAATACAGGCACATGGTCACAGAACAGGGGTCGTGTAAATCTCAATAGAAGCTTTTTGCACGGTATTCCTCCAGCCAGGAAAACGCGCCCGTGGAATAATCGAAATCCGGTCACCGGCTTGAAGATTTTGCATCCAGCGTAATTCCTGGTCCCTCTGGTAGGTGATCCGATGACACGTGGCTTCGCGTTTAGCATGAACATTGGTCGCCAGACGTAGGTCTTCATTTTTGGAGATATCATCTCGACCCGATGGTCTTTCAATATCAAGATCAAACCACGTCCAAGAATTTCTGAACGATCCGTGATCTTCGCGATAGCTGCTCCACCCTTGGTCATGGCTCCAGATGTTGATTCTTATCTCTTGAACGGGAAATCGCTCGCCCTGAATGGGCTCGGATGTCAAATATGGGGTTCGATCGCGACAGTCGTTTTCAGTATAATCCATGCTGTCTTCTCTGTAGACGGCAGATATCACCCAATATTCTGCGAATTCTAGAATCTCTAGGACGAGTTCGGACGGCAGCTTTTGTCGGAGAATGTTGAAACTCTCGACAGCATCTGCTGAGTTTCTTGGGTAGTACGTGCTGTATTTTTCATCGGAAGCTGAAACTCCATTTTGGACAGAGTTGACATCCTCAGAAGGCGTGGAGTATGAGGATCCCATGGCGACCAAAAGAGGTGACGTGTGGAGGCTCGAGCCCCTTGGCCGAAAGTGTTTCAGCTTGGCTTGTGGCTTGGCATCGAGCTGTACCCAAGTATGTAAGGGCATAAATAGAATACAGATCACAAGTTAATAACCGACATCTACTATGTAGGCAATGGAAGACATATTGATATTTCAACTAGGAGAAACTCCATGACCAATGTGCCAATATGGTAGTTGTGTAAGCTCATACTAATATATATCCTTGATCATCGAACATGAATTTACGGTGTCTTTCCAGGCCCTTAGGCAAAGGACAGCAGATAACTTAATAAGATATATCTAGTATTTAAAGTGACTAAACGTGAAGTTATTGAAAAGGTCTCATTGTGCTTGTCAATTTATTGAGGAGGGTACCGAATCCTACTGCTTTGCTCTTCCTACGGTCGCTTTTCCCAATTTTTTATTCCCGTGGAAAAGAATCGGCTGCATTTACTCGTCTCGCTCATCTTCCTCTTCTCCCTCCATGAGCTCCTCTTCGTCTGGGTCTTCTTCATGTGATCCATCTCCGTTCTGTTCCCTACCCTCAACGTCATCGTCCTGTTCGTCTTCTTCGTCCTCTTCCTCATCCCCTTTTTCCCATTCAGCCTCTGTCCCCACCTTTATAAGCTTGAATCCAGAAAACACATTTTCAGCACCAGAATCGTCTTCATCATCACTAGAATCCATATGACCAGTCTCGGTAAGGAACCCAGCAACTTTCGCAATGTCATGGTCGATACGATCCTTGACAGACTTCAACGAACGGAGAGCCACGCGTTTTTCGTGATAGTTCTTCCGTGACCCTACGCTGGGATCGTCTAGTGGTGGTGAATACCAGACACTATCATACTGGGGTCCTGTCGGGGAAGGAGTGTTGGTAGAGGGCTTGTCGTCCTTTTTACTAGCTTTCGAAGCAGATGCATCGGTGGAGTATTCCTATAAAGTAGTTAACAAACAACCGTTTTGCTATATGCGCCCATGTGCCACTAGAGGTTGCCTAGAGTAACCAACAATGGCTTTTCGTTTCTTGATAGAGGTATCTGAGACATGCAGCGATTGAAGGGAAACGTATGGCACGGCTTCCGTATTGTCCCGGAGCCGAGCTGGGCGTCTGGATTTCGTGGAGTGAGCTGGACACAATTAGCATCACCATGAATAGAAAAATTGCAGAGAAGGTTATACTACTAGCTCTGCATTTGAAGCCCAACCACCGGCAATTCATGCAAGTACCACCGTACATCACCATGGGCACTCCGGTTATATTGTAAGTGAAAACTACACATGACTTGAAGGCACCACCGTATCGAAAACAGTGCGCACACTCTTGTCCTTCTGGTGCCACCGTTCCAATCTGCTGCCCAAGTGCTGTATGTTTCTGTCGTTCAGTGACTAAATGTTGGGGCCCATGGGCCCAGTCCAAGGGCTGAGAAGTGGAGGCGCCTTTCTCTGCAAGAAGTTGAAATATGGAGGCGAGGTGACCTCGGGGGTTGAACTGGGTCGGATCAACTTTACCCTCGTCCGTGAGGCCTAGTATGCCTAGTAAAAGTTCAGAATCTTGCCTGAAATGATCCCAGATAGACATACTACCAGTAGAAGAACCATCATCGTCAGTTGAATCTCTGTGCTCCAAGGCTGCATATAGGATAGGAGTGAGTATTAAGATCCATCATTTTTGGTTGTCTATTTGAACTATTATACCTTTGGATTCCTTTTCCTTGTAGGGCATGTTGATGGAACGATGACCGGTAATAACCGATGAAGAATTCATGTGGCGAAGGCTGAAATCCTTCAAATGAAAAGTGAGAAAACAGGGAGACCAGGTAGATGCGAAAGGAAAGAGAGCCCATGTCATAATTCCACCACAAGACTCTATTTTATATGTACAGGCGGGATACCATATAGTCCACGTGATTATAGAGTAATAACTGCATCATGGGTTGCAGTGAAGCAAACAATCAGCTAGATAAATGTATAACACCTAGATGCTTACTGGGGGAGCCTCATCCCCTGCTGTCCTGAATCCTCCTAGGTATATCCAATGCCATATCCGTGTTCTACCAAATACTTTCTGTTAGTTAGCATCTCCATTGAGTATGAGTAACAGGTGATATCAAGCTAAATTCTCGCGGTTATTTCCAGATCACATCTAGCCACGAAGAGCAATCATGTTAGAGCGCATAGTGATTTATCAATGGCAGCATCAATTCTTTCACGCGTTGAGTTTCTACACGGAGGTCCTCTCTTGCGTACGTACACTCTCTTGTTATACTATTGGAAGATGTTGGTGAGCTTGGTGAAGTCTGGTTTGGCAGAATTCTGTAAATTACCCCCATAACTGCGTGAAATATAATTTTGCAAAGGCATTTCGTAGAACTAGAGCTGTGCGTTGCCCCCTTTCCGGACTGCCTTAGGAACAGCCCCACTATTTACTTGGCTGATGTCGCCATTCTGGGCGTGATGATAAACTTGATACTTTCCGAAAGTAGGAGCTTGGATTGAAAAGAGGAGATTTAACCGACTTGATATTGGCTACAGCTTGGTTTATACCGGATATGAAGGAACAAAAGATGCATGACTTGGGGAACTAACACAAGGAGAGCAGATATGGATTGATAAACATGACCCCAATCAGACGGTCTCTGGATCGTGTAAATCGACCAGTACTGCGTTCCCCTCCAAGAAAGTGGTTCAATCGAGTGCTTGAACAACTTGGGCCCAATCCCCAAATCCGTACGGCCCCGGAACGCTTTCACCATCGAATAGACTTGCCATGATTACTCGATCAGATTGCCCCCCTTGCCACGGTTCTCTTCCATGTTGAGCAATGATGTTATCATAAACTAACACATCACCTTCCTGCCAACGATGCAGAACCCGAATCTCATCGGTAATCTTCGCCAGGTGTGCAAGATACTTGTCAGGAATAGGCGTTCCGTCCCCAAATAGTTGTTGCGTGACCTTCTTGCGCGCTTCGACGTCAAACTGTGTACGTTTCCAATAGGCTGCCAGCCCAGTGAAAAGAGTCGGCAGGTTCGTACCGGGCTGCGTTCGAATGACAGGTAGCCGGTGGGTCAAGACAAGACCATCATCAGTCCACTCCCATGTCGTATGCTCTCCTCTACCGTAGCGGGCAATCTGAGCCTCAATCTTGCGGCGTTTTGTCTCTTCATCGTCGCCGTCTTGAACTTCTTTGCCAAAGGCCTGCTTTAGTGTGGATCCCCCTTCATACTGCTTCTCCACTTGGTAGGTCACTTTGCTTAGAACTCCTTTCTCCGCTAGCTCAGCGATAAACTCTGGGATTTCTTGCTGTGCGCGGTTGAACAGTTCCAATGAAGAAGAGATTGGTGATTCCCCGCCCTGGGACGGTGCATGATGTCCATAGAAAAAGATATACTCAGGCGCATGCGGTACTTGCGGCGACTCGTTATGGCTGTATATCAGGACCTCCTTGGGCGCTTCGTTGGCGGGCGCAACATTTGGCGCAAGAAGTGGTCTATCGACTACAATGCCGATAATCTCATGGGGCTTGTAGCCAAACGCATGCGCGAATTTGCTGAAGTCTTCAGCGTTATGGATGGGTAAATCGCGGAATAGCAGGGTTCCATGCCTTGCGAGCTTCTTGGTCAAAATGCCGTCTTTCTCTTGGAGAGTCTTGATCGTCTCGACGACAGCATCGAGAGTTGCCTTGGCGTCGGCCTTGGCGGGTCGCAACGCAAGTGGGATAACTGTGTTCTTGGGATGCGGAGGTCCAAGAATACGTTGGTTGGAAGTTGGAAGGTCAAAGGATTCAAATGCAACGACAGAGTCCTCCAACTGGAGATTGCCGATTTGCAGCTCTTGGGTAGTTGTTGCCATTTTGTGATCAAGCTAAATATGAATGTGATTGAGGTACAGTTCAAGCGCATGCCGTACATTTGTAGTTAAATGCACGACCCCTCACAAATGCCGAAATGCCGGCGTATTATTGGATAGCCTTGAAATGATTCGTGATACAAGACACCTTTCAAGCCCATTATGGTCTCATAATCAATTGCCGAGCGATAGCGCGATTATGCCATGCGCTTAGAGTGTTACGTGCTTGTCTGGTCGTCCCCACAGGGTATACGAGGTGTCTTCAGTTATATAAAATAAACTTACTCGGTCCTGTATAGCAGGGATTACATCTGCAGTGATTCCATCATCTGCACTCCCACACAATAATAATGTCGACACCGTCGGTGAATTCCGAGGCCAAAGCCAATATATCTACGACTGTGGAGAGCCAAGATGAACACCCACCACCTCGTCCCAGATTCTTTTATAGTACACTTTTTCAAATCCTGGTCGTAGGATTATGTGCATTCTGCGCGCCAGGAATATGGAGCGCAATGAATGGTTTGGGAGTGGGCGGATCCCAGAGCCCAGATTTGGTCAACACGGCCAACGCGTTACTATACGCCTTGATGACAGTGACCTGTTTCGCTGGTCCACTCGTCACCAATGCGATCGGCTTTCGCTGGACCCTGACATTGGGGTCACTTGGATACCCACTCTACGCAGCGGGCTTGTATTTGAACAATCGAACTGGCGCAACATGGCTTGTGTATGTCGGTTGTGTCACTTGCGGCATCAGCGCCGGTTTCTTTTGGAGTGTTGAGGGTGCCGTCGCCACAGGGTACCCCGAGCAACACAAGCGTGGCCGCTACATTGCAACCTGGTTCACGTTCCGTAATTTTGGCAATATCATTGGTGGTACGGTCTCTTTGGGGATAAACCACAGCGTCAACCACCGCGGCCAGGTTGGGTACCAGACGTATCTCGCTTTCATTGCCATCCAATGTCTTGGACTGGTCATTGGGCCTCTCCTGTCAAACCCAGAGAAAGTGCAAAGAGACGATGGAACGCGTATCGAGGCCCCCCGCGGTATCCACTGGCGTGACGAGCTCCGCGCGATGTGGCGACTGGCAAGGAGTAGATCGATCTTGCTCCTTGTCCCGCTGTTCTGGTATTTCGGGTGGATCCAGGCATACCCTGGCACATATCTTGCGACCTATTTCACTGTTCGCGCTCGCGCACTCGGAAGCTTCATGTCCGCGGTTGTGGGAACGCTGGCGACTTGGTTGGGTGGATCGTTAGTGGATCTGCCTTGGTTGAAGAATCGGAAGCACAGAGCAGTTGTCACATTCATCGTGATTGCACTCATGAACAGTGCGACCTGGATCTGGGCGGTCATCATTCAGAACGAGTACCGACATACCAACCCTGTGTTGGACTGGGGCGATCAGAGCTCCTTCGGTCGTGGCTTTGGCCTGTATCTCTTTGAACGCATCAGTCTGGGCTTGGTCGAGAACTATATATACTGGTGTATCGGAAATCTCTCGGACTCCCCTGGCGATCAAATTCGATACAGTTCATTGCTTCGAGGTATCGAAACGGCTGCAGTTGCGGTTGGATTTGGCGTTCAGGCTGTGCCGACAGTGTTGATTGCAACGGCGAGTATTAATCTCGGCCTTTGGTTCATCGCCTTGCCTTTCAGTTATTATGCCACTCTTCAAGTCGTTCGAAAGTTCGAATTATTAGATAAAGGAAAGCAGAGTCCGGATGGAAGCGATAGAGTGGCCGAACAGGTGGCTGAACGATAAACGCTACCGTTTCAAGCTTGACCTGAGTGGTTTTTGTACCTACGTCCAAAATATAAATACATCTGACGGTTTGAATAATCTACCATATCCTGAACTATTTTTGAGCTTGTCATCATCAAGGTAGGGCTTAGTTGGGGTAAATTGTAAAGGTTGGTCTCTCTGTTCTTCTATACACCGAAGTAGACCTCCGCAAAGCCCACAAAGCCCACTAAGCCCAAAACCCAAAACCCAAAACCCAAAGCCCAACCCGCCCCAACCCACTAATGGGCTGGGTTTTGGGCCCGGTCATTAAGCGCACCGATGGGCCCTGGGCCCGGGGTAAGGGCCTATTGGACGTTAGTGGGGGCCCAATAGGCCCTAAACAATACAAACATTCCAAAAAAACAGAAGTTTACTTAGAAAGTAGTTAGAACCTTGGGATATAGCGGTTAACAAGACGCCGGTTTGTAAGCGCTAACACCCCCTTAATAGGCTACGATGGGGGCCTTATGGGCCCTCACGAATGGGCTTTGCGGAGGTCTACGTCACCGAAGTGTGTTCAAGGCATTCACTTCGGCCACTTGAATTTTCGTTGTGATTAATGAGCGAAATCTCAAAATGGGAAGAATATATCCTACAAGATGCAAATCTCGTCATTTAACCGAGGCCCAAGACGCAGTAGATTGAGAATGCCAAGACAGCGAGTCGGCTATATGCGAATCGCTTAGATGGTATATATTCGACACGACTAGGAAGCTTGTCCAAAACATGAACCATAATTGCAACATGTATCGGTTACAAATCCAACGCGCTCTGCGATCACAACGGCCTGCGCTTTTGCGTGGTCCATGTCGGACAGGGATGTCCCCTCAAGGTCGCGCGGCCTTCTCCACCTCTGAGCGGCGCGACATTATGGGAATGGCCGGCTTTACGGAAGAGCAGCTTACAGTCCGTGAAGCGATCTCGCATATATGTTCCAAATTTCCGAATACATATTGGCAGGAGCGTGATCAACAAGAAAAAGATCCAAAGGAATTCCATGCTGCATTGGCTAAGGATGGATGGCTTGGAATTGCTTTGCCCGAATCGCTTGGAGGTGCTGGTTTAGGTATAGTTACCGGACTAAAGATGATTTATTCTGATCGCTAACTTTGCTTTCAGGTATATCCGAGGCCACAATGATGATGCAGACCATTACACAATCTGGCGCAGGTATGGCAGGTGCTCAGGCTATTCATGCCAATGTCTATGCCACACAGCCATTGGCCAAGTTTGGCACCAAGGAACAGCTAGAAACTACCATTCCAAATATTATCAACGGCACATGGCGCACATGCTTTGGTGTCACCGAGCCAAACACTGGCCTTGAGACTCTTAAGCTCACTACCTTGGCTAGCAAAACTGCTGACGGATATTCGGTCACTGGCCAGAAGATCTGGATTACCTGTGCGCAAGTGGCATCAAAGATGATCCTTCTAGCCCGAACCACTCCTCTTGAAGAAGTCAAGAAGACCAGTGAGGGTCTCTCCTTGTTTTGCATCGATATCGACCGTGAAAACCCTGGTTTGGATCTGCGCAAGATCAAGAAGATGGGTGGATGCGCTGTGGATGCCAACGAAGTCTTCTTTGATAATTATAATATTCCTGCAAACACGTTAATTGGAAAGGAGAACCAAGGATTCAAGATTATCCTCCACGGTATGAACGCAGAGCGATGTCTTCTGGCCGGTGAGGCACTTGGTCTTGGCTATGCCGCTCTGGAAAAGGCCTCGCAGTACGCCAAGGACCGAGTTGTCTTTGGACGGCCAATTGGTCAGAATCAGGGTGTGGCGCATCCGTTGGCGGACGCATTCATGAAGCTGGAGGCGGCGAAGCTAGCTACCTACCACGCTGCACGTCTCTATGACGCCAACGATGGATCGGTGCCTTTCCATGAAATTGGTGTCGCGTGCAACAGTGCCAAGTATTTGGCTGCAGAGGCGGCTTTCTCGGCGTGCGAGCGGGCAGTTCTGGCGCATGGTGGTATGGGATATGCGGTTGAGTATGATGTCGAACGATATATGCGAGAATGTTTCGTACCTCGCATTGCACCTGTGAGTCGGGAGATGATCCTGAATTATGTGAGCGAGAAGGTGCTTGATTTACCTAGAAGTTACTAGGTATTCTCTGTCCAATAAATGAGCATAAATCCAAACGTATTTTGCTGTTAAGTGTTGATTGAGACTGGGAAGATGGAATGCCCAGAGTCCAGTATTTTCCATAATAGTAGATACTAGATACCGAAATTCAAGACGACCACACTGTTGATTCCACCTGCGAGTTTTATACCTCCATCTTTTACCCCTGCCCTTTCCGTTCCTTCTCCATTCCCTCTCAGGTTTTTCTTACTTCCATCGTTCTTTCCTTCTTTTACCTTTGCTTTCTTCCTTTCCCTTTCCTTATATTTCATCAATGCCTTTATTGACTTCTTTCTTGATCTAAGCCTTCATTGCTTGAATATCACCTGGGTATGCGCCACATATAATGACTGAGAACCCACTTATTGCTAATCACTCCATTAGTTGTGGCCATGGATATTGGTCCGCAAAGCCTTTCAAATGACATTGACGACAATGCCTATGCCATCGGAACGGGCACAGATATATGCTGAACCTTGGGCAAGGCAGGCCAAGGACTTGGGCTCGGTCACGGTGAAAGAAGACGACTACTTCAAGACATCACACTCCGATTCATGGTCAACCGCCCGGGTGTTAGGGGACCAACAGTTCGTCACCTGCATGGTTTGCGGGGAATAACCACGCACCACAACTTCTGGTCCAATGCTCGTCATATGGAGGTGGCTTTGACCCAAAAAGTTGGGAACCTAGCACACCATCCCTGTGTTCCCTGCTTGCATCGATTGGGTCCTTTTTCCCACTGTGTCGTGGAAGATGGCATTCCCAGCTTTGAGTGTTGCACCAGTTGATACTGGGAAGATGACCCCGAGCAACGAGTTCTTCATGCCCCTTACAGTACCAGCCTTCGCCATAGCCTTAGTCTGAACACCATCAATCCACACCAACGATCAGTGCTATCCACAATGTATACCGAAACGGCTGTGGCCGATGTCAAATGTAAAGGTATCTTGTGGAAAAAATATCATTGAGAACCACCTGGATAGAGATATATTGATATCTCAGAAAACGTCATCGCGCCCTTTACTGCAAATATATAAGGTGTTAGCCTTAGTGTTAGCGTTCTTATTGGCATAATCCGGACCTAGGATCTACTAATGAGGCAAGGCCGACATCGGCGCCTCGTCAACTATAATCTTTAATTTGCCCAATGCTCCGGTCCATATAGAAGACGCATAAAGGCAGCTATCGATGCATCCCGAGAGGCTCCTGATATGAACAAAAAAATAAATGTGCGTCACTAACAAGCTGACAACGAGGCGCACCCAATTGGCGGGGAGGGTTCACCCTTCTCCGGTTTCATTCTCGGACCGGCAGACCCACTTTGTTGAGCTTCCGCCTTTTATTTCCTGTCCCCCTCTCTTCTCCAGACTTTCACTTTAATTGCTGTATCTGGGTGTGATTTTTACATATCATACTCTCATTATGCTTCCCCAAACTCGGGCACGCGTGCCCGCTGCTCTGCGGAGCTTGTCCCGGTCTAACCCTACGTGAGTTGATTCAATTGTCAATTGTTTCTCCGGCTAACTTCTCTCTTCCTAGTCGGGCTCTCTCAACCACACTCCCTCGCTTCCAGAATGTTGACAAGGCCCTCAACAAGGTCTCCCGTACCATCACCCAGCCCAAGTCACAGGGTGCTTCTCAGGCAATGCTGTACGCAGTCGGCTTGAAAGAGGCGGACATGAACAAGGCCCAGGTCGGAATTTCGTCAGTGTGGTTCAACGGCAACCCTTGCAACATGCATTTGCTTGACCTCAACAACAAGGTCCGCCAGGGTGTCCAAGATCAGGACTTGATTGGCTTCCAGTTCAACACCGTCGGTGTCAGTGATGCAATTAGTATGGGTACCCCCGGTATGCGTTACTCTCTGCAGAGTCGTGATCTTATTGCCGATTCCGTCGAGACCGTGATGGGTGGACAATGGTACGATGCCAACATCAGTATTCCTGGCTGTGACAAGAACATGCCCGGTGTTTTGATGGCCATGGGCCGTATCAACCGCCCCAGTCTGATGGTCTACGGTGGAAGCATCAAGCCCGGCTGCGCTGCTACCCAGAACAACGCCGATATCGATATTGTTTCTGCTTTCCAGGCCTACGGTCAATTCCTTACCAAGGAGATCACCGAGCCCCAGCGCTTTGACGTCATCCGCCACGCCTGCCCCGGCGAGGGAGCTTGTGGTGGTATGTACACTGCCAACACCATGGCTTCCGCCATTGAGACCATGGGTATGACCCTTCCCGGTTCATCTTCCAACCCCGCCAACTCCCAGGCCAAGTACGTTGAGTGTCTAGCGGCTGGCGGTGCTATCAAGAGGCTGCTCGCCGAGGACATTCGCCCTCGCGACATTCTTACCCGCCAGGCCTTTGAGAACGCCATGGTTGTTGTCAACATCACCGGTGGCTCCACCAACGCTGTGCTGCACTTGATTGCCATCGCTGACTCAGTCGGCATCAAGCTCACCATTGATGACTTCCAGACCGTGTCCGACCGCATTCCCTTCCTGGCTGATCTCAAGCCCTCTGGCAAGTACGTCATGGCCGATCTCCACAATATTGGTGGTACCCCGGCCCTTCTGAAGCTCCTCCTCAAGGAGGGTCTTATTGATGGCTCTGGTATCACCGTTACTGGTGAGACTATGGCTCAGAACTTGGAGAAACTCCCTGGCTTCCCTGAGGACCAGAAGATCATCCGTCCCTTCTCCAACCCTATCAAGAAGACCGGTCACATTCAGATCCTCCGTGGTTCTCTCGCCCCTGGTGGCAGTGTCGGCAAGATTACCGGTAAGGAGGGTATGACCTTCACCGGAAAGGCCCGCGTGTTCGATGGCGAGGATAACTTCATCGCCGCTCTGGAGCGTGATGAAATCAAGAAGGACGAGAAGACTGTTGTTGTCATTCGCTACTGCGGTCCTAAGGGTGGCCCTGGGATGCCTGGTATGTGCAATGAATCCAAGTAATCGCTGACCATAATGCTAACATTATTATAGAAATGCTCAAGCCCTCTGGTGCCATCATGGGTGCTGGTCTCGGCAAATCCTGCGCGCTCATCACCGATGGTCGTTTCTCCGGTGGTTCCCACGGTTTCTTGATCGGTCACATTGTCCCTGAGGCTGCCGTCGGTGGTCCCATCGGTCTTGTCAACGACGGTGATATTATCACCATCGATGCTGAGAAGCGCATCCTTGATGTCGAACTCACTGACGCCGAGTTTGCCGATCGCAAACAGAAATGGGAAGCCCGCAAGGCTGCTGGCGAGCTCCCTGAGACTGGTCTTACCATGCGTGGTACCCTGGGCAAATATGCCAGAAATGTCCAGGATGCCAGCTTGGGTTGTATCACTGATGCTGTAGAGTAAATCTTTCCTTGGTTTTCTTTTTTTTTTATCTCGGGCCCTGTATGGAACACAAAAAGCGATTCCCCGTTTTGGAGCCTGTCGTATATATGATATCATTTTGAATAATATTTTCTTCCTTGTTCAATTCGTTACCCTTTGGTGATTTTCATTTCGTTTTGGTTTAGTCTTATCACATCTTGGCCTCTCTGGGTGCATTACTACAGACGATTATATGTCTCCGTCACAAGATCTTAACGTATTAGTTATTTTATGCAGCCGAGCGCTAATCTCTGATTGAACTAGACCAATACCTTACAGGAACAGCTGCGTGTTGATTTAAATAACATTTGATATCCTTTCCTAGCCCCGGAAAGACCAAAGTTGATCTCCTTACTATTTAGGTGCTCTTTTAGTCCATATCTAATACCGAAAATCAATTACAGGACACAAGGTGGTACTCATCACTTCACAACACTTGCATACATGTGGGTAGGTTCCTCTCGTTGGCTGTGTTCTTTCGGACTTCAGATGATGACGCATAATAAATAGGATTTTGGCAATGTAGTGTATCCCATCACCCCTCCCTGGCAAGGTGAGATCACAAATCCATCCATTCTTAGGTCCCGATCTTCGGAAATCACCCGACGGTATCAAAGCACCACCTTAATGAGGCTTCTACTTCATTACGAGCTCTAGCCCGTCAGACAGCAAGGATGCGCCTGTGACGCCCTCAATTCCTCGTTACCAGCTTTCGGCCAAACCATCACCCTGCCAAGATCGGAGACAATATCATACGGATCGTGCATAATTCACCTCTCGATTTTCATTGCTCCCTCCCACGGCCCTCTTTTCTTTGGCATATCTGGCCGAGTCCGAAGATTGTCCGTAGGATCCAGGGTCCATCCCCACCGTGATCCTCTTCCTCCTTCTCGGCCACACCATCGTGAACCCATGAGTGTTATCGCCGAGACCTCGCATTATCGAATGCTATCAAAAATAAGCACTCGACCTTAGTTGATCACTCCTTCCCATGATGACTTACCGAGAGGTTTTTCAATGACTGGATGCAATCCCTCATTTGTACTTTGATAGCATCGAAGGAGAGTCTGGAAGGATGATTCTCGGGTAACCAGTCCATCTTCGGTAGTATGAAAGAAATTCAGAAAACCCCGTGAACTTGAGAGAATCGCGCAGACAGATTCGAGAACGTGGAACTGTCCCAAGCCAAAATCAATAGCATTACGGATCGTCTTAGATTTAAATAGAAAAGCGGAGGATAATAAAAAGTCACATAGACACAAGATTCTATCTAGAATCGATATCCTTCTATTATTGAGGTTGTGTATATTAATCGCAGTGACCCCAAATAGAGAGGCTCCATAGAATAACTGACTGGCTCGCAGTGTTCTGAAGACGATGCATTATATCCACTAGTTCTTACCACATGAGCCTTTGATATCCATTTTATATTAAGACAACATACTATATCCCAACAAAACAAAATAGCCAGCCAGTAAATCCTGTCGGCCCATAATCTTACCATACAATGCTCCAACAAAGCTCGAGCATCGAGCCCGGTGGCTGAATCAGGTGTCCTTAGTTCAAAATATATCTATACTAGTGTCCATTAGACTCTGCGTAAGCCCTATGGGAGGGAGATAGAAATCTTCCAACGCCAGTGCTAGGGCTACTTCCGATCTTATGCAGCCCGCACATCATGGTGATCTATGTTTAGGCTACTCATATAGGCCAACCGTATAGAGCTCGGCCTACCGTCATACCCATCACCAACACATCTGTAATGCATATTGGCGCTCCTATTTTGGTGACTTTCTATTTTTGTGAACGACTTCAAATTCATTACGGTCAAGATGTTTTAGCTAACCATGATGAGAAGCTTCACGTGCTAAACCCTCACACGAACCACGCATTTCTCGGATTTAATACTACTATCAAAAGGTGCTCAGCTACACGTGAGATTTCAAAGCACGGGAAGAAGAGCACCACTTGTTAACTTGCCTCTATAGTATATCCGACTATGCGGCGAGGAATGGCCCAGATTTATTAATAGACACGATGGCTGTCACCGTCCATCGTCCACTTCTTCAATCAAACCCACCGACGTGTGCTTGTCGTCGCTCCTCAATAGCGAGACGATTGATCATTCTCTCTATTCTCTCGAGAGATTGAAGGTCCTTTTCAGTAGCCCAAGGCTGATGTACTAAGTATCGGATGGACGTCTGTATCCCAATGACCGCATCCATAGCAGGAGGTATGAGTTGCTCCGACGGGATAGCCACAATTGCGTCATCTAGGTCCTGGGGAGTAGGTTCAACATCAACGATAAACCCGGCGACATTTGAGGCACCCTCGAAATCCTCGTCCACGGGATGAGTGAAGTTCTCAAGGCTGGTGACCGGTCGGCCATCAGGGTTGTTTCGTGTGACGGTCTCGTAGAGAGTTGTGAGATCCGGTGATTTTGGGGCAGTGATGAACTCAATTTGAGGGTCTAGAAGACTGCTCTTCCGGAACGCTCTGTAGATAATGGCGTTTGCCATATCGTGACGCCAGCTTCGGGTTGCCCAAGATATAGTGTGATAAAGACTCATCATGTGGACTGGGTTTTGGGGCGATTCCATACCCGCCACAATGTACGCTAGCCATTGCCTGCGATAGTAGTGTTTGAGAGTGTGGGAAATTCCCAAGTTGATCGGCTGTTGCTGATTCGCACTGGGAGTTTGAGCGGGAAATAGTTGAACGTGAACATTGGGAGGCGGCGGCATAGCCTCGATGGCAGCTTGGTGGTCTGGATGATTGTCCAGCAGAAGCAAAACTCTGCGCTCACCTACATGATTGTAGAAGAAGAGCAACCATTCTTCCATGATCGATTGAGTTAGCCAGGCTTGCCTATGATATCGCCAATGGCAGTCCATGGCTTTGAGGTTCACCTTGCGAAGTGCCTCTGGCGTATGGGTATGTCCGATGACCCAAAGGGGTAACCGGTCTGATCCAGTGCTGTTTGTACAGAGCATGAGACAGATGCGGGAGTTTTCCCTGTTTGTTATCAATTGGTCCTGGACAGGCGAAGCGCCGAACGGAGGCTTTCGCCAGAAAAGACCGGTCTCGTCCATATTGTAGATATCGTCTTCTGGGAATTCACCACATAGCGTTTTCAGGGCTTTCAATTCCTTGCGACCTGTTTGCAGTGGGGGTTGAGACACGCCATCTTGCTGATCATGGACTTGAGTGGCATATCGTTTCTTGAATCTGTTCAGCCACCCATTACTAAAGTGAGGAAGTGGCAGTGTCTGGTATTCTGGAATTTGATTCCAGATTTCGCGCGCTTTGGTAATAATAGCATCGGCCGTAGGTGTTGGGCCTTCCTGTCTTGCGAGCCATTCATAAAGTGGTGTCTCCAGGAGGGGCCATTGTGGTGCCAATTGACGTCTAAAGGTAGTTGCCGGACCGGCATCAAGGTGGCCGAACCTTTTGGATAGGATTGTGGAGATGGTCGATTGGGAGAGGCTTCGTCCATAAGTTCGTTCAAACCAAGCAGAACATTGGGATTGCGATGGACGGGGACTTTGACTTTGTGCCCAAACTCGAAGAGCTTGTTTATGCGTCCCCGAGATTCCCAAAGACTGACGTTTTGATGGGGTCGACATGATATGCAATTCACTTGGGAGATAAATTCTCGCATGGGAAGTCGGGTAATCAATACCGTAATTACAACCGATCTCAATTCGTATATTATCAAGTCTACCGCCTTCAACGTGCTCGTAACGACGTTTTGTTCAGTTTTAATACAATTATCGTCAATTCCGCGCATGTCGATATTCCACTGAACACCTACAGCTCATTCTCTAAGGATATCCCTCTATCCAATGGTGACAGGATTTTTATCATCAACCTTGTGATATCTGTGCGGTTCCGAGAATATATGTAAAACGACAGTTCGATCTCCAGAACAAGATGGAAGCCAACCGATGATGTGCAGAGTGAAAATCGCCATTGGTGCTGGCAAAACACAGACACGAAGTTCCAAGTTTGGAAACAACCTGTTGCAAGACACAGCTACTTACACAGTGTCCTACGATCTGGCAATGCTTAGCGTTGCGACAAAGAAGAACCTTAACGATCCCACTGCTGGCCATGTTTCATCGTTCCTCGCTTTGTTTACTAGGGTGCCTAATGTGCCAGTTCATGTGCCCCCTCTCAATTATGGTTCTTCAGGAACCCTCCATATCACAGTCCAATGCCTCTTAACATCGCCCTTGTGCCGATAGTTTGTTTCCCCGCTACGAGGCCGAGAAATACGGGAGATCTGCGTATGTGAAGGATCAGGGTGTTCAGGTTCCCCGTCCAGGAACTGAAATATTAACAAATCAAAATAAATCAAAACAACAGACGAAAGATTACAGGTCTCAATATACATATATAGAAAAGCAGATCCATTCACGCATGGAAGGAAAATAATCGAGCGCCAACACCACATCTCCCCCCAAGGTATAAATGACTGACCCTCACCGAGGCCCGCCTCGACTCGACCCACCCCATCTGAATCTCCAACTTTTGACAGCTATTCAGAACCGATTTCCTGGAGTGCTCCCTGGTGCCTCCCAGATAATTGGATGACCCTCCAGCTCTGTAGCGATCGCGCTTGCACGGGTACGTGGAATAGGCTCATTCCAGCTCCAGTGGCCCTGCTGCGTCGACGGCGAACCAGGACCCGAGTGAACTCCCACTCCAGGTGATAATGTACGTACAGTCGGATCTGGACTCGAGACGGCGGTCATGTCGATAGGGCCTGATTTGTGGGTAGGAACAGAACTTCCAACTTCGCTTTTCCCGTTGTCACCATTGTTGAACAGGGCCCAGCGTGCGGTACGTTCGGTACGTCCATCTTCCGAGGACATCCACCGAGAGTATACGCGGTTGCGACCGAGAACGAAGAACAATGCCACCAATACGCCGACGAAGACCACGGCTGCAACGGCGATACCTGCAATAGCCCCCGTGCTGAGCCCGTGCTTATCATCGCCGCTTTTGTCGTCACCGCTGGAACTGCTACCCCCGCCGTCTCCTTCGGCGGGCATGGGCTGGCCTGGGACTAGCATGTAAGGGTACTTCAGAGCTTTTGCGTATTGCGTTTCCCATGACTGGGATACGTTCTGTGGGTTTACCAGTCAGCCTAAATTCATGCCGAGGGAAACTGAGATTCATACCCCGTTGATGGCTCCGACCATTCCATTCTTTGTGCATGAATCTATTGCAGTGCAATAGAAGAATATGGGCTATATCAAACAATCGTTAGCCTTAGTCCAAGGTTGCGGGCATGTTTTTTTTTAGCTAAATACATACGTCGGTATTATTGACTCGCAAAGACCATGTTGGAGGCTACATTGCATATATTAGCCACATTGCTTCGATGAACCTACTACTGTGGAATTCGAAGGTACTATACTCACGGGTCCAACGAGTTGTCCTTCAAGCAGGTTGAAATCTGCAAAGGCTCCGGAATAAAAGATGTCCCCGCTTGCTGGTACACAAGGAGCGCCATAATCTGCTTTTACGACAGAATGGTTCGTTGGGTAAAATTCAAAGACGACAATGTCGCCCACATTGGCCTTAATATCGGGTGGATCAAACTGATGTGGATTTGACTTGGGTCCCACCTGGATCGTATGGGTCGCGATACCGGTCGAGGAGGATGTTGTTGAAGTTGGTGTCGTTGATGCTACATTAGATGTGGCAGTTGCAGTTCTGGAGGAGTCGGCAGCCACTATCGTGGTTGCCAAAGCCAGCCATGCCAGTGGCCGGACTAGTTGGCTCACAAACATCATGTACAGGGGAGGGTTGACGATTCGCCAACACAATATGCACACCGCAATCTGATAATTTGGAATTTTGCACGGAGGAAAATGGGGACGAGGGTGAGAAAAGAAGACTAGGTTAGAAAACAAAGAATTTCAAATTTCAAATTTCAAAGCCAGGTCTTGGACAGGGCTGGGTATCAGAAATGTTCTTTTTGGACGGAACAGTACAATGGAGCTTTGATGGGTTCGATAGGAAAGGTCTCATAGTGGTCACTAGGTTGGTATATCAACTTCCTAATTAGTTATGTATATTTCTAGCGTGGATGCAAAGGGGAGTTCTAGTAATGATGCAGCCAGCGGTTTACTATTTTACCAGATGCGAATGTTTCCATATCTTCTCATTCTTCTCGTAACTACGTAAAAAAAATGCACTGCCCTCTTCAGCTCGGATATGAAAGTACGAAATTTCCATGGATCTACCATGGACTTACATGGTATTGGGTAGGATTATGGGATATGGATGTCAGAAAAGCCAAGCCTGGGTCCGCTGGCCCCTCGAGCCCCTCAAGGCCCCCCATCGGGCTTTGTTCCATAAAAAGACCTTTGTGTGCCTCGGATTTATTTTTTGTTTTTGCCTTCGAGCAAAGAATCTGAAACGTGAAACGTTTCTGCGATCGGAAGCTTAATATGATCTAGATGTGAAGATCTCAGATCAAAACTCCTGTACGGAGGACTCCCTAGAGTCCCTACCTCGAGGACTTTGTACCATTTAATCTATTCTAACCCTCCGAGCACATGTTAGCTTATCAGTACTGTGCTCGAACAAGTCTAAGCATTGTCTATATAGGGCTAGCCTATATTGTGAGGCTGCGAGACTGCCACGATTTCATGCCAAGACATCACATGGCAGTTCGGAACTGACATGATTCGAGGGCTTATCAGCTCAATGCCAAGGATTTCTTTTCAAGCTTCCAATCTTAGCCCCTTTGTCTCGGCATTAAATGCCAGATTCGTTTCTTGTTAAGTCCGAATTCGGTGTCCAAATGTACAAAGTGTCCTGGACTACGGAGGGTACTCCGTAGATTGATACTGTACCGAACCGTTAGACACAGTTTCGGTGAATTCTCTAGTTAGGGACATACCGAATTTAAGCAGTTCCTCAAAATCCGGACATTATCTTCTTTGCTCTCTACTACGCTGTCAAGTGGCTGTGCTAGGTGCATCACCGCCTCTTTATCCCCGCATTTAATGTCGCTTTTCGAAAGAGACGAATTCTAATTAGCGCGCGTCACAATCACCTATCGAATGGAATTGGGGGCTAGCCTTGATTCCGTTTAATTGTAAAATGCGACTTGCATATGAATCGGCCCCATAGAGGTTGCATAATAACCGGACTACCGTCCAAAGATGGCATACCGCTTCAGCCCCAAAGCCCGCACTTTCTCACCTGGACATACTAAATCCGGTTTCCTTGGTCAAATATGTGCGGTAATAAAGGCAAAGATGAAGGGCTGAGCTCCCTACAGGGCAATCATTAAGGTTACCCTTCCCCTTCATACACTGATGAGACAGCTTGCTGGCCGGCCTCCTTCCGATGTCTACTCCAACTTTCTTCTCTTTGATCATGTACAATTCCATGCTCCATATAAATATGACCACCAGCGACTACACAATTTTGAGGGGGACACAAGAGGCACTACCACTTTGTATATATATGTGTGTGTGGAACGAACGCTGCCCCGCCGTTCCTCCTTCGGATAGTCGCATCGGCGAAGCCAATATAACAAAGACCCGGACCATGCTTGGCATAACAATGGTTAACTGGTCAACCCGCTCTATTAATCTAATGATTGATGAAAGACCATAGTGACGTTATTTTGATAAACACTCGTTAACCAAAGTTCGATTAGAATAATACGAATGTAGGCGAAAAACCATGTATACTAGAAGTATGATCTCGGAACTGTAGACCATGGAATACAGAAGGTATAATATATCACAATCTGAATCCAGCAACTAGGATCATAGCGGTTAACAGAGATTGCATAGTTGACTAAGTGTTCAATGGTCGTCGCCTGCATGTTTAGGCGAGCTTGCAACGGCCTATTGGCACTGGAACGTATCGTACATAGTTAGGAACTCTACATTTCAATATATAGACCTGTCAGAAAGGTGAGGTGGAATCATTGGATACTCTCCTTCCACCACCTCGAGGCACGCGATCGTGATAGTTGGAACATTATAGCGTTGCTTTGAAAGAATATATGTACACACTTAACTTGACTAGCCTACGCTCGAGTTAGAAATGTTGATCTTTAAATATGAACAGTCTCTGTAGGAAAGTCCATCTCACAAATTTTGGGGCTCAACGGTCGGGGATCTCCGTGATCGCCCATATGCCACGGCCACCGAGTCAAGCGCAATAAAACTTGGCACCGCAGATCGTCTTGTTTAGGGCCCCAGCTCCTCTGACACATGGTTGACCGTGAATCTGCACATTCTCTTTGCTTTCTCTTCATATCCAAGAAAACTAATTGAAATGTGCACTTCCCGGGAAATCAATCACATTAACATCATTAAATCCTGATCCTGTACTCCCTACGGAGTACTCCACAGTTGATTTCATTTACAAAGAATAATGGTCCTTAGCAGATTATGCTTCTCGTCTGAGAAATGAAGTACATATAAAGCAATCAATCGATTGATTCTTAATCTAGCCTAGTTAAATATTGATAGCATCTCCCTTTGTTTAATGCATTCCTAAAAATTAGGTGACCTCCGGCCGTGCGTCTCGCTTATCAAACAACCAACACTGGACCTCGAGCAGCTGGCATATATAACTTTCATTTAGCAACATCGGAAAGTGAAGTATTCTAGATATGGGAGTACTCTATACGAATATTGCTAACCTTTTGGCCATAAATCATTCACACATGAACGCGGCCGGAGGATCAGGGGTATGCTCAGTTGAAGACATATTCAAGGTACAAAGCAGTCGAAAAATGTAGGAAAAAATAGAACTTGTACTATAGGGGACTAGCGCTATATGCAGAGTAGCTCAGGTGATTCAACAGAGGCATGGATCTTGGGGGATCAGAGCACTTAAGATGGGATCATCCCAGAATTATGTGGCTGAGGTGGATTAGCCGCCGTGCTTTGTACTATCTTGATCCCATAATAAAGGAAACCTGTATTAAAAGGTACGTGCCAAGGATGGACTGGACCTAATCAGAATTAGCCCCTATGACAGTAGTGAAATCGCTGATAGTTTCTACCGTAGCAATATCAGGCCTCGTTTCACTTGAACCACCTAGGCAACTCTTAAGCGGAGAATTGCCTTATTTTAGGTCCAATAATGATTCGGTTGCTTCTATTTCCTATCAAGATCTATAGATGCTGTCATACGAAAATAAGCTTAAGGTGCGAGGCCCTCGGGAGTGTCCGCGCTCACTCGGCTCCATCCATGTCCAATTTGGAACAAAGGAACGAGATATCAACAAAACCCGCCTCTATCCTGGAGAGAACTCTCCCTCTTAATTGCCCCCGAGATTGCTCTTGACCACGTTTGTTGCCATCATGAGGGTTTATTTGTTCTTTTTCGCTGTTTTGGCTCTGCTTATAGTGGGCATTCATGCGGCAGAGTCAGATAGGGTTCTTTTCCCTTCCTGTGCAGTACGTACATATCCCAGCAAAACTGTGTTCAATACTAACTACAATGCGTTAGATTACCTGTGACAGGACATTGTTCTCCAATTGCTCATTAAGCAACGATACATCATGTTTCTGTGCAAGTAGCTCTGGTCCCACAGCCCTGTTGGATTGCGTTCAAACCAACTGCACAACGAAGGAATTATTCAGTGCGTCTCGATCCTGATTGGTATACAAAGCCTACTCTGACCATCCTAGCTTCGAGACGTCTGTATGAGAAAGAATGTCATATAGCACCACTCAAAGGCCCTCCTGTGGTCGACGCCGCCACTCTAATCCCTCTTATTCTTGCGTCGTTTTTCTTCCTTATAAGAATGATTGCCAAGTGCAGCGGCCTTGCCGGCGGATGGGGATTGGATGATTATACAATAATCGTTTCATATGTTAGTGTCAGTGTTTGATGTTCCCTCGTCCGGTATTAACAGCCTCGCAGGCCTTGGGAGTCGCCATATACGTTTGTTATGTTTACTGTAAGCCAGGAGTCCCAGTGTTTTGATTTCATAACGAACAAGCACTAAAAGAAATCAGCTATCCTCAATGGCTTCGGCCAAAATATCTGGGACATCCCTTTTCCCACAATCACCAGGTTTTACCAGGTTCTTGCCCTCTCTCCGAGCCCTCAGTTCTGGTCTAACAAGAGCAGTATTTTCAAGGTCTTGCTGTGATGTATAAGGTTCAGATTTCTCTCGCAAAGATCTCTGTGTGCCTCTTCCTACTCCGCATCTTTAGATCACGGACATTCCGCACCTTGGCATATGCGCTCATCGGTATCAACGCCGCCATCGGTATCTCTTGGGCCTTTGTGGATTCCCTCCGCTGCTTGCCGGTACGCCTAACATGGACCGGCTGGATGAACGAGGAACCCGCTCAGTGCATCGATTTCATCAGCTCGATTCTCGTCAACTGTCTGGTGAACATCATTGTTGACTTTATATTAATCATAATTCCGGTGTATGAGGTGATCAAATTGCAGTTGCCTTTACAAAAGAAGCTATCTGTGGGGCTGATGTTTATTGTGGGCTCTGTGTATGCACTCGCTAAGCTGGTCCTTTCTTATTTACGTGTTACTAACCAATGTCACAGTCTCTTAATCATTGCGATAATCCGAGTCGTCGTCTTCTGGAACAACCGCTGGGGCGCCAATCAGACTTTCGGTCTATATCCCGTTACTCACTGGACGGTCATTGAATCTCAGATTGCTGTTATGTGTGCTTGCCTGCCTGCATTCAGAGCTATTATCGTTCAATGGTTCCCACGGTTCCTGGGAGGAACGACGTCCCGAACGAATCCAAGTCGCACGGCTGATGATTCTAACAACATATCCAGGGCGAGCGGCAAGATCAACAAGTCTATTACCTACTCGGTGAATTATGAGGCTCGATTGGCAACGCATAGTGACGTGGAGTTGCCGGATGTTGATTCGAAACAGGGGCCATGATGGATGGACTTGCATTTCTACTTCTTGTTCCATAATTTACAAGAGTAGACGACCGCGTATGTGGCCTTTCGATGTCTTATTCGTGGTCTCTGTTAGAATCTGCGATTAAGTGGATGAGATGATGAAGATGATACACAATACATTATATTGTGGACCGTCTGAAGACCGTGAAGAAGGAAGGAGTCAGGGAGACTGTAGGAGTCTATTAATACAGGAAGGTCGGGTGACTATGGGAGATATTGAACAATCTTTTTTCTTAGTGTCAGAGATTCTGTTTACAACATAGATGTCTTTAAGATAGTTAGGTAGACGGTAGAGAAAGGAGGAAACGAAAGCATACTTTGTGCAAGAGGAATTTTTTTTCCTTGTAGTGAGGTCTGATTTCCTACAGTACATAAACTTCTTTGCAACATAAAATGATATCATACTAAAATTTGCTCTACATATATTCATAACAGGTAGCCTGTGACTTCAGATTTCCCCCTATGAAAATAGACCATCTTCAGGCGTAGGAAATGGCATGTCATTCAGCCAAGTCCCAACAAATACATCCATATTATTCGAATTTATAGCTCATCTACACATTCGATGGCGTCAGCTGGGTGTGCTACCTGTGCCGGAGGAAATTCGATTCAATGACCGCTTTGAATGGGCATCTGAACTCGCCAGTCCCTAAGGGGAAAATATATCACTGTCTCAACAAGGGTGGCTGTGATGAGGAGTTCATCTCGCTTGGCGGTTTGTTCACTCACCTGGAGAGTGAGTCGTGTGGATATATCCGGCTCGGAGATGTTCCAAAGATCCACCGGCAACTTAACGACGCTATTCTGAATCAAGAGATGATCACTGGACGCTGGAATCTGATCGATAAAGACAATGATTGTCTTACTTGATTTCGGCAATGTTCGAATGTTTAATGAAGGGGGCTCCCATATGGGGTGTTGAGCTGATATGATCAAAGAAGGGTCTATATCATGCTATTTGTATCGACTCAATATCCAATTTATATTTGTTTGATTGACATTCCCAATTTCTCACGATCTAGCGTTTACCTGTTCATATATTTGACCCTCCGGGTGTATTTCGAAAGGATATGATGGAACACACGAAAAATACTCATAGTTACAACCCCGGAATGTGGTTGGTCCTACTCACTTCCAGGAAACTCCCAGTCTTCCTTGATCAAATCGGCTGCCTTCTCTGCCACGGCATATACAGTCGCTTGGATGTTACCACTAATGTTATTTGGGAAGATCGACGCGTCCACCACTCGAAGGCCTTCTACTCCTTTCACCCGTAGACGAGTGTCTAGCGCTTGACCCAATGCAACTGTACCACATAGGTGGTAGCTGGAATTGACAAAATCATGCGCTGCTTCCTTGGCCCGATCGAGGATTTGCAAGTTGACTTTTGGGTGAGGGAACGCCCTGCTCCTGATTGAGTCTTGAAGGTGCTCTGATCGACCGACTTTGTCTGCCCAGCGAAGAGCAGCCGCGAGAATAGTGGCATCTGCTTCATCACCGAGCCAGTTTGGATCGATAACTGGCGGACATGCAGGATCTGGTTGAAGGTTAATTCTCGTCCTGCTCGGGCATGTCTCTCGGGACTTACCATCACATTCAACATGAACGTGTCCACGCGCGACTGGGTACTGTACCCCAACGACAAATGTTACTCCTCTCCCTTGACAGTTGGGGCTTAGAGAAAATAGCTCTCCTTGATGTCTCGAGTCTCTTTTTGGGTTCGTCATGGCTGGCACAAGACCTATCTGCAGATTGGCAGATTTCTCGTCCTGCAGATTCTCAATAACGTACGTCAGTTGCTTCGAATTAAACGCACTTGTAGGTTTAATCTCTTTGATATGTTGAATAAGCGCTGTCAATTCGGCTTCAGACATGATGCTCTTCGCCGAAAGAAACGCCATGATACCGGGAGCATTAGTGAGAGGCCCGTCTTTAGTCACCTCATATTCTTTGATGGCGCTGTGCATGGCTTCAGGGACTAGCCTAAAAACGTCCGCTGTAATGACATCTGGCTCAACATTCCAGGTGACGAATGAGATAGCATGGTCCTGAAGGTTGGACCCGATAGCGACATTTTCTACCTTGCAGGGGATTCCGGCTGCTTCAAGGACGACTGGATCACCAATGCCAGACAGTTCTAGGACATGGGGAGAGAATATTGCACCGGCGCACATTATTACCTCTCGCGCAACCGTGATCTGATAGTCGTGCTCGCTGTGAGTAATGCTAATACCAGTCGCCCGATTATTCTCGTCGAGTATCACTTTGTTGACAAGAGTCTCGCATAGAACTTTCAAATTCGAGCGATTGTGATTGGGCTTGTAGTATGCTCCTGCAGCATAGCTTCGCTTCCCTTTATCAGGCCCCGTTCTGTTCACAGTTGCCATGCCGTGATAGAACCCCATATGATCGCCGGACCAGGGATCGACCGGCTTTTCAGTAACACCCAACACGTCTTCGCATGCCTTGACAAAGGCATGCTCAATGGGCAATACCCCGTCATTGAAACTCGTGTGGATCGGACCTTGGGTACCGTGAAATTCACCAAGGGACTTTATCGATCGGTCCAGGTCTGCCTCAGCAGGCTCGAATGTCTATTCGCTGGTCAACTTTGCTGCAAATCAAGAACCCTGGAAACCACTGACCTGATGCTTGCGCATGTATTGTTGCATAGCCTTCGCGGACCATCCATCATCTCCAACAAGTGCAGCCCAATCGTCATAGTCCTTGGATGACCCACGGACATAGCACGTGGCGTTCATACCACTTGAACCTCCCAACAATCTGCCACGTGGAACATGGTGAACATTGTCATGGTTTCCTTTCTTCGAACTTGTTAGTACATCGGCCTAACTGTCAATCCGATTTACATGCTTACCTGTGGCGCGCTATAAATGCACCAATCATACTCCGGGTTCTCGATCATCGCACCAAATCCTGCGGGGATATCAACGACAGGATCTCCAAGTCGGCATTTTCCCGCCTCTATCAAACCGACTGTAACCTGCGCATTTTCACTCAACCGTGCGGCAACAGCACATCCAGCGGTTCCACCACCGCAGATTATGTAGTCGAAGGAAGTATCCAAGAACTCCTCGATGGAGCAAGTAGAGCGCTGAGTATCGTCTTTTGTCATGGCTAAGATTTTGGGTTGATGAGCCGAGCACAATCTTGTTGTCGGAGAAAATCTCACCTGGGAGGGAAGAGGAGAAGCAGAATATATAGAGCTTGACGTGGCAGGGAAGGGAGATCTAATATATCTTTTACGGTTGCTCACATGCACAGACCTGGCATCGCCAGCACATGTTTCACTGCATACGAAGTACAGCTTGGCTAAATGCTGAGTTGGGATTTTGAGGGATAAACTCTTGAATTCTAGCTAACTATGACTACCTATTCAAAAGACTTAAAGATTGCGATGCCATGAATCAAATAGCAGCAAGGATAATTTTCGTGCCCGTAGAGACCATCTAGGATCTCATGGCCGGCAAACTCTTTCAAAAGACCTCACCGCTTCTTCTCGTATAAACCATGCTATCGTCATTTCAAGCCTCTTTGGGTATGCGTGGTTCTCGGTTATTGTGACTTGCACGTGAGGTATCTCAACAGCTTATTTGCTTTTTGAAGTTGAGCGCTTTTATGTAGTTGGATCACTTCGAATAGCAAATTACGATTGACGCACCAGCGTTTACAACAAAAAGCAATGTTGGTAGCTTCAAGTCCTCCGAATCCCGAAAATATTGTCAATCTGCTTTAAGGTGACCTCTCCGAATGCTCATTCACTTCACGAGGAATGTGTCATTTCAATTGGTGGAAATTGTCGGGAAGTAGAACATGGTCTTGTCTCAATCAAAGCTTCGGTGTAGACTTCTTGTATATATTCATATTCTTCCGGTTTCATAAATTCATATTAGCTTATGAACGCGAACCACGACCTCGGACGACAACCCGAAGAGGAAGGTATTGGGGAGTTGGAACCTGTGACCGGGCCGTTCAACTACAGACATAGGGCCCAAGAAATTACAAGTGTTGGTGACTATAGTTCAAATAAATATAATTTGCATAGAATCGGAGCTTCATTTCCCCTCGAGCAATTTAACTGTAGCCCTCATTTAGGCTTTTGACTGATCCTACCCACTATATACATGTATCACAGTGTGCATCGTAGCTTGTCTATCGTGTATCGTTACTATTATGATAAGAAACAAGATATCTGTTCTGAAGAATTGCAATCTATGCCAACTAATTCGCAGCTGACTCGGATTGCTAGGATAAAAGCCCTAAGTTGAAGTGCGAATGCGGCCTGTATATAGTTATGTGGAAGTCGAGGGGGTTGGACAAACTTCTTTTCATATTGAATGCTTTAGCTTTAAAAATGAGCCTTTTTCAGTGCGTACTGCGTTGACTACTTATGAGCGCGTATTTCTGTAAAACCAAAATGTTTTGGTAACTGATCTAGAGACACCATTTCCTTAATTCGATCTTGGCAATCGAATTGGTCTCGGTTAAAATACAATCCACTGATCTAGTGCCATCACTCCGCACTAACGCTTGGATCCTTCCGTTCACATGAAAAACCCACGAGTCTTGTATGTTTTAGTCCAATCTTAGGCCATCTGGAACAGCGTTCTGGCACTGGACCGGGGAGGCCCCGGTATAGGGGGATTTCCGGTCACATCTGAACTATATCCGGGGTTGGATCAGATGACGAGCTTTAGCCCTATTGGCTCGGCTCATAATCTCACAGACTATAGCCGATACCTGTGGGGCACCTATTGGACTTGACGCTATATGCCGTTAGTGTAGGGGATGAAGCAGTTCGAGCCAAGTTTCCCCTCAGACGATGTCGCAAGTTTTAAGACCCCCCATTTCCCCGTCGCGGACCCCTAGAATACGGAAAAACGGCAGATCATTCGCCTTCACCAATTGAGTCTTTTGTGTTCACTGATTTGCCTTCTCCGTTAATACATTAATCCTCTGCATGTCGCGATGAGGCACTTTTCTGGGATCTTCAATATCGGCTCCAAACCGGCTGCCCCAAAACCTAATGAACTGCATCAACCCACTAGCATAATTAACCAATGCGCTGTGGAGGATCGGTCTGTTGATGAAACCCGCCGGCTGAGAGTTGTCATCATTGGTGCCGGTATTTCGGGGATTCTCGCATGTATTCGGTTCAGGCAGCGAATCCCCAATCTTGATATATGCGTATATGAAAAGAATGCAGATATTGGAGGGACCTGGTTTGAAAATCGGTACCCAGGATGCGCTTGTGGTATGTCAATTTAGTTTCCCCAAGATTCGCCATCTAACCAGACTTGTGTTTGGTAGATATTCCAGCTCATACCTACCAAGCCACGTTCGAGCCTAACAAGGAGTGGTCGACGTTCTATGCCAAGGCTCCAGAAATTCACCAGTATTGGAAGCATGTTGCCGAGAAGTACGGATGTATGGAATACATCAAATTGAGGCAGCAGATATCCGAAGCTGTCTGGGATGAGGAGGAATCGAAGTGGAATCTGCAGGTATGTCACTTGTCCAACCGGATCAGTTCAGGAATTGACCTTATCTATTTAGATTCAAGACTTGGAAACCTCGTCCATTTATAAAGATCGATGCGATGTCGTATTTCAGGCGACGGGAGCATTGAATAACTGGAAATGGCCGAATATCCCTGGTCTTCAGGAATTCAAGGGCAAGTTGATGCACAGTGCTTCGTGGGACGAGAGTTATGATTACAAAGTTGGTGAATTTTGTCATATAATGCTGCAAATAGACTAACCCAATCGCAGGGGAACCGTGTTGCAGTCGTCGGTAATGGGTCAAGTGGGATCCAGATTGTTCCCGCATTGCTACCTGATGTGCCACACATCGACCATTATATGCGCAGTCGGACCTGGATTTCCCCGTCGTTTGGACGAGAACAAATTGACAAACGTGGGAAGGGACTGGACAATTGTAGGTGAACAAGACTCGGCCGTGTTTGTTCTCCCTTTTGACACTTGGCAAATAGTTACCTTTACGACCGAAGACATCGAAAGCTTCAAGAAAGATCACCAGATATATCAGAATTTTCGCAAAGGTATGTCCGAAAATATATGGCCTTCATACCATATATCAGCTAACAGTGAAAATAGACGTCGAGCTGGAGCTTCAGTCTATCCATGGTGCCACCCTTACTGGACATCCAATGCAGCTCGGAGGACAGGAGCTATTCGCAGAGAACATGAAGCGGCGTTTGGCAAATAAGCCTGAACTGATTGATGAATTACTTCCTTCATTTCCGCCCGCGTGTCGTCGACTCACTCCAGGTCCCGGGTATCTAGAGGCGTTGACAGATGACAAGGTAGACCTTATCACGTCGGACATTATCAAGGTAGACGAAACCGGGATAATCACCGCAGATGGTCAGCACCGCCCTATCGACATGCTTGTATGTGCCACTGGCTTTGACACATCATATACTCCCCGGTTTGTGATCAAAGGCCGAGGTGTCACCCTCTCGGAACGATGGAAAGAAACCCCAGAGACGTATCTCTCGATCGCGACCGATGGGTTCCCGAACTATTTCATTTCCCTCGGACCTAATGCGGGACTAGGCGAGGGAAACCTTCTGGTCCTCATCGAGAGAGCGTTAGATTATGTCACAGAATGTGTGGGTAAAATGCAGCGGGACAATATCCGCGCTATGAGTGTCCATCCGGAGGCAGTCAAGCGTTTCACACAATACTGCAATCAATATTTTGCGGGAACTGTATTCAGCAGTAAATGTCGCAGCTGGTATAAGGGTGGGACTGAGAATGGTCGGGTCACCGCTCTCTGGCCAGGTATGTGTTGTCTCAAATTCTCACTGCACTGGTATTGACCACTGCTAGGTTCTTCCCTGCACTCCATGAAGGCGTTGGCAAATCCCCGATGGGAGGACTTTGAGTACTGGTATGTGAATAATAATGCTTCTGGTTGGATTGGGGATGGTTGGACAGAGAATGAGAAGCAGAACAAGATCAATGTGAATTACTTGGACGATAACGAGGTCGATTTTCCTCCAATCCACGCCGCTGGATAAGCTCGCGATAGCTACATACATACTGTGTAGCATGGACAATGGGAATTCATATATTGATAGCTTAGAATAAAAACGTTTAACAGACTAGACATAACCAGCCTTTAAAGAGTATACTGTTCTTACCTGACCATACTTATCCCAGTAATATTGGCAAGTATCTATTGGCGTTATCAAAGGGCCAAGAGGTACTTCTTCCCCGCGGACTCCACTGCAATACCGATACCCTCACCCTTTCCCCCCCACAGACGCATTCTCTCTCTTTTTTTACCCCGGATATTCCCCTCCTCCCCGGCCATGAAGACCGACAAGCACTTTCACTGTAACATCTGTCAGCGTGGGTTCACGCGTACTGATCACCTCAAACGCCACCATTTGCGCCGTATGTGCCCCCTGCAGCTACCCATGCGACATACTAAACGTGGACAGATTCTGGCCAGAAACCCTATTCCTGCATATTCTGCAATGACTCGTTCGCGCGATGGTTAGTAATGGCGGGGAAATTTTTATACTAACTCTGGAATCTGATACTTGAACTTTAGTGATAACCTGCGCGACCATTATACCGATTGCGCTAGGCGCGGAGATCGCGAAATTCCTGAGACCGGTCAGAGGGGTAGGCGACGACATGCCTGTCAAACAGTTAGTCCACGACAAGATTACAAGGAACCTTACTATAGGTACTGACCTTTTTGGGTCGAACAGTGTACCTCGATGAAATTGCGATGCGATGGACGAAGCCCTTGCGGATCGTGCCAGAAGAGGAACTTGATGTGCAACAACGAGCGGACGGCAGGCCCGGCCCACATAGCGATCGAAGAAGGTCCAAGCCTCGAGTCGAACCAGTCGCAATGGAAGTCTCCAACCCATACAGAAATATCGGCGAAACAGGAAATCTCCGAAGAGCCATCATCCGACCGAGGATCGATCAAGTTCCTACTTAATGGTGGCACCGATAGCTTTACAAAAAACTTTCGACTTCCTCCACACAGTGATCGAGGGCTCAGTCTCAATTATCATAATAGAAATGGCCTCGAAGAACTTCAGGGTACAGAGTTTCCATACAACGTCGATGGCGGCTTCATTGATTCTGACTCCGTCCCGCCGCAATTCTTCCAAGATACATTCCTGGACTTTTTACACGGCCCTTTTGGTGATGGACAGAAGCCCACGGAGAATCCATATCATACAGGTGAGCTGGGCTACCAGTTCGTCATCCCTCCGGGACAGCATCCTAGTACATTACCCGGAGATGAAGCTATCTTTGAACCGGAGCGACCATTTGCGATGGCATTAATTCAATCAATATTGGCACAAGCGTGGCAGGTCCCGCTTGATTCTAAAGCGCAGGACGAGGTATCTGCGAATCTAACATTTATGTTGACGACAGCGCGCATACGAAAATACATCACGCTCTATTTCAAATACTGGCAACCTAGCTGTGCAATGCTTGCTATATCATTTGACCCGGAGGTAGTTCCCCTGTCGCTCTTAGCCGCGGTGGTCTTTATGGGCGCCATGTACAGTAGCGACCAGAGGGAAGTATACGCCGCTAGGAGAGTGCTGGATTTTGCAGAGCTATTCGTCTTTGCGAATGACGTGTTTTCGACTGAGAACGAAATCAGCGCCATGTTCTCGGGTGGCCGATGCAATGAGGAAAATAATGATTGGAGTTGGTTCCAGAACTTTCAAGCCGGGCTTATCATCACCATCGTCCAATACTGGGCGGGAAACCGCTTGTCTCGAAATCGCGCGATGGAAAATCGATTCAGCGAGGTTGTGAAGGTTGCTCGACGAATTGAACTTGTGAAAGCCCGTCATCTTCCTGATGACCAGGTCCTTGAGCACTTATGGATCCAAAAGGAGTGCCGGATAAGGTTCGTATATTCCTCCCGTCTTAAATCTGCCTTGCTGATATTAGCAGGACTATCTCTATAATTTCACTGCTCGATTGCGCATTCTTCTTCTATCAAAATTACCCCTGTCGCCTGACACACACTGAAATGGAATGCGATCTGCCCTGCGACGAATCCGTTTTCTTCTCTGAGCACCCGTTCGCCGAGCCAAACTTTTGCTTTTCACGCGGCCTGATGCTTTCGGGGGCTTTTGAAAATCTATTTGACGAAGCACCCGAGTCTAATACGATGAAGCTCACTGCTTTGGACATGTTTATCCTGATTCATAGTATGTCCTTGTGTCAAACGCTTTCTTTTTCTGCTTTGCACCTGCTTACCCCATGTTTAGTTCTGTACTCATTTATTAATACCCATATGACACTTCTCGGCTCTCTTGTACGCACAGGTCATTTCAAAAATCCCAGGAGAAGTGCCGGAATTGGCACAAATGACACCAGCAAGATTCCTGAAGATTCTATCCTCATTTCCATCCGGACTGCTCTATCCCGCTGGCGTGATTACTGGATTGCACTGCGCAATGGAGTCACAAGTGACGAATGGGCATCAATGGGGTTCTATAAGAATGGTTATAACTTTTGGCTTGTATCGCAACTGCTTATCACCAACAAGAATGCTGTTGATGTGGTGATGCAGATGGAAGTCCACTGCGAAGATAAGTTGGAGAAGCTAAAGGTGTTGCTGCTTGACGACCAGGAAGAATTATAATGATCAGAGCTGGAGATATTTGTAAAGCTACTAGACTATGTTAGATGAGGCGCTCGGGACATTTTGTATTGCTGTTAATGATACCCATAGCCATTGTGTTATATCTTGATATCATGAACTCCGGTGGAGCTGGGGGATTTCCGGTCCCGAACTCGAAACCTTTAAATCATTTAGGGTACTTCTATCTCCTCGGTTTCCATCATGCCTTATATTTGAAGGAGCTCGAAGCCGGGTGCTCATCGTCTAGGGGTGTTTGCGACAAATCATGGTAGATGGACAACCCGACACCATGTCCGATATTGACTTCAATTTTTGTGAAATGTCCTACATGCATTCCACAAAATACCCTTACATTCTATTGCTACTTCTGTATTCACGAAAAAATGCAAGGGCCCACCAACAGCCAGCCACAGCAACTGTGCATGTTTGTCCTTGAGGTCTCCACGAAGATGTGGAGCTGAATTAGTAGCTTCGACGCATTACCCCGTAGTTCAGGAACGATCGATTCCTAATATCGCTTCTTTGCGACCAATTTATCTTTTGGGCACTCATTCATCAGAGGGTTTACTTGGTTTTGCGAAAATAAACCATATATTATCTCATTCCACTTGCAGGGGTTGTACATTCGCTATAATCACGTATTAATTGATGGGGCCTGGTGAAGGTTAAGTCAATGTTATTATTATGTCTGTTCCTATTTACTCTTTGTAGTTGTATCGTGGTCATATCTGATTTTGAGGTTACAACACTACATACCTGGTAAGAAGAACCGATTTCCCTCGACATAAATGTTCATTCCAGTCAATGTGATCTAGGACATGCATATTTCCCCCATCCCAAGATCCAATCAAGACTATCTGCAAGGCAGCATCTGCATGTGATATTGGGCTGACCTGCAGAGTGCAGTGCATAACCATCAGCTCCACAGTTCAATCATGAGATCGCCATGGGGGCCCAAAGACGAAATCCAAGGGGAATACTAAGTGCCCAAGTCCACAGTGAAGGCACTATTCTGCATAAAAACACTAGTGTCCCCGCCAATGATATCTCCGATTGAGACTAGTGCTTTGTTTGACAAACTTATAAGGATTCTTTCTAGGTCAAAGTTCATCACTACAGCTCCCTCACACGAATTGCCCACATCTTCACAAGAAACCCCCCGCTTTCGTATATTGTAGTAATCTGTAGAGTCCAGCTGGAAATGAGCAACTGTGCAAAGAATCCCGATCCCTGACGATCTTGTTGATCCCGACGATCTCTCAGCTCGGGATGCACGAACTCAACTAGCGTCCCCACATGTCTTCTCCTGTTTGAGCTATCGTTATGGCGTTCACCCACTCTGTGCCACGCATGGGTAACATTGCAGAGGCCTATAAAGGTCCTCGTATGGCGCGCGCTGCCATCTTATGCTAGCTGAGCAGTCACGCATATCTTTCACAATGGTCTTTATCAAGGCAACCTTCGCGTCCATTTTTGTCTCCCTCCTGGCATGTGCCACCGCTGTGGAAGTACCTAAGACCGATTACGATGTCATCGTGGTCGGCGGTGGTCCCGCAGGTCTCAGTGCAATCAGTGGTGTCTCCCGTGTCCGCCGAACGGCTCTCTTAATTGATAGCCAAGTATATCGCAATGCTGCGACCCGGGAAATGCACGATGTCATTGGCAATGACGGTGAGATTAGATTCTAACTGTATCCCACAAAGAGTCTTACCTAACTTCCTTCATCCCTATCAGGTACCCCACCCGCTGCTTTCAGAACACTGGCTCGCGAGCAGATCCTGAAGTACCCGACTGCCCACATTACCAACGAGACTGTGGAGTCAATCGTTCCTTTCAAACAGGGTGACTTCTCTGCCTTCACTGTGACCGACAGCCAGGGCAAGAACTACACTGCCCGTAAAATTGTGCTTGGTACAGGTGTCCGTGACGTTCTACCAGCTACTCCTGGCCTTCAGGAAGGATGGGGCAAGGGTATCTTCTGGTGTCCTTGGTGCGATGGCTATGAACACCGGGACCAGCCATTCGGAATGATCGGTGATATCACCGATATGCTGAGTAACGTGTTGGAAACTCACACTCTGTACACCGATATTATTGCATTTGTGAACGGCTCGCAAACCGCAGATGGCGAGGCCCGGGCAACGGCCAAGGTCGCAGACTGGAAGGACCAACTGGCCGCCTGGAACACCACCATCGACAACCGCACAATCACTTCCATCGAGCGCCTTCAGGATGGTGGCAAGGATAGAGACGAAAAGGAACATAAGCAGTTTGATAAGTTCCGCCTTCACTTCACTACTGGCGAGCCTGTCGAGCGCAATGCTCTGATTGTCAACTTCCCAACTGTCCAGACCTCCACACTTCCAGCCAAGATGCACTTGGGCATGGTTGGTGATAAGATCAATGTTACCAGCGGAATGCGTACCAGTGAGTCTGGTGTCTTTGCTGTTGGTGATGCCAACAGTGATGGTAGCACCAATGTACCACATGCGATGTTCAGCGGCAAGAAAGCTGCTGTTTTTGTTCACGGTATGCTCCCTCCTACTTATCGATGCTAGATGGATGACTGACAATATTTGACTACAGTGGAAATGTCTCGTGAGGAGTCGTCATCCAAGATCTCGAAGCGCACTGGTCTCTCTCAACGTGAGCTTGAGAAGGAGGCCACTCGTGCTATTGGCAACAACCTAGATGAACAATGGAAGCAGGCTCAGAAGTGATGCACTCACTTAGTCTAAAGTTCTGATAGTCCAACGTTTACATAGTCAGCCAGCTGTTGGGCTCTTCCAGATGATAATAACTAATGACCCATCTACTGCATAAAACTTCGCTATATTTATTCAAACTCATTACTCCTGATCTAGTGCTATGTGTAAGTTCTTTGGCATTGGACCATGAGGTCTGTGGTTTGGCCCTACAAGTACATTTCTAGGTACGAGTTGGATAGATGATTGATCTGGTATCACTCGTAGTATGGAGTATCAGAAATACTCATGGCTGCACACATCTGTATCTTTCAAATACCATACCGTACCATAATTGGTTAAATGGGTCAGGTCCGTCCCGTGCGGCCCGAGACCCATAGCATTCCAAGGTTGACATTCCGAGCATGGATTAGGTATAGTTTAGTGATTATAACACTTGGAATAAGACTTAAATCGAACTCAAGTCGTGCAATTGTTCTTCATAGATTCTCAAGTTGAGAACCTGGATGCATGATATCTCTTGATCTGAGGGAAGCTCGGCTATTATAAACCCGCATCATAGCCAGCCTCAAGAAGTTGTGACACTTTTGTAGCTACATTGCACACGATCCGAGTGAATTTAAAGCCCGAAAAGTCCCGCGAAGTTCCAATATACCATGTATGTAGTCATGTACATGTATGCAAGTTTCCGTCACTGTCAAACAGTCCTAGTCTGTTATATCTCCTTCTTCCAAAGCGAGGATATCCCCCACGATCACTTGAAACAATCTATAGAGTAATCCGAAACTTGAACAAATCTCCTTCAACAATCTCCTTCTTCTTCGCCTCCAACTCCTCCATATCCCAATTTGCACTAACCATCCGAGCATTCAACCACTCACGTCGTTCCTTCCCAAACCACACAATAGTATCCGCCGGAAGCTCTGGCACATCAACAAAGATATCCGGGAAGATACCCTCTAGTTTATCTGCCATCTCCGTTCTGATGGCCCCGGGATGAAGAGCCAGTGCAATTAAGCCTTCCTTTTTGTGCTCACGGGCAAGGGTTTCTGTAATGCGGCAGATAGCAAACCGCGAGTTCTGATACGCAGACCCTCCACTCGTGAGCAAGTGAGCCCCAATCGATGTTAAGTTGATGATTGTTTTTGTGTCGGATTTCAATATCATCGGGAGTAAATAGCGGCAACATAGGTATGGGCCCTTGATATTGACATCCCATCCTCTCATCCAGTCGTCTGGGTCGGACTCCACGATGCGCACGAGGTCTGGTAAATATCCGGCATTGTTGACAAGAATATCCAATTTCCCTTCGAAGGCGTCGTTTATTGCTTTTGCGGCCCCTTCCACTGACTCCTTCGAAGTGACATCAAGCTCTAATGCGAGAATCTGTGGCTCTGGGAGGTTTGAGTTTGCGGCTTCTGCTTTCAGCTCTTTTGTGACTTCATCAAGCGATGAGCGTGCCCCGATTGCAATCTTCGAGATGCCGGCTTTTACACAGCGGATGGCTGTTGCTCGACCAATTCCTCTTGAAGCGCCCGTGATAAAGATGGATTTGCCTGCAAGCTCAGTCCCTGTTGGTGTGATACACGGGTAGGTGTCATTGCGATTTGAAACGAACAAGGCCCATTCGAACGCATTGGTTGGACCGATCTGATCTAACTCTTCAGGCGTCATATTTGATAGATGGTTGTCTGTAATGGAAGATGCCGAAGGTAAGTTGATGTACAGGGCTTGCTGAGACCTTGGGGCAAGTCGCATTTTAAGTATTGGACGGCAACTTGCGGGGTAAAGTTGGGGCCAACAATTTATGTCAAAAGTACAAATGCGGTTGAGAATGGCCAATTATAGCTGATGCTTGCAGATCGCATTGTGGTGATTATGGTGTTTGTGGGGAAACTATATATATCGGACCATATATATCGAATCTCAAAATTGATGGTTTTATTTGCACTCTAAATATTCTTGGACTGCTCTAGCTAGAAACACACTTCACATCCAGCAAATCTTCATCAACCTACAAGGTACAGAAAACAAGTCAGTAAATTTGTTCACAAGGTTACACCGATCTTCAAGATAAACCCACATTTGTGCAAGTGAACTTATCATCCCCATCGGGGCTGATAACGTCAATGTTACTGGCGTTGATATTCGAGCAGACCTAAGAAAGTCAGATGGTGAGTGATAACTTGTGGCATTCGAGCACTTACATCGGGACTTGAGCAGACAATCATTCCCACAAGAGGGTCACGTTTACCAGAGGTGACACCCTTGATATTCTTGAAGACAACATCTTCGATGACAAGTTTACTCTGTGTGGTGTATTTGTTAGTCTTTGGTAACCAGAAACGAGCGAAAGTGACACTTTTGTGGAATGAAAGCAAAGAGGGACCAAAAAGGAGTGGACACATACCGGGTACTCGTTGCAGAGAGTCAAATTCTTCTGGCCATAGCACTGGGTCACTTCGATGGCGTAGTCGACATTGTCAATGAGCATTCCGTCGTAGGTAATGTTCTTCACTAGGCCGGATCCACCACCTCCCTGGAGATCAGTAGACATCTCAGCCGGAGCCCCAGGCCACACTTTGATACGCGCGCCATCCTTCGTAAGATTGTTAGAAAGGTAATCATTTCACCCGCGGTACTAAACTTACCGATGCGTTGAACATGGAGATATTGTACACGAGCACGTTCTGCACAATATCAACCTCGCCTGGGTATTGGCCCAGAGAGCCAACGGAGATACCGTGGGAGCCGTTACAGTGAAGGTTCTGGACTAGGATGTCGCTAACATTGGGCTTGAACGAGACGCAATCTTTGACATGGTTAGTAACGCAGATCAGGTCAAATTTTGTAAAGGAACTGTACCGTCTCCATTGTTGATCACGGAATTCTGGATGACAACATTCGTAGAACGATAGAGGTCCCTAATGGCGATATAAGTCAATTGAAGCTAGTTGTTCTTTTAATGCAGATGAACGTACCATCCATCAGTGTTCTTCGCCACGTTCTTACTGCTGCTGAACCCACTGATATCAATTCCGTCGAAGAGAATGTTGGACGAGTTTGCCACGAAGTGATACCACTGAGGCGAATAACGAAGGTTGAGAGGTCCAATGGTACCTCCATTGAGCCCAATAATACCCACCAGAATCGGCCGTAGGATGAGGGGATCCTTTGCATATAAGTCGTACCAGACCTGGCCATTACCGTCCAGGGTGCCATCGCCGTAGACATTAACATCCTCACCACCGATCTGGAAGAAGGTTGTGGCATTTTGGTAGACATGGCTGAATGCATTCTTTTGCCAATAATCTGTGTCATCGCTAAATTGGACATGGCCTTGGATTTCTATTATAACTTGCGTAAGCACTCGTCTCATATCGCACCCCAATGCGCATTACGTACCAAGATCCACATGCTTCAAGAAAGTCATGTCAAGTGCCTTTCCAATCGTATATGTCTTGCCGGCATCGAAGACGACCTTTCCTCCATTGTTGCATCTCTTCAATGCCTTCAGAACATTGGCTGAATCATCACGTCCTTTACCATGGTTGGCGACATGACACGTGCGAGTTCTGGCATGAGTAGCCGGAAGGGGCTTGAATGGATGGTGCGGGTGGCACGCATCGCTTCGAGAGTTTTCCTTGGCCTGAACTGCGCCGCTGATTGACAGCCAAATTCCCAAGGCTTGGGTGAAAGTATTTGAGATCTTCATCGTCGGTGTCAAGAGAATCTAGGGGTCTTCCGTTGGATCGGCAATCTTCCAGGCTGAAAAGACTCTTCAGGCACTTCCGGGGCAGCGTATATATAGTCTCAGAATTGACAATATATTTTCTCTGTTACCCCGGTCTATCTTGTCCGGGGTCAACGCTAAACACCGCTCTATGCGGTTAGCGGTGGGGAGACCCCATCTCCTTCAATTTACTCCGGGGAAACAAGCTCGGTTCTCCGCGATGTGGGGAGAAACCGGGGCATCGTCATGGCTTGTATGGTGAGCTTTCGTCTCGTTAGTTAGCAGACCGGAGATGAATTGATTCTGCGTTACGTCAGCGTGGCCTCCAGGCAGGTCTGATAGGAGGAATATTTGAGGTGATTCCCCCGATTGGGAGGAAAATCCCGGATAAATTGTGTAGAGCTAGCACGCCCTAAATCCACTGTATTTCAAACAAATGAAGCTAGATATCCTCAGCACCGTAGTCTTCCGAGCAACTGCCAGACAAAGTGTAGTTAAGCTTACACCGACAACTCCTCAGTAGTTAGATACTTCGGGCGGTTGTCCCATAAAGGAATCGGCTATTTCCCTCCTCTCTTTCCCAGGGCCTCTAAGATTCGTAGTGTCCCAAGAAATGGCAACATTAGCTTGTCTTTCTCCATCTGAAGGTATTCCGAGCATTCCCTATACCATATAAAGTCAAACAGAGGATAGGTATTCCCTCACTGATAAGATACTACCTCAGTTCGCCATAGACTTTTACTATAATGACCTGGCGCATGGCAATGGCACCAGTTGATGTGGCAGATATACGCTCCAACAATTCCATTATATGTCAGAAGTGCTACGATGGCTACGCTTATAAGATATTCTTCCCGCAGGTAATTATGCTCCTACTAGCTGCCCTCTGCCTCTACCTCTGCCTTTTTCAGGGCCTGCTATAGGCCGCTCTATTCCCTGCCACCGACTTCTGGTCTCCTCTAGTAAGTCCCGCGGAGTTTTACCCTCCACGTTTGGTTGGCTCATCAACATACCAGTATCCTCCCCGGCAGCTTCTTTCAGAACACGCATCATCTCATCCTGAAGTCTGATCTTGTTCGCAGTTATCACTTCCTTATCTCTTCCATCACGGCGTACATAATCATTCAGAAATCCCCGCGCTGCCGCATGAAAGGGCGTCTCCCCGAAAGTATTCCGAGCCCGGATATCCGCCCCGTGCTCAATCAAGAACTTTGCCGCCGAGACCTGCCGCAAATTCTGAGCAAAGACGTGCAATGCCGTTTTCCCATTGTTCTCTGCATGATTGATATTGGCACCGTGTGACAGGATTAAATCCAGAAGCATGGTCTTGATGGGGTCACCTTGATGGGAGTGGTACCCTAATAGATGTAGGATGGTACAACCAGAGCAATCGGGGATCCGAGGATCGGCCCTGTATTCGAGTAAAGTGCGGATAGCAAGCTCGGCGTGCTGGCTACAACCGCACATAGAGTGGCTTATGGCAGCATAGTGCAGCGGCGTGGATCCAGTGTTGTCAACAAGGTTGATACCCGTAGAATCATGGTCGAGGAGCAGTCGAAGGGTCTCTGTGATTCTGAGCTGCGTATCCAGGAGTCTACAGTTAAATCTTCCAGGGCCGCTAGCTGCCCAATGCAGTGGTAGCCGCCCATCACTGTCATAGGAGGAGGCCAGCACATGGTTGGTATTGTTCTTGTCATTTTTATGATCCAAGAGCAATTTGACAGCGTCAGGATTGTAGAATAAACTTGCCAGATGGAGCGTCGTGACATTATACGCGTGACCCTTTGTGTTCCTGGACTGAAACGGTACTCTGGCATGATGGAAGTGTTGATGCTTAAGGTATACATCGGCACCGGAATCAATGAGCCGTCGAATCAATGGACCATTAGCTCTTGACACAGCAAGCCCAATGACACTGTGTTGCACCTGACTTCCCCAAGGAGAGAGATCATTTGGCAAAGTGGGAATAACATCTGTGGCTGAACAGCCCTGGTCAAGAAGGAGATTAATCAACTGATGGGCCCGCGCAATCCGATTCCAAATCCACTCATTCCACTGGAGACCCTCATCTTCTACTTCATCTGCGTCTTGGTCAAGATACATCAGCGACCTCGTAGCTGCGAGGATCGGCGTATCTCCGGAGTCATCTCTCTGATGCAAATCCACCGCCCCGAGCGGTAACCGATTCTCTGGATTCTCATGGCTGTCCAAGATGAAGCGTGCCACATCAACATTTCCCGCACCACATGCGTCGAGCAGCAGACGGAGTTTGGGATTGAACTTCTTGACAACTTCCGGGGCCGCAGTGTACACCTCCAAGAGGATGTGAAGAGCCTCGGGGGTGCCGTACGAGGCTGCATTGAACAAGGTGTCCTCCAAGTAGGGTGTCCCAGGGGCAATCACATCCTCGGGAGAGCATGAGGCGATGAATTGACGGAGTTGAGGGAGATCGTTTTGCTTGATAATGTTCACGAGGCGGTTTCTGCGCCTGCCGATCATTTGAGAGGGTGATTCCGGGAGGTCCAAGTGGTCCGAGATAGGAGAATCGCTCTCTGCCATGATAATTTATTGTTCTTCTCTTTCGTGTAGTTTTCCGTCTTATTTCAGTCGTTCATTGGTGGGAAGAGAGAGTGTGAGAAAGGAGATAGACGAAAACAGACGGAAATAAAGCAGACGAAGAGGGGAAAGGAGAGGGCTGAATTAATGTTAACTAACTACTTATGTACTTGCGCGTTTATTACATGACTTCCGATATTATACGGACCGAGGACCCTAGTTTATATCGGACTTCTAGGCTAAATTCCATAGAATACTTAGGATGAAAGTGAAATTATTAATAGCGTACCCATAAACGGACAGCTAGAGCCGAGTACAGAAGGCGACGAAGGTGAAAGAGAATAGTAGGCAATAAGGGGGAAATCAGGTCTTTTATGTCGGAGCAACAGAGGACGTGACAGAACGCCATATAGGCCAGACTAAAAACAGCAAAACTAACCCGATATAGTAATTCACAGGTCCGCCGTTCACAAAACATATAATACTGGAACTCTTCGGAATGCTGGACGTCTCGCAGAAGAAACGGTAACCAATCACTTTGAAACATGCTTTATATGTACAACGGCTGTCCAACAAAAGGACCAGATTGCCAGCCCAGAGATGAAACGATCATCTCAAGCGAGCTGGCTATTCAACCCCGAGTTTCTTCTAGCGCAGGTAAGAGGTCCCTATAGATACGGATCTAAATGTATCAGGAACAATTTTTCAAGTTCCCCTGCCATCAACACAGAATCCATTTTATATCTAGGTCGACTTCTCAATAGCCTTCTTCACGGTACCCTCAGCTGCATGGGCGGTGGCCTTGATGGAGTCAACGGCTTCGTGCTCAATCTCCTTGGCGGCTTCGACGGTTGAGTTGGACTGGCTGCGCTGCCACATGAAGATACGAGTCACCTGGACGGCACCCACACATCCGAGGAAGAAGTTCACAGTGGCGAGCCTATAGAGTTATATCGTGTTAGCATTGGCGCGCAGGTCTGCTATCGGGTTCCACATACAGAACATTACGGGGCTTGATGATCATGCACCAGCGGGTCCAGATGGCACCAGTGCCCATGAGGGCTGCGTTCTGGGTGAGAGAGAGCTTCTCGGCGGGACGCGCGAAGTCGGAGATACCGGCGATGACCAGGCACCACTGTTGTAGGTAGATATGTTAGCCATAGTGTTCAGCAGGTTCGCGGAGCAGCCTCCCATGATACGGCGTTGTCCGATGGAGGTATTTGATCCGGAAAGGTGGCTTGAGGTGTAGGTGTAGATGGCATATCAAAGGAGGAAATCGAGTCATCGTACCTTCATAACGGGGGCCCTGCAAAACAGAAGTTAGCTTCAATTCGCAGTAGCGATTGAGACAAAGGATGCAGCATGATCGCAATTCTTACCAGAAGTGGACGGTCTTCACGCCGACAGGGCTGTTCCATAGACGCTGGAAGACGGTCTGCTTCTCCGCAGCACCGGCTTCGGAGCTCTGCCAGCGGAAGCCCTGGGCACCCGGCCGGCGGAATGGCGCAGAGGCATTGCGGAATGCAAAACGAGTGTTGTTCACGAAGCGGAAACCCACGCGAGACGACATGGTGATAGCTGGGATGGTGGTTCTGGTAAGAGGGAAGGAAGATGGACGCCGGTAATCGGTGAAGGGGGAGTTTTCCGTTGGGGAGGGTAGATAGGGCAATTAACCACCACAACCACAGGTCGATAAAAATATAATTTATATAAGGTGAAAGGATTACTCTCAAGTAATTGGTATAATCTACTCGAATTAATTATCTCTCACTTATACTCTGTCTCTTGCGCTGTCGCTACCTACCTATGACGCTTCCCAGAGGTCGAAGCTGATGTAAGCATCTGGCACTAGTTTATATTGGGACTAGCGGGATTATGGCTCTGCGCAGCGAATCAACGCCGTCGTGAATAATGCACTGCATCGCAGACTGTCCAGCAAGTCAATCCCACTGCTTCCACATTCATCCTCCCGTGGCTCGTCCGAGACCTCTATTTCCCTAATCCTTACATCTGCTTGACCATCCTGCCACAATGTCTGGCAAGTACGTTTTCACTCAGGGCCTGAAGGAGCTCCGCTTCCTCTTCTGCCAGACCTCCGAAGCGAGCGCGGCCACAAGGTGCGTACACCCCGACCCAAGGCGAATTGGCTTTCAGCCCATTAATTGATCGTCTTCTGTGTCTATAGATCTTTCCTGAACCGCGCCTACCCGACTATGAAGAAGCACAACCCCCAGACTCCCATCATGATGCGCGAGGCCGCAGGTACCCAGCCCCGGGTCTATGCCCGATATGGTATGACAGAACATCTATAAGCCCATTGTGTGGGCTCTGTGTATAAGCGAATCAAGCTAATGCGAAGGTTTTCTCTCAATAGCTTTTGGCCAGGAGAAGCAAGAAGCGCTGTCCGGTGATTATCCCCCGCCAAACTTAATTTTGCATCAAGGCGCAATACTAATTAATGTTTCTAGGCCTGTCGGACACCCAGATCGAAGAGCGCATTACACAGTTGGTGAAGCAGCAGCTATAACTTCATTTTGTTTCTGCAGATCCATTTTATGCCCCCGCGTTCCCACCGTTTTACACCCATCTTCTGTACCTATAGATGAAATCGAAGCTCATATCCAAAACAATTCCAATTCCAACTCAGTTACTTACAATGATGAATGAACGCTATGTCTCATAACTAGCTACTAGCATTACCAACCTCGCCAAATCGATACTGCGCCCAGCTCATACTTCCCTCGGGTAGGGTCCAAGTCCTCTTCCCCAGGTCTTCACCCGCAGCACCAGCCCCAATATGAATAGGGAGCAAATGCTCAAAGGAAGGGTGAGCTTGGCGTGCATCCGGTCTCTTCATCAGCGCAGCCATAGCCTTCTGTCGTTCTGCAGGCGCAGTCGTCACAGCCTCATTGAGCGCGTTGTCGAAGCTAACCGCATACGGCATCGGGGTCGGACTACCATACGCAAACCGCAGATCGCGCAGATTATGCACAGCCATTCCAGACACGATGATCAAAATATTCTGCTCGCGAAGACTCGCGACTGCCTGTCCGAGCCGGTAGTGCTGGTCTGGGTCTTCGCTACCAAAAAGCGAGACTTGCACGATGGGAACGTTCAGCGGGTTTGATTCTGGCTCGAAGGCTGCGTTATCCTCGTCAGCGTTGAATTATCGTTTTGATGCAAACTGTCACATACCGCACTTGAAGCTAACCCAAACGCCGTGGTCGAGTCCGCGCTTGACGCCCTCGGCCGGGATCTTGGCTTCCTCCAACAACCTCAGCACTTCATTCGCTACCTCCTTGCTACCCACATTCGGGTACTTCTCCTTATAGTAATGGCTTGGGAAGCCACCGAAGCTAAATCCAATTAGTTCCAAGTTTGCAGGATAAAGGCTGGGATTTCGATATCAAACATACTCATAGATCAGATCAGTCTTCTCGGCGGTATTCACCTGGATCGTATTGCGACCAGCCTGCCAATGCGCCGAGAATACCACGACAGCCTTCGGCTTGACCTTGGTCGTGATCTCGCGCCCGGCCTGGCCGAGCTTGAGGTATGCCGGGTGATCGACCTCGTACATGATGTTTGGCTGGGCATCGAATCAGCATTTAGGTCATAGTAAGAACCAGGATATAGATAACTCACGCCGCCATGGCCGAAGAAGTAAACGGGTGTCTTCATGCTGGAGTTTACGTGACCACTAGTGACTGCGTCTGGTTCTCCCTTCACTGTCGCTGCTGCTGCAACAGATGCTGAAGCTGATAGAGGTACTGCCGCTGAACGCGCGGAAGATCCAAAGAACCGTCGGATGCCGAACAGATTGGCGGTATCTCCCCAAAATAGAGTAATAAGTACAGCTGCGAGGACAGTCAAAAGGGAAACAAGAGCGAGTTTGGGTCCGCTGAATGAATTTGGTGTTCGTGTTTCCGAGTTGCTGTGTTGGCTTGATGCGGAAGACATATATGGCTTGTTGTTTTGTATAGGGCCGGCAATATACTTAGAACTCAATGAATAGAGGTTGTATTTTATATTTAAATGTCCCGGCAAAAAAAGATGATATTATTACCGTAGAACTAGAGCTTATTAATTCGATAATTTCGGAAGCGCATAGAGCCGATCATAAAGGCGAGAGTGTTGGAAATTAAATCCACATCTGTGTGTCAGCGCGGAATCCGCCCGCTGACAATCTATACGCCCTTCGGCATTGGTTCGGATTTACAGATATCTAGGGTTTATGAGGTCTAGGTACACATTGTACAAGTTTCATAAAGTTGTTTAACAATCTATTATTGTATACAAAAGCTACAACCATTCTGGGATATTGGCTCCATCGTGTCCGTTCCAGTCATGCACATCCCATTCGTAAAATAAAAAAAGGAATAAAAAAAGGGGGATATGAGAAAAAATAAAAAAGGGCACTTCAAAAGAGGGAAGGTTGAAAAAAAGGGTAGGAGAAGGGAGGGGAAAAAAATATAGCCATGCAGTCCAAGAGCTAAAAGAAAAGCGTTCTTGACCAGGAGAGAATAGATCAAGCGCCGGTGATCATAAGGGGAAAGGCATACAAGCAAGCCATATTTAAAGTGTAACAAATCACGAAAGGACAAAAAGATCCAATTACATGAGAACGCAATCCCCATCACTCTGCTTGTTAACGGCCGAGCGTGAGAGGCGAGTCTTTTGCATTCGGCTTCCGCCCTTCTTGAGGTCTTCAAGACGCTCACGAGCCTTGGGGAATCCTTGTGCTGGAAAAGAGGAAAAAAATGTCAGTTAAGCTCAGATGAAAAGCAGTCAATGGGAAGTTAACTCACCAGCTGCGCGCCAGTACCATCGCTTTGCGTCATCCAAGTTAGCAGCAGCACCGATTCCGACCTCGGTGAAATATCCCATGGCATATTCAGCCTTGGCAAGGCCTGCGGTGGCCGCCTTACGAGCCCATAGATAGGCCTCGGTGTCATTCTGCAATAGAATGCCCTCTGATCCAGTGAGATACCAGCCACTAAGGGCGAGTTCACTCTGGTGTTCACCCTGGGCCGCGGCACGAGTGTACCAGATGATACTCGTGCGGTTATCAATGGGACATCCCATCAGGCCGTACTCATAGGCAGTACCAAGTCTGAATTGAGAGAACTTGTAGCCCAGCTCGGCAGCTTGATGGAATAACTGGGAGGCATACTTCTCGTCGCGGATGATGATGTCATTGCCGCCAGCGTTCTGATACATGAGGGCAAGCTCGTGGAGGGCGTGCGGGTTTTCCTCGTCCGCACGGTCAGCCGCCCGCTTAAGCCACGACACACCCTCCCGAGGGTTCCGAGCTTGACCCAGCAGTCCCTTTAGATTAATCATTCCCATTTTGTACATGGCGGGTGTATCACCAAGCGCAGCGGCACGCTTGTACCATTGAACGGCCTTGAATGGATCACGTTTGGTACCACCTCCTTCTTCCTGGCCAATCTCGCAGCATACGGCCACGCGGTATGCCGACTGCGCGTGTCCTTGCTTCGCAGCAGAGTGGTATAGTGAGAAAGCTTCTTTGGGGTCGACTTCGAGTCCCAGTAGACCCTCACCGTGGCAGTCGGCTAGGAAAAACTGGGCTTCAGAGTACCCAGCTGTCACGAGCTTTTTGATAATCTTATGCGCATCCATCACGTACTTCTCCTTGGCCTTGGCTTTGGTTTTCGGATCGAGTCTGCTGTCATCCCCTACCAGAACCGTGGATGCCTCTACCAGCTTTTTGGCGAGGAGAAGTTGAGTGTGCTGGTCGGCGGGATTGCCTCGCGCCTTCTGTTGCAGTTGCTGTATCTCTTGAATCGTGACAGGCGTCTGAGCCGTTGGACCGGGGACCCTCATTGGCTGTGGAGCAACGGGGGCTGGGATGGGTTCAGGAGCGCTGTACTGCCGAACCGGTGCAGGCTTTGGCGCCTGATCGTGTCCAGGGCGGAACGGGGCTGGGTGGTGAGGAAGAGCATCGGGATTCTGCTGAGGTTCTGATACCTCGGCCTGGTCGTGGGAATAGCCTGGCTGGTTGGTTCGGGCCGGGGCAGGACCATGAGAGTAACCGGCATAATCCTCATAACCATTCGGCGCATACCCAGCAGCGCCTGGGTGATCGAAACCGGGAGCTTCTCCGGGAATGTCAAACTGGAATCCCGCATTTTGAAACTGATTGGCATTCGGTCCTTGTTGGAGATTTGGTTGGGATTGGGAGCGCATAGGATCCACCCCGTTGGGGGAATAGTAGTCTCCAGGCGAAGAAGTCGGAGCAGGGCCTGGTCTCTTGACTGGTGTTATTTCCAGGCCCATCTCATCAATTGGGCCGCGCTGATGTGCGTCTATGGCATCGAAGTTAGGCATCTCGGGTTCATCAGCACCACCACCAGACTCATAATAGCTGTCCAAAAAGTCTTTGGGCGCATACGAAACACGATTGGCGGGCTCAGGGGGGATCATCAATCCAGTGGGGGGGATCATTAGGCCTGGGTCTATGTCGTTGGGAGCCCGAGATCGTGGGGTTCGCATGCTTCCAGCAGTATCAGGACGCATAGGAGGTTCTGGGTAATCTGTTTCTTGGTAGGTCGATTGGCCTGGGTAGAGTGGTGCGCTTGGAGCGCCTGGAGCGAGCGGCATCGTTGCGCTTCTTGGTGGCGGAGGCATAGACGGCCCCATGAAGTCTGGATAGTCTCTATCACGTCGATCTGGTCTGCCTGAGCTAGCAGCTCGCACTGGGCCCATTGGGTAGCCACCTCGGCCCTGCCCGGGTGGAGGTCCGCGTGGAGGTGGCTGTCGCATATCCGGGCGTCTTCCATTGGAATTTGAAGTATGCGGTCTAGGCGGGCCCCTGCCATTGATGTCCATTGCAGCCATGTCGTTCTCTAGGCCTCGCGGTGGCGGACCGCGCCGATCTCTTGGGTCTCTTTGGGCTCTAGGGTCGCGCGGGTCGCGCGGGTCTCTGGGTGCCCTCGGATCTCTTGGGTCTCGATTAGGAAAGGAGGGAAAGGGATTGTCGAAGGAACCGCCTGGGGGTGGGCGTGCGCCAGCTTGAAATCGGTTAGTAGGCGCTTTGTAGTCTCTGTCTGAATTCACATACGTGTTCTTGACCGCGATTGCGGCGGTGGTCTTCCGCCGGGAGGATAGCCACGTCGATCATCATAGCCAGGGCCTGGAGGTCGTCCATTTCCCGGGCCTGGTGGACCCGGTGGACGCATGGAGCGCGGCTGGGATTGTGTGGCAGCATATGGTTGCGAACCGGAGGAGCTGGACTGGTAACTATATGCCGCATCGTCGTAGCCTGGGTCGGTCTGCTGGTAGTGGCCACCCATGTCGTCGCTGTATCCGCCTTGGGAACCATCTTGCGAATAACCTCCTGGCGATGCCATGGAAGGCGGAGGGGCATTGTATTGTCGCAAAGGCGGCGGCCTCTGCGCGGGATGTTGGGGGTATGACATGGCGCAAGCCGACAAGCGTACTATACAATGGTGATTCGAGTAGTCGAGGGTTCGCGGTGAAAATCTTGTGGGTAGTCGCATGCAAGGAGAGGACAGTTCGGTAAAAGGGCTTCAGGGCTGTTTGGTGTTAGCTCATCTATTTCACGATCCATGGGTCTGAGGCAACCGGGAGTCCACACTGAATCCTTACCGCAATAGCACTCAAATGACGCGCTTATGGCAAGCTGATCAAGCAGCTGTCAGGAGCCACACTCCAAGATGAGGAAGTTCAAAGTAAATCAAGCGGGCAGAATGATTTAGGGGCGGTCGAAGCAGGTGACCTTTAAATTAAACAGACTGACCCCACTGAGAAGACCACGGATACATCAATGTACTTTTCATGTATCTAATTTCCTTTTATGGCTCTTAGACTAATTTTATTGGTTGCGTCTATAGATCCATTTTCCTATTATACCCCTTTCGCTCTAATCGAATTTCCGCTTAAAACTTCCATCCATGAATCTCTCCTTAATGCTTTGATATGTAAAGTTGTTATACAATGTATTAATACGGTAAAGCTCGAAATTAATCTATCTCGGTTCCTGTCGATCAGGGGGTGCGTTCGTAGTCCTGCAGACTTTCTCTCATCCTGCAAGACCCATCAAAATTTCAACATTGACGGACTTGGCATCTTGTTCTATTGTAGGTACACCCGTCATACTAGCCGTTCTGCCATTCAAATCCAAGGCTTGTCAGCGGCCCCGCCCCTGATCAAACAATGATGACTAAACTAGACCCTGTGCTCACCTCAATCGGGCACCCTAAAGAGGTGCCCAAGGTTGTATCACACAGTACCTCGGAGGTATGTGTTTTGTAAGTATAAGGGGCACATGAGAACATCACAGTCTCCACATCTGTCTCGGAAAAGTTCCTTCCGACGTCACAAAAATTTGACAAAGATGACAAAGACAAAGGTGAAAAGTGTGGGGAGAAACAAAAGATGTGAGACAAGCTCGATCGGGCAAAGCGTACTGCGCCACATTGACTGCGCCACGCCGCTTCCAAGAGCAAATCAGAGCGATGTTGATGATGTCCGTCTCAGCATCTCTACATCTTCCCGATTCATCCGAGAACCATATCGTCAGACCGAAGTCTTAAATTGGTAACCATCCGCGCTTCAGATTTAACATGTCTCGCGCCGGATTATGGGCGAAGACCATAGCCGGGTAAGTGGTACTCGACTGCACTGTGACAGACTCGTGCTCACAATTGTCCCTCACGATAGTGGCCTTCTCATGGTCATCGGTGGCCCCGCTCTTGTTGAATATATCCGACCCACCGACGAAGAGCTGCGCTCGCGATACAACCCGGATCTGCGGAAGCGCAGCACCGAACAGGGAGAGCGCCGGGCGCAGGAATTCGATGACTACGTCAATAAGCTGAAGCACTGGTCCAAGTCCGATAAGTCCAGTATGTTCTGTTCTCGCAATTTGCCCTAAGTACATCCGTGACTAATCGTTATGGCCAATTATTTTAGTCTGGTACGCCGCCCAGGAAGAATTGGACCAGAAGCAAGCAGCGTTGGAGGCACAGCGCACACAGGAGAAGGAACAAACGCGGACGCAACGGGAGGAGATGCGCAAGGAGATGCTGGGTGAAAAATGATCCCCCGACTCACCCATCGCGCCTCTACCATCTGTGATCATGCTGTGTCCGCACAGAGAATATGATCTACCTACACCTCCGAAGCTCCCCCACCTCCTGCCATGGCCTCAGTTGGTCCTCCGATAACTTATTTTTCCATCCCGGGGCTTCGAGACCCCGAGGTTTTCTGCGCTATCTGCAATCTTGGATATCCCTGGATCTATGTCATGATTTTTATTGGCTGTACGATATGTTTGCGACTCTTCCCTCATCTTTGCATCTATGGCCTCAATATCTGAGGCTTATATCAATGTACAACTACCGACTTCCGAACTGTGTCCCTTCAATACCATAATCTAAAAGCAAATCTTGTTCTACTGCCATCACGCTGCATATATCTTACCTTCGCCAACCACGGGCTTGATCGTCGGCCAATGAGCTGGGATATTGATCACCCTGATGTGGTGTATACACAGATAAATATATTCAGCCCAACAAAAAAATTACTAGTCAACGTCGTTGGAAGTATGGAAAATGCTTGGAATATAATCCTTATATGAGGGGAAAATATGAATACAAGCTTGTTACTACAAAATATGCATAGCAAATGCTATATGGACATGAACATGAACGCAGCGGCACCGATAGGAACCAAAACTGCCAACACAGTAAGGATACCCGCACCAGCTTTATCACTACCTGCAATTGTCCGAGTTCGAATATCATTTTGCTTTGTATCTTCTGACCCATCGTCCTCACCAGTACCTGGGTTCCCCTTACTTGTGCCTCCACTCTTCTCTGTCACAGGCGCCTTAACTGTATGTACCAAATTCGCCTTGAAGATCTCCAACGCAGCCATCTGCTCGCCGATCCCAGTAGTGCTCTTATAATTCATGTGATCGGTCCAGATCAACCCGCAGGCATTATCGGGGCCATTGCATTGTTCTGCAGCAGCCATTGCTGACGTTTGGATTTTCGGCCGCAATAGCTCGTCGGTGAATGGTGCTAATGGAATTGTTGCCCCCATGAATCGTGCCAGATAGGCTTTGAAAGACCGTGAGTTGAGGTCGCATTTTCCTCTTTCACAGGGCTGGGCCATTATATCCTCGTTGTTTGGGAAGAAGGTACCCAGTGCGCTGATAATGCCTTCTATCCGCTTCCTCCAGACATCTGACCCGTCTGTCTGATTATATAGTTAGCAAATGATATATTCTTAGTGAAGCTGTATACATTCGATACACCTCAAGTACTCACAATATTATACATATTTGCAGCCCCGTGGAGATACACCGCAGGCAGATATGCATGTTGGTTATAATTGATGACGGAACAATTGGTTGAAATGTCGGCGCCGTCAAATATATGGTATTCCTTGCCAATGAAGCCCACCGCATCTGTCCAATCCCAGATTTTGTTGGCCCAATGTGTGAACGTATCATTCCCAGTATACCTAGCCAATCGGGCGGCGACGTTAAAGAGCCCACCATTGGAGATAGTATTCTTATACGACCAGCCTTTGTTATGTTCAAACGCCTGCCAATGCAAACCGCCACCACAAGCTGTATCATCCCAGCGTGTAGTCTGCGAGTTAAACACATTCTGCACAAGCGATAGCCACTGCGGCCGGCCTTTCGGTGGATCGGGGTATTTTAGCTCGGCAGCCGACATCGCCGCAAAGCCCCAGAAGATCTGGTCGTCGTTTCCGAGCGACAGAGTCTGATTCCGCGGCATGTAATTATTGTCGTCGCCTACCTGGTGAAGCAGGGCTTGGGTGGTGATCTCGTTCCACTTGTCGTCACCAGTGTAGTACCAGTATTCGACCATTGCGCCGAACATCGCCCCGGCTTCCCACCAGTAATATGGGTCGGGGATGTTTCCTGGTACATCACCGGGATGGTCACCTGTATAGTATTGCAGCATGCCAGCTGCGGCGGTTTTGGCAGCGGCTTTGATGGATTCTAGTTCCTTTGGAGTAAGCGATTGACCATTGTATCTGGATAATAGATGCATTTCGACATACCATCGTCGTTCAAGTCGAGGTTAATAGACGCATGCGTCATTCGTGGCCCCAGCGTGGAGAGAAGGAATATTGTGACACTGCATGATTGTGTTGAGTATCTCATGATGGGAGGGATCGACGTTGAGACAAAGAAGGCAGAAGAGACTGAGTGGAATTTGAAAAGAATTCTGAGACGCCAAGGGTAGCTGAAATGAGGTTTCATTCCATTGCGATCACCTTGCTTGGAAAGACCAAGAGCCAAGCAATCTTGAAAATCGACCTTGGGGGGCGCGGGGTGCTCATGAGTAAGGCAGTTTCTTTGAGTATGACTCTAACAGGGGTTTGGTATCGGTAGAAATGTAGTTTATACCTAGTTGTATTGCAGGGAACAAGTAACAGCCTTGTGCAGGGGGCCTGGCTATCCACGATGAGATGGCGGTCAGTTGATACCGTAAAATAGCAATAAGTACTCCATAGATCGACGGATTATGAAACGGAGGTGCCTGTAGCCTCAAGTAAGACTTCGCTTGTATGATTATATGTACGTAAGTGTAGGTACTCAGCTTCAGTCTTGTGACTGAGGCTCTTTGTTCTCCATCAGAATCACCTCGATGGATTGTTGCATGGCTTATTATTTGGCAGAAATAAGGAAGGACAAGCCTCTAAAGCGACATCAAGAGTCCTGCATTATCCAGATACACGGGTAATGAGCAAACATACATGTGTTGTAGCTATCGGGTCGACGGGTGTTTAGCACCAAAAGTCACCCCTGGGGTACACAACATTAACAAAAGTCTAATCGGCAACTTCTGCCGCTAAAAGCGAGCAAATATGGAATACATACGACTAAACAAATTTCCGAGTTTCTACCCTACATGGAGGTTCTTTGACAAAGCTTTTACACCCTACTTTAGTGTCACCACCATATGAGACTAGTATAGCTCATCGTAGCGGATTCTTCAACATTACCCGTTCTCGAGCGCACGTACTATCGGTTATAGTAGGTATCAACGGGTGCTCTGGCCAGCGAGTTGATAATATTGACCACCGCACCCTACGCAGTAGCAACCTTCTCACCTGTAACTTCCCCTATAAGACTGGACCTATCCTGTACCCTATGACCACTAGCTATGAAATTGAACCGTGTAAAATGATCCCATGCCACGCAATATCTCTGGCTTTCAAGGTATCTTTGTATTGCATTGTTATGTATCCCAAAGTGGACCCGGGTTGGGGTTGTTAATGCTGCTTCTGCGTGGATTCTTGCTGTTTTGGTACTTGATATCTAGACCAGATGACAGCAACAAGTAGCACCATGAATCCCACCATCAAGGTATATCCCCAGAGACCACTTTCAATGTTCTCGCTCTGATCTTGACCAAGTCATAAACCAGCGGAAGGCTTATCCTCCCCTTTAGCGGCGAGGGCCTTCTCAATGAACTTCTCTAGGTCGTCAATTTCCTCAGGGGTCGCGGAGTGACCAAGGTTTCTACAATATCAAGTTAGCAGACCATCACAACCCGGAACAACAGCGCAACGTACTCATATTGGTGGAAGGAAACATCCTCTAGGCCAAGTTCCTTAAGTTTAACCATCGAGGCCTTTCCAGAGGCGAATGGAACAACTGGATCCTCGAGACCGTGGGCAAGGAAGAACGGGGTCTTCTTGTTGGCCCACTCCTCGGGCATGTAGTTCTTAATCCGATCGCTCAGCAGCATGTAGCACGACAGACCAAAGACACCGCCGAGCTTTTCCTTGTGAGTCAGACCGGCGAATACAGACATCGCACCGCCCTGAGAGAAACCACCCAGGATGATCCGCGAAGCCTTGATATCGTTATCCATTTCTTTCTTGATAAGGTGGTTGAAGTACTCGCGGGAGCGGAGAATGCCTGTCTCGTCTTGGGTGCTGATGGATTCCTCTAGGGTCATCTAGATAGAAGGACATAATGGTTAGCGCTAGTAATTTATTCAGTGATTTTGAAAATGGAGGGCTCACGTTGCCGCCAAGCTTGGCGATGTCGTACCATCCAGGCATGCTCATGCCCATATTCTAAGCGAAAATTTGTCAATCGAGATTCAAATGATCATAGATATGAAGCTCACATACAACTGTGATTGGGATTTCGGGCGCATTGGGGAAGACGAAGGCCACCTCGTTGAACATGCCGCGGCGGCGCCAGGTCTGGGCAAGGGACATCCTATTAGAAACTGATGGTTAGAGGCGAAGCTCGTAGGCTTAGGCCAGGTAATTGAGGGGCATTTCATACCATCCGGCACCACTATGTTTAAACACTGTTAGATTCGATACTATCCACTATCTGCTTCGGGGATAAACTTACGTATCTCCTAGCCCGTGGGCCATGATAACGGTAGCGGTGTGCTTTGTGAGCGCCGGGACGATGTAGGGATCACGAATCATATTGAAAGCCGACATTTTATGAGACGTAAAAAGAGGGTTGGTTGAAAGAAAACTGGAGAGATTTCTCCGACGGTTGGTTCCCCCACGATTCTGCCGCCGAGGTTATCAATCCCTCACCGCCCACTCGATAACGGTATCCGAAGATAAACTCCGGGCCCTTGAAAGGGTTCAATTGATGCATTATTAAACCTTATAAAGGCCATACCTACCTAAGTAACAATGATCCCCGGTGATTACACCCCGTCAATAGAGTATAATTCCTGCTTAGTCGACTCAATGACTTCATTGACGAGATCAGCCTCCACAACCCCTTGCTGCCAAGAGACAGCCAACACCAAACATCCATCTCCACCAGTGACAGCCGACACCTCAATAGCATTACCCATCACACTGGCACATTGGGAAAACACCATCCCCTTGATGGAAGGCAGGCCAGAATTCAGTTGCGGGTCCAAAACGCCCACATTCGACACCTCAAAGGTCTTTTCGCGGTCCTTGCCAACCTTGGACAAACATAGTTCTTCTTGAAAATCGTCGACAAACTGCAGCAGACTGGTGCTGGCATTTTTGCCTTCCATTTTCAAGACAGACTGGATCGTCTTACGTGACCGTCTGGCCTCTTCCCACGGGAAAGACCCGTCGGACGGCGCAACTGTCGCTCGGGAATACGTCTCTTCGTAGTCCTGGACCCAGACTCCCATTGACTCATCAGTGATAACATCTGGCAGCCAGCGGCGGCTTGAGAGCGCGCCGGTGCAGGCGAGCAGCGTAAACTCAGGCGGGATGTGCGCGAAGATGGAGCGGGCGACGATCGTCTGCAAGAGTGCGGTGATCGTCGTACCCTCTACTCGACATCTGTCTCTTACTGTGGTGACGAGTAGTTTGGAGAATGGCACAAGACGCAGGCGGGTTTGAGAGGGGATCAGGACCTTGGAGCCGGTCCACAGGCCCGTGGGCCGTCGGGAGTAGATTTTTGCCTGGAAGATTTTCTTGGCAAGATAGGGCAAGGAAAGAGACATTGGGTGCACAAGCTCGATATTTGGTAAGAGAGGGAGCCCCGGCGACTTGATGATTGATTTAGTCTGGTCCGGGGACTCCGCCGCCCCTAGTGCTCGTAGGAAGGTTTGATGAAAGGCTTTCCCGGATGTTCCATCGCCAATGGCGTGGTGATATACAAATGCTGCAGTAAATTGCCGCTCATCCTCTATATTTAGCAGGATGCAGACTCTCCAGAAGGGATTTGGGGCCCTGAAAGGCGTGTTGTGCTGGGTTGCAAGCAATGTTTGCAGGTCAAGATCCGGAGCAGGCTCGCCATCGGTTTCGGCAGCTAACAAGCCTGGCTTCCTGTCCTGGAAAGATACAACTTGGTCAAGATTAATATCCGGCAGCCGGACAAAATAGGGGTCTTGTGTGTGATCGTCTGCTACGATGGCGGATAGCGACGGATGTTCCAGGATTGCGGCCTCGCATGCCTGATAGACATAATCTTTGACAGGGAACACGAATGAGTCTGGTAAGTAATAAGTTGCTGATACAGCAACGTTCAAGTAAAATCCAACCTGGTGGCGCGACGTGGAATATTGTTCCAATCGACCTTGACTGGGGTCAGGAATTGTTGACGTTCGGAAAAGGTTCCCGACTGCTTTTTGGGATCTACTTACCGACGGGACGCAGTATCTCAAAGCTCTTCATGATAGACTATGGCCAGCGCCTTGCAAATAATCCTCTCTTGCTTTTTGGATGACCACAGTGTATGGAGATAGACTGGCCCTTGATTGGTTTTCCTGCTTGATTTAGGTCAATCTACCCGCACACGTGACACTTTATACTATACCTATCTGCACCACGAAAGGGATTCTTTACTGGGGTAAAATGGCGACAATGGGATGCTGGATAATATAGATATGTGCTGGTTTGATAAAGCATCTAACTGCGAATGGCCATCGAAACATTGTGTTTGCAAAAGATATCGCGTTCGAGACAAATATGTTGAAAAGAGATCATCGAATAACCATTTCTTTTCCAAATGGGTGCAGTCTGGGGTGAGACCAAGATACTTTGTTTTAAGATGCTTCGCAAAGGCCTCACATATATTAAGGAGAGTAGGACGGCAGGTGGCATACTAGATTTCGTGGGTGATGTGGTTGTAGCATAGCTAGAAAGACGGTGTTTATTGTGTTTCTATGAGCAGCAAATGATGGGGCACAAGATATTATTGCTCATTATGCATCGCTAAACTCTAAGATCAAAGAAAATTAGAGCAAAATATTGAAGAACCAGCTTTTACAGCACAGCAATGCCACCGACGAGAGCAGCACCAATAACCCCCCAAGCGGCAGTTTGCATCGGCATAGCAGCACCCTTGGAAGTGGAGGAAGTTGAGGATGGGGACGACGATCCGCTCTGTGCTTGACCCTCAGCGGTAGACTCGTTGGCATTACGCGCCGCAGCATCCTTGGAGAAGGCGGTGGCAACGAGATTGGTGTTATTGCTACAGGCAGATGGTGTCTGGTATTTGACGTCGGAGGAGAATTGGATATCGGCGCACTGTATTACATTAGTATACTGCAACATAAAGTCAAAACGAACGAAGTGAAGTAAACATACAGCATAGAGACCACCACTTGGGTCGCCATTGGTCTGTACCTGAAGGGTAGCGTTCATTCCATTGGTGAGGTTACGGCCGATGAGCTTCTCGTTGATCTCGACGTGAGGAAGACAGAACTCGCCCAAGCCTTTAACCTGGAAAGTTGGTGAGAGGACAATGTTGTAGTTGTCTCCCGGATCGCTGCCCAGGGAAAGAAGGACTTCGACGGCAGTCTGGGAATGGTGCATCTCCAAAGCGACAGGGAATGAGCCACCGGACAGAGGTAGCTTGGTACGATTGGAGGACTGGCTCATTCCACCGCAGGGGAAATTGGCCATGGTATCCTCGTTGAAGCCACGGGAGGTGGGGTACATCAGCTTGAAGTGTGCGGCGGCGAGTGGCACGATGGCCGTGAAGGCGAGGAGGGAGAACTTCATTGTGAGTATGGAGAGTTGTAATGAAGGAGAGAAAGAAAGGGTAGATAAATCAGAGAGGAGGTAATGCACTAGAAAAAGTGGGAGAACTTAGCTCTTTGAACTCTTCTATACGAGCTCTGTATATACAAGGTGAGCGAGTTAGCGGGACCTGAAAAACAAGGGTCCACCTGTGAAGCCCCGTTGGGTTCCAGATCTCGGCAACCATAGCCATTTCCCCTCTGAGTTTGTGTATGTTTCGGAATATTCCGACATCCGTATCCTGTTCTACAAAGTGACCTTTAGGCTCCCATGCTCTGCATTTCACACTTGCTTCTTTGCCACAGTTTACCTGGTAATTATACACCGGCGCGCCTAAGTACACTGCAGCCCAACTTCCGATTTACCGACTACCTAGGTATGATTATATCTCAGACTATAGTCCATAATGGCATGGACCTGCTGTTTTGGCTCGGACTATACTTGCTCAAAAGGTAAATTAAAGCCTGACGCTAGCGCTAAGAGTGGATATTACCCGATGAGACTAGCCCAAATAGGGTTAGTAAATTAGCTCAATTGTGCGCGCATGGCTTAGTCATGCGATTGCATGCAGCCCTCTGGGCCGACATCCGGAGATAGCGATGGAGGATTTAAAGTGGATTGAGAGAAAAAGAGAGATTTATGACGAGAACAATTTAGAGTCTCTGGTCTCCGGAGAAGCGGGCCAAGTCAATTCGTGTATTATTCCCAAAAGTATTATTCCCTAACGCCAGACAAATGCTGCTCAAGGTCATAAATATGCAGTAAAAATGTGAAGTCAAAGCTAGAGATCCTCAGTGTCCGTGCTCATTAGTTTGAATGAAGCGCCCGACCGCTAATTCCCCGAGGAAAGCGCCTCCAAGCACCGAGCAGAAATAGCCGATGTTCATAGTCATGACAGCCAGCATGCTAGACAATATATTAGCATTCGTCCAATTAATATCAGTAAATATGAGAACATACAGTAGATATGATATGCCCACAATGCATAAGAATAACAATGCTCGCGGTAAATCAACACTGAACCGCCAGGGAGTTGGCCCATGAGTGATGTTGTGCACAACTTTGACTGACTCCTCAACGCCCTGTGCAGTAATAAGGGATGCAATCTTCGCGTCCGGGTCGGAGTCAATGTTGCCAGCTTCGGTGCTTTTGCCAGCCACAGTGACATATCGTCGATTGAGATGCGTGGCGAGCCAGTGGCGCTCCATGGTTGCTTTGAAGGCGATGAGGCATCGGTCGATGATAGCGAGGACAATCAAGAAGATACATGTGCCTGCAAAGCTACCCGAAGATGAAGGAGTCCAGGTATTGGAGAAAAGAGGCGTGTCGTGGGTGTTTTTGAACACCATGCTCATGCTCATAGAGCTCGAGGAGCTCATGCTGTGTGTAGAGCCCATATCCATGCCTTCCATGATGAGAGAGTGGTATAAGCAAAATAATATAGAAGTGAGAAAACAAGATGAATTTGAAGTTACACATTGACGCATTGACGCATTGGGCAAAAACGGTGCCCACATGGCGGACCCACCCGTGAGCATGGTTGAGCATAATATTGGTAATCTGCCCTGTCATTGGGAGACTATCTATCTACTGGTAAGCTTCAATTCCTTTCTTCTACAACTACACAAGATGTCCATGTCAATGGGTGACATGCCCGCGGGCTCAATGTCCATGGGCGATGGCGTTCCCAGTCTGTTCACCCTACAGAAGATGTACTGGGCGGTTGTGGGAAGTGTAGTCGGCGCAGCAACCCTCATAAACGTGCTGGATCGCGTTCTTGCTCGGCATCGGTACGTTTGACCTTGACCTCTGGTGATCTTGACTAACAATATCAGCCTACGAGATTCTTCGCTAACGCCTGCCAAACCAAAATCACTGTTCTTCAATATCTACGCCACTATCACAGCAACAGCCCGCGAAGTCAGCTATGCGACTCCACGACCGCTCAGAGTCGGAGGATTGACCCTTCATTTCCCGCCACTTGGCCCCGTTCTGATCATGTTAGCCAACCTGGTGGTAGTCATGGTCCTTTGTTTCTACAAGCTAGACACTCTGGATCCATGGAAATGGGAGAGCGTCGGCTACCGCACTGGTTTCATCGCCATTTGCCAGCTGCCACTGATTTTTCTGCTGGCAGGCAGACAGAACATTATTGGTTTCTTGGCAGGAATGAGCTACGTCAGTCTCAACTGGTACCATCGCTGGGTTGCCCGGATACTGTGGCTAACTACCACCATCCATATGGGATTCTGGTTCCGCAATTGGGGCCGCTGGAATTATATCACCTACCAGCTTTACAACGATCCGTTGGCAAAGCGTGGGTTTGCAGCCTGGGTTATTTTGACCTTTATTGTGATCAGTTCCTTTGCTCCAATCCGTCGGCTCAGTTATGAGTTCTTTGTCATCCAGCACCTAGTCACTTTTATTGGCTTTATTGTTGCGGTATGGCTGCATGCGCCTGATGAAGTCAAGATCTGGGTATGGATCCCGATTGGGCTTGTGGTCTTCGACAGGGTTGCTCGCTACACCTGGGGTGCATATGCGAACTTGGCCTTTTTCCACCGAAAGAACAAGACCAACGCTCTCTGGGCACACTCGGCTACGTTCACTCCACTACCTGGAAATGTCACTTGCGTTACCATCGAAAACCCCGGTATTGGGTGGCAACCTGGTCAGCACGTCTTTCTCACTTGCCACACCGTCGTTCCATTGCAATGTCACCCATTCACTATCGCATCAATCCCAGAAGATAATAAGATGAAGTTCTTTATCCGCGCCGAGAATGGGGGAACAAGACGTTTTTTCCGATACGCCTCAAAGACCGATGGTCTATTGGGGGATGAACAAGTGACGGGGGTGTCCTGTGCGACGGTTTTTATCGAAGGGCCATATGGAAACATCCGTCCCTTGCGCCAGTTCGACAGTGTTATACTGCTGGCAGGTGGCATGGGTGCGACATTCACGATACCTCTTCTGCGGGATGTTGTCACAGCATGGAAGATGGAGAGCAACGGCAGCAAAGAGCAGATACCCACTCGTCTCGCTCGTCTAACAGCTACCAAGCGGTTGCGTTTTGTCTGGGTAATCAAATCACGTTCTCAGCTGACTTACTTTGAATCCGAACTGCATTCTCTGCTGGCAGAGGTGAATGAGTGCCGACGCACAAATTCAAATTTCGAGAAGGAGATTGAAATTAGCATTTACATCACATGCGATGAAAAGTTAGATCCGCCTGTCTCTGTCTCACTGCCATTGCAGACAGTGTCTCTCCCTATGATAGAGAATTTTGCGCAGGATGAGACCAAGAACATCTCCGAGAAAGACAATATCTCGATTCACTCTGTCTCTGCCGAGGCAGCATTGACTCCAGGCCCCGTGGTCACAGGTGGAGGCTGTCTCCCTGGTGGAGGCTGCTGTTGCACTGCTCAAATCGAAGACGAGGAGATCAGTACTACCTGCGCCTGTATCTGCTCCGGCCCAGCACCTGTTCAGTCTGAGATGGCTGCTCTGGATGTGAAGGCCCCTCGGCCTGAAGACTTCACAAGCAAAACAATCATTTCTCCCAATATCGTTTCTGGTCGTCCTAAGCCACGAACTATCATCCGCAAGGTCCTTGAGAAAGCCGAAGGAGAAAGTGCCGTGGTTGTGTGCGGACCTCGTGGCCTAGCAGACGATGTCCGCCGCAGCGTGGTTTCTCTGAGCGATGAACGAGCTGTGCACAAAGGAACTGGCGCGCAGGGGATCTACTTGCATGTTGAGAACTTTGGTTTATGAAGGGAGGAATCACGAATCACTTCCTAGAGTTTACTTCTTTTATTTCCTGGTATGTCCATCTTCTTGTTCAATTGACACCTAGCCCGAGATTGACCAGTATACACAGGGATGGCCAAGAGTATTACCAAAGACAAGAGTCTGATACTCACCTCCAGCGAGCGAGGTACAATACCACGCAGCCCATAAAATTGGCGCCCTCCCCAACAGCCTCTGTTGAATGTTCTTAATCGCATTCGATACAGCGGTCAGTCCTACCACACAATCGGACCAATTGACTGCATGGAGAAAGTCAATTCGTCAAAATAAGAAGCTATGCCGCGAAGGTAGAGTCGGAAGTATTGAGAGATATTCAAAATCTCTCAAAATGAGGATTTGGGAGTTAGATGGAAATAGGGATTCCCTCGCTCTACATTAGGCGCCAGACACCTAATCATAGAAAATAATTATGTATCCTTCATGGTATTTCTCAACCGAGTATTCCGTAGCCTATGCTCAGAAAAAAAAGATCAAAATGGAGTACACTCATCCAGACCAACTGGACAGCTTAGCCCGGCACAACCCGAGCCAGCACATGACATCATCCAGGAACTGCGCAGGTGCCGCCCAGCTTGACTCCAATTCTTCCACCTCCATCCACCTCTTCTATCACCACCACACCATCAATTGCAAATAATCAACCCGCCAAGATGTTCCGCTTCGTACGTCCACCTATCTAACCCCCCAATCTACCAATCAATCATCCTCTGTCCCAAACCCGCCAACTAACACAAAAACAGAGCAAAACCCTCGACCCCATCACCCTCTTCCACTCCCCCTCCATCCAAGCCTCAACCCGCGCCCTCAACATCCTGAAACAAGCTTCCGCAACTGCCAGCGAAACCGCCACAGAAGACCAGGCCAGCGACCACTCCAGCCACTCAAAGAAACAGCGCGGCGAGTTCGAGCTGGAGATTACCACCTCGCCCCCGACATTAGACCAGCTTCGCAGTATCCTCGACTACGTCTCGCCTGTCAGCGGTGTCAGTGGTCAGGCTGAGAAGGTGACGTATGGTGTTGCGGAGCTGGTGAAGGGTGCCCGCGATGCGCAGGATGCGTTGAAGAAGTTCAAGGAGGATAATGAGAATTTCGCGAGACCTATTGTATGTTCGACCTTTTCTTTACTCCCCTTGCTATGTTGGAGATTTGTTTGGATGTGTTTTACTAATGCCTTACTCTAGACTGTTGACTGGGTCAATGGCCGTGCTGTGATTGGAGACAACGAGTCCGAGATCCTGCGCATGGTGCGCCAGCTTCCTGAAAACTAAAAGAGTCGATTCTTTACTGTGAGAAGATGTAACGGGGCATATAGTCTACTCGACATTTGATCACGATCGAACTCAAACTCATATCCCATATTCCATACAATGAAACCATTACTAGGAGAAGACATGAACTGCGCCATTTTGGTCTATGGCTGTATCATACAAGAATCGAATTTCACAACTCCACGCGCACCATAAAACTAGAACGGGGAGAGAAGACGTATGGCGTTGCAAGTTGCAACTTGAAAATGAAGATGAAGTTGAAATAGAAAGAAGACGAAAAGATGAGCCATTAAACTCAATACTGGGACATCTGGCACAAGAAAACCAAGATCCAGCTCGGAGTCGCGCACGCACCAGCGGAACGTAAGAAGAGAAAAAAGTTCGACCGAATATGAATGTGAAATCTGGACATTTGGTCAGAAACCTAGAACATTGTCCCGAATGTGCCATCCGTCGCGATAGGCTTCCGTGGTGAGCTGCTGCGGCCATTGCTGTCTGTGGCGGGTTTGCGGTGACTAGATTGGTCAGTAAGAGAACGATCATACAAATAAACCCGTTAAGTATAGACTCGAGCGGAACATACCGGAAAGTAAACCCGACAAACAAGCCCTTGCCCATCTTATCATCGCGATCGGCCATATCCTCCAGCGCGCGCTGCTTATCATGGACCTCCTTGTACTTGGCCATATCTGCCTCATTGCTGAAATCATCAAAGTACCCAGCATCAGTCTCGGAGTCAAGTTCAGGCACGAACGGAGCGCGTTGATCACGAAGAGTCTCGAATTCGACCTCGGCGAAATAGTCATGCGCATGAATCTCCTTCATATTCTTGAACCGCTGCTCCTTTCCAGCAACAAGTTTCGTGATGAGATCCCACGTCCGCCGTGACAGGAAGTAATTCGGGTCCTCGTAGACAGGCTTCCGCAACACCTTCTGCCAGCGCTTCAGGTTCTGCCATGTTTCCTCGACCGTCGCGCCTGCGAAGGGCGGGTAGCCTGCCAACGCCTCGAACAGCATACATCCCAAGCTCCAGTAATCCACAGTGAAATCATATTGGTCACCCTTGAGAACTTCCGGTGCCATATAATCCGGCGATCCGACAATCGACTTGGCATAGTTGACTTCCCGCTGGCGCAGAGACTGGTATCCTTGTCGTCGTTCGGCCATTGTACGCTGTTCCATGGGCCGACCAAAGGGAACGGGCGTGTTTCCGACTTCCTCAAGCTTAACGCGCATTGACTCAATCTTTCCCGGGCTCAACATACCAGCCGCCAGACCGAAATCAGTCAGCTTAACATGGCCCGTGGAATCGATCAGGAAATTCTCGGGCTTCA